ATTTAAATATTATAGTTCTTTCAAATGATCTTATATTCTACTTTTCCTTATTATATAGATTTAATGTATATAAGAATAATTAAAATAGTTTATTTTATAATCTACTTACTACTTATAATAAATAATTATTCATTTATATATATCTATCATATCTTTAATTTAACTTTTCCATTCTCCAATTTAATTTAATTATTCTCTTCTTATTCTTGTAAATTTACATCATCTTATAATACTTTCACTTATTCTCCATCTTTAAATGCAGGCAATCCTAAAAATCACTTAATTATTAAATACCTCTAAATGGACAATTTGCACATCTAAAAGCATCTCCTAAATAACAACTTCCGCAACCTTTAACAGAATTATTTTTTAATTATTCTAGTAACTATTCTTGATCTTATTTCTCTCTAAAATTAAATTATTTTTATTTATACTCCATTTCTTTTCTTCCACAAGTACAATTTGCACATGCTCTAGGTTTAGATGCACAACTTTCAACTTATTTTACTTATACACCATCATTCAATAATTCATTCTCATCTATTGTTTCTTAGTTTCCATTCAAATCAACTTATTTGAATAAATTCATTTGATTCTAAAATTTCTATTCAATATAATCATATTTCCCATAGCAATTATTGAACTCTTATTATGTAAAATTGATTTTCTTAGTTTATAATATTCTTTTTATAAATTACCCTTAACCTTAACTATACAATCCACAAGCTTCTAAGTAAGTTATAATTTATTAATTGATCTCTCCTTCATAATTTAAGACTCCCTCTTATTTTATAGGTTTAATAATTTACAATCTTTTAAGATCTATGAAATCTGAACTGCATCTTTTAGTGATATTTATTAATCACAATCAATCTTATTGAATGTATTATCTCTAAAGATAAGTATTTATTCTAAATTGGCTATAATTAGTTTATCACTTATCGAGGCTTGTTAATTAATGGTGATTTTAAGGTTCATTAATAATATTTTAAATATCAATGCCAAAAGTAGTTGATAACTATGTATTAGAGAGAAGTATAGGAAAAGGACAATTTGGAGAAGTGTTCAAAGGATATAATAAACAAACAAATGTGGATATAGCAGTGAAATGTGTAAAGAGGTGTTGAGTATATCAAATATTTAGGGAACTTCTGAAAGGGAAATTTACAGAGTTATTAGAAAATGAAATAAAAGTATTAAGGACTTGTAATAATGATAATATCATAAAATTATATGATATAAAAAAGACTGCAAACAATATATATCTAATTATGGAGTACTGTAATGAAGGTGATCTATCATGTAATAATTAATTTAATCATAGAATACATAAAATAAAAGAAATTTTTATTAGAAGAAGAAGCTGTAGATTATTTATTATAGATACTTAATGGCTTTAAAACACTTGTAAAGAATAAAATAATGCACAGAGATTTTAAATTGGCAAATATTCTAAAACATGATGGAAATATAAAAATAGCTGATTTTGGATTCTCCAAATTATTGAATGACAATCAAATTTTAACAAATACAATGTTAGGATCTCCACTTAATATGGCTCCAGAAGTGTTAAATAATTAAGAATATGACAGTAAAGCAGATATATGGTCTATTGGGACTTGTTTTTATGAACTATTATTTGGAAAATCACCATTTACAGCTACTAATATGGTTGAGTTGCTTAAGAACATAAAAACTAAATAATTTGTTATTAATAGAAAAGTTAATAATATATCTTAAATAGCAGAAGATTTATTAAAGAAAATGTTAATAGTTAATCCTAAAGATAGAATATCTTGGTAAGATTTATTTAATCATGAGATAAATTCTTATCAGGAAGAAAAGTTAAAGAAAGATTTAGAAACTACATTAAAAGGTGGAGAATTAATGATGAATATGAGTAAATTTTATATCAAAAATAACATGGTTATTGATCATCCAGCTGAAATAAAGAAAAAAGAAGATTTAAATAATTTTGCAATGTAAGTAGCTTAAAAAGGTCCATAAAATCAATAATAATAATATGTTGGACCATTATTAAAGAAACCCTAAGAAGAAAATAATTTTGCTAGATAAGATTCAGCCAAAAATGTTTAGAGTACTTAAGGATCTCTTTAAGATCTTGGTAATGAAGAAGTAACTGATAAGGAAACATAAAGAGAAAAAGAAATTAAAGCTAAAAAAAGAAATGCTAATAGGATTTTACATGAAAGAAATATTTATGTATTTTTGGCATCTGTTGCTGAAGAAGCAATGAGCAATTAAATTATTTTAAACTATGATGTTACAGGTTTTTTTTTAGTTAAAAAATTGCTATAATTAATTGATTTTTTAAAGACAATTCTATAAAATAAATAAAATTGTTATGGATTAGAGTATTTAATAAATATGATTTTAGATTTTGGGAATAATTTACTTAAAGTAAAGATTTTAAAGATATTCACACATACATTTCAAAAGAATTTGATGTATTTAAATCTTACTTTGATTCAATTTATGAAAAAATAAGTATATAAATTCAATAGAGATAAAAAGTAGATGATGCAATTAAATAAGCTATTAATAATAATATTAAATAGAATAATCAATAAATATTAAATAAATGTTTGGTGGAATACTCAAAATTATTGATTGAAAATCTAAAAAAGACTTAACCTTAAGATTAAGTAATTTTTCTTTAATATATTTAAGTATCGATAATAATGGATTCATGCTGATAGAGTATTAGATTGTATTAAATTAGAAGAAACTTTTTAATTTGATGACAAAATTACAAATTAGCAATTTAATTTCAAATAATATTATGAAAATGACAATATATTAGAAATAGAAGCTCTATAAAAAAAAGTGTTATAAAAATTTGAGAAACTAAAATGAATTATTAGTTGTTCAACATATATCTAAATTATTTTATAAACAATTAATTAATATATATATATATAAAACATATATGTCTAGAAAAAGAATTGAGGCTCCTCCTTTGACTGATAGATCATAATTCCGTAGAATCAGTTAAAAAAGTGTAGATGAATTGAATTAAGTATTGAATTTAAATATTCTAGACTCTTCATGCTCGTATCAATAGTATGGTAGGATTGGATGAACAATTGTCCACGAAAATTAAATAACTTTAAGTTAGTACTTTTACTACTAAAGACTTAACATCTATAGGGTCATCCCTTTAAGACATGGTTACAACATTATAAAAAGTTTCATTTAATGAAATTATGTATAATCAGCTTTTAAGAGACAATGAAAAGTTTAAGAATGAGCAATCTTATTTGAAGGCTTAATTATTTAAACTTAATAATCTTAATTCCAAATTCTAATAAGAACATTAATTGTTACTAGAAAAAATAAGAAGTTAAGAAGTTGATATTAATAATCTTAATAAAAAGTTAACTGCTGAATAAAAGCTTAATGAGGAATTATGTATAAACATTTAATAATTTCTAGCTAAAAAATTGAAGAGATCAGAATAAAGAGTTTAAATCATATTAGAATCTAATATTACAATATAAAAAGATTAATTGAAACATAATTTGGTTGAAGTTTTGACAGAAAATGAACATATCAAGAAAGATGCAATATAAAAATAAAAAGATTTTTAAAAGTAGATTATAATAATAATTATTATAGACTTTAAATGGTTAACAATTCTTTAAACTAAAAATTATCTCGATTAAATAATAGATTTTAAATTAGAAGTAAAGTTTAAAATGAAGAAGATTTTATAGATTAAGAGAAAATGGTTATTACATTTACAGAAATACCTAAAAATTTCGTTTTTAGACATGTATTCTAAAATCTAGAATGCAAATGTAATAATTTATAATTCAAATTAGAATTTATTTAATCAGTTTTAGAATTTTCAACTGAAGATTTTTTAGTTCATATTAATTCTGTAAATCCTGAGACTAAAAAAATGTAATTGACTTGGCTATTTAATTATATGATAAATTACAAAGAATTCAGCTTAGCTCATAATGTCTTTATTATCAAACTATCTAAATTGATGCAAATTTATTCCTATGATGAAATGCATAATTTCTTTACTACATTATCATCTTTTTTTAAAGTTTCTCACATTTATTTATGGTTAAGAGATTTCTAAACAGGATTCTTTATTAATTAATTTGATGGAAAATAAAAAAAAATAATTTGCACAAAAGGAGCCTTTAGAGATTGTTTAGATACTCGAGAATCAGTAAATAAATTAACTGCTCATAAACATATTATGTATTAAAATGATATGGGAGAGGATATTTACTAAGATAGTACATATATCTTTCCTATTATTACTGATGCTGCTCTACCAGCAGGATTAATTGAATTTCATCATCCAATATAAAGTAATAATTTTAGTGATATCTAATATTTTGCATCAATCTTAGGATTGTATACAAAAATTCAAATCTAAAAGATAGATGAGGAGATACACAAAACTTCATTATTAAAATAGACTGATATTTTATAAAGCTAATTTTTAAAGTTAATGAAAGCAATAGATAAATTTCATTTTTGTGAATTAATGAAAGAAATGTAATGTAAAGTAATGTAATTATCAACATCTGAAATTGTTTTTGTTGAAAATAATGGTTTATGGAAATATCATAATGAAGAAATAAAGAAATTAGATAATTTAGCTGGAGTATGTGGTTAAGTGGCTATAAGTAAATAACCTGCATATTTTGCTAATATTTCAAAAGAACTTAATTTTAATTAAATAGTTGATATGTATTCAATTGCTCCTTTATTTATTTATCCTATTGTTCATAATAATGAAACTCATGCTCTAATTTAGGTGTCACTTACTAATAAATAAATAGACAAATATAGATTTAAAGATCCCTTGATCAGTTTATCGTCATAATCTAATTAAGCAAGAATATTTTGTGATTATGTTACTACTGCATATATACATAAGTTTTTATGAATATAAATAGGCATATTTAAATTTTGAGTAATATATATATATTTTTTAAAATAAATAAAAATTAATGTAAAGAACTGATGTTTTAGCTAATAGAACATACATTTTAATTGTCTTTTTAGTAATCTGCATCTTTGTTGCTCTTTTTGGAAGACAATCATCAGATAATCAAGCAATTTCAGAACGTTTTGAGCCTGAAGTAACAGAATCAGAAATTCGATATTATTTGGAAAATGATATTAATTTTAATGATAGTGATCAATTTGGTATTTAAACAATATAAGATTGGTTACCTATTCAATCTGAATTAGCTTAATTGAATTTAGCATTAGAATATTTTTCACGCTTAAATTTGGAAAAAATATTAAATAAACATGATTAATTAGAAGAAGAAGTAAATTTATGTTTAGATTTACAATTGAATTAAGAATTAGAAAAATATGTAAATTAAATAAATTTGAGTCAAATAAATTAAACAATCAGTTAAGATGTTCTTGTAAATTACAATATTTTATTTGAAAAAAAAATTCAATTAAATGATAGAATAGGACTGAAAAAGGTTGAAATGGATGCATTGTCATTTGAAGAAAAGGATTTGAAATAAATATATACATAATATTAACTAAACTAAATGGAAACTAATAAATTGTAAAGCAAAAAAAAATAATCTGAAAAGTGTGCTTAAGATATAAGTTGGTTGGAATAACAAATAAAAGAATATAATGAAAAAAGATAAATATATTTGTAAGAATAAAAAAATTAAGAAGATTTAACAAATGAATATTAAAAAGATTAAGAATTAGCAAAAAATATGAGTAAACTATTCAAACCTGCAGGAACAAAATCAGTAGAAATTCATGATTAAAAATTAGGAGGTATTGTTAATGTCATAGATTAAAATATAAAATAATATAATACTTCAGAAGTTTTTTTAAATGGATTGAATTTCCATCGAGAAATTTAAAAAAATTATTTAGAAGATATTGAATTAAATATTATAAGATTTGAAAGAACTTTAGAAATTAAAAAGAAAGATAAAAATTAATTAGAATAAGAAATTGAAGATCTAGAAAAATAAAGAAAAGAAAAAAATGAAGTTTATTAGAATGCAGTTAGTAGATTAGAGGAAATAAGAAGAAGAAAAACTGATTTAAATAATGAAACATAAATGGAAAAAAAAGAATTAGATTCTGTTATTTATGAATTGAAAAATTACAATCCATAAAGTAATTTATAAAATAATGAATAATTAGAAGCATAAAAGAAATTTAAAAGTAATTAATTATCATTTATTATTATATAGAATATTTATATTAACATTTGAAAGAAGATTAATTATGTGTTGAAAAATGTATTGAATATGATTCTCTTAATTAATAAATTAATATTGGAAGATATAAAATTTCATTGAGTTTAATTTAAAAACATTTTCTAGAATTGGAACAGAAATTTAAGGAATTCAAAATTTGAATTTTTTATGAAAGATATACATAAATATTGATGTCAATCTATTACATCAAACTAAACTTTAAAGCAATTTATTTTTTTTATCAATTTAAATTTATTATGCTGTTTATAATCCTTTTATAGAACTTTATCTTCCTAAAGGTCTTCCTTTAAATTCATTTTAATCATTATTTTTATCTGATTCTGTCTTTGATTCTTTATTTGTATCTTCAGAATGTATTTTTAGAACTTTCTCTTCTTCTTCTTAAGGATATTAAGATAACAATTCTGAATTGTCTTTCTTCATTTTTTCAAGTTTAGAAGGATCCTCTTGCAATTTTGTAGAAATAGTTTTTCTCTATAATACATCACCAATATTAATTTTTTCTTCTTAAAGTAAAGCTTATTTGGCTTTATTGACAGATTCTTTAGATAAAGGAATAATTTAATTTGTATTAGAATTTCCTTTTCTTAGATCAGTAGCTTAAAATAAACTAATTTAATACCAAGTTATCTTAAAGCAAATAAAGATGTTTCTTATTCTTATGTTAAACCCAAAAATGTTGATTATTTATTAACAATTCTTGGAGTTCCTAAACATAATGTCCTTTCTTTATCACTCATTTAACTTAAAACATTATTCATTCTATTTCCACCAATTGTTTTTTCGAACATTTATTTATTTTTTTCAATTAATTCTTATTTATCTGTAGATTCAATCTTTCCATTTTTTGTATTTTTTTAGATAACATTTAAAATATTACTGTATTCTATTTAATACTTTTTACAAATTTTATCTTAAAATTCAACAAATTCATCATCTTCTTTCATCTATTGACATTTTTCTACTATAGATTTATAGATAATTCTCTTTGCTAAAAAACCTGCTCTTAAAGATTGTATGCAATCATCTGGTAATTTAGTTACATCTTCTGCTTATAATTAATATAGCTAATATTTATAAAGAATTCTTACAGTAGATTCACATATAGATATACTTCCATATTCTGATCCTTATTCAAATAATAATTTTTATTCATTGAATACTCCAGAATTTTGAATACATCCAACAATAATGAAATTATGACTTTTTGTCGAAGTAAAAATTAATGTTGCACCTTTTGTTTAAAAATACAAACTTGCTGTTCCTCCTTCTGGAACTGTCATTATGCTACCAAACTTTTTTTTAGTTTCCTTAAATAATGTCAACAAAGTCTATTTTTTTTATACGTCAAAAGATCTAATTGGAATACAACGTTATAAATTTTGTGATTTTAATTCTAATTCCTACAATTCGGTACTCTTTTTAATTTGGTACAACTGAATACATTTTTAAATGAGTTGAATAATTATCTGTCGACCTAAAAAGCAATGGCTCCTTCTCCAAATTCAACTTCTTCATTCTAAACAACTTCAGCCTTTTTGTATACTCTTGTCTTCGAACTTAATTCACCTAATTATAATTTATTCTCATACCTTCTTAAACAAAATATATTGGATTCGTTCCATCATTACTTGTAGCTATTTTTATATGCTTTATTATCTAATGTAATTATATATTATGAACTTCATTAATTTGATTTCCTTTAAGATTACTTTCTAACCACATATATGCAGTTGGTCCACTAAAATTTTTAATACAATGCTTTAGATAAACAACATCATCATCTGTCATATTTGAACCTGAACAAAATATGATTCATAAATCTAAGTACCTTGCTCTAATATTTATCGCATTTATTCCTTTCTAATATCATCCCAATTTGTTTTTGTATTTACTTAAGACAATTTTTATTACATTTTAGCAAAAAATTAATTAATCAATATTTATATAAGATTAAGTATACTATTTCCTTCACTAATTCATTTCGTTAAGAATAAATCAATAAAATGTAACTTCTCTATTATATCTAATTATAAGTGATAATACGTAATTTATTATTTTTTATTAATTAATTAATCTCTCTAATACTAATTTAATTATTGAATATACTTTATTTCTTCGATCTAATGATTCTTAAATTAAATTTTATTCATTAAACGAATTGGATATGCTTGAAATCAAAAAAAGATTTATTTTGATAAAAATACTTTGAATTATTTTTTGTAGAAAAATTTTCCAATCAAATCATTAAATTAATATTTAAATTCTTCAGAAATCATGAGTAGATTTGCATTTATATTTGAAATATTAATAATAAACATAAATAAATAATCATTTCTAAATTTTGAAGTATTAAAAATAATATTTATTAATAAAATTAATCTGTTAATTTCCAAACAAATATCCATATTTGCAAATGTCAACCAAAGTCAAAATTTCCAAAAGAGGGCAAGAATATGAATTGTATTCAAAAGAAAATTACAATCCATTTAGTAATTTATCACTTTGCCCTAAATCCATTATTGCATTAGCTTAATCCTCTTATGATTAATAACTTATAGAATTTACTCTTAATTAACTTAAAACACCATGTAATTTAAAACACGAAACTCATTTATAAAGAATGAGATAAATTGCAGATAAATAAGAAACTTTTGTACATGGTTAAATCAGCATTAATAGTCAAATTGAAACCTAGGTATAATACAGTGATCATTCATTTTATGATTAAATGGAAACAAGTCACAGAAAAAATAGTTTACATTATTTTGATGAATCTCATCAACACTTTTGATTTAGTTATTATAAATTATGTATTCTAAACAATTACTTATTTTAATATATCAATAAGATTTAATAGAAATTATTATATATAAATTTTATTAATCAAATATTAAGTAAACAATTTGGATTTTATAAAATAAGATAATATAATATTATTAAAAATAAGTTTCTTAATTAATTAAAGTTTACATAAATTTGGAATATCATTTAATGAAAAATATTTTAAATTTCATTAGATTAGATTTTAAAGAACTAATATTTTTCTACCAATCATAATAATGTTTAGTAATTCGAATAATCTCATATCTCTATCCAATCTTTGAGTTTTAATCTTACCAATAAGCATGAATAAAAAGGTTCATTTAAATCTTTTATAGATAAATAAATGTACAATTATTTGTTTGATTATAAAATTATCCTGCCACACATTCAGTTAATTGTTTAATGGTATTAAAACAAGAAAATTACGAAATTGAAAAATTAAATTCATATTCATAATCAGGTTTCAAGACTATGATTACTATATTACTAAATTCATCCTTAAAATAGAAAAAAGGTTTTACAATTTGTTATTAAGAAGATTTTTAGATTCTTTCCCTAATTTTTTTTTATAATAAATTCATTTCTAAATATATATTTGGACTATTTTATATAAATTAAAAATATATACTTTTGCATCCTTTTTATGTTTTCAATAAGAACTGATTAATCTATAATGTCTTAAGAATGTATTGAATTCTTTTTTCTTGATGTTTAAATTTTATAGCTTTCTTAATTTATCAAATTTCTATGACCTTATTCAATTATTTTAGAAGTTGATTATGTTTTTTTCAAAATTAAATAATCTTTAAAGCTTTTTGATTTGCCAGTTTTGATTCTAAAAGGAATTAAATTATTAATAATTAAATAAATTTAGTTATTTAAGAAATAAGTTAAAAACTTTAAGAAATTAAATGCTACAAAGAATGAAAATAATTATACATATATTAATAATACTTCATGAAGGCTATAATGATTGACCATTTTGGTTATCCAAAAATTGTTAAGCAGCATCATTTAATGGATCAACTTAAATTATTATTATAAGATATTTTACCTTGAGAACCTTCATCAAGAAATTTCAATTTGATTGTACCATTATATATTAGATTTCCTGTAACCAAAACAAAGAACCCAATCAATTCTAAAACAATAGCCTCCCATCTTGTGTTTTCCCATTTTGCCTCTGGATCTATCCAAGTGATAGCTAATGAAACTGCCCATATAATTAATGTTCTTGATACATCTACTAAAGATCTAATTTATCAAAGAAATCAATACCTAGCCAAAGATGATACATATTTAGTAACTGAAACACCACAAATATTGAATGTTGCTATTGTAAATATACCTAAAATAACCCAGAAAAGCAATAAACCACTGGCAAAAATTTGCAAAAAATAAAAATCAGCTCTTTCAAAATAAAACATATCAGTCATTCGTTTTTATATGCAGCTACCTTCCATAGAGGTTGGACATTAGATAAATGTCAATGCTATTGCTAAAACAACATAAACTGAAAAACCCCATAATCCTTCAATACCTACTATTTCAAAAGGATGTAAATAATAAACATCAAATAACTTCTCTTCAGAAACAAATTAAAGTCCATTCATTACAACTGATAATAATAATAATCCAACTGATATAAAATAAGCTGCTCCTACTTCTTATTTTGTATCTGAATCATCATTGTCTTTTTTTGGAGGGAATAAAAATGAACTCATTCCAACTAATGTTATACCAACCAATACAAAAAAGCATCCAAACCATTAATACCTTTTAATATGTCTCTTTAAGAAGCATGTGGACATAATTGCTGTTGAGATAATTGCTCCTCCTCTTAACATCTAATAAATCGATGGGGGAATATAATTTAAGGATATATAAGCCAATGTTGAAGCAGTTAAATCGCACATTGCTGGAATAGCCACCCAACCATAATTAACCTTTGTTTTTAATCTATTATATATAAATTTTCCATATATACCCTTTTGCTGCTGCTTCGATACATCCTTATTTATAATCTGGCTTTTTCTTAATATTTAGAAATAATAAAATGCACAAAGACTCACCTAAAAACATTGTGACTGCTTGCATAAAAGGATGATTGAAATTTGTTGCTTACCATCCATCAACTGAAACTTTGCTTGTATTTTACAATTTATAGACTTTTAATGGTATACTTACAAATAAGTACCTATTGTATTTGCTGCCCCAGAGAGAATCATGGCAGTGATCAAAAGCGTAATGAATGACGATGATTTATCTCCCATTTAATTAATAAAATTAATTAAATCGCCATTGACAAAAAAATTTTTACGCAATAAATTACGATTAGACGAAATTTAATACATCATATTTATTATGTTTTATAATTATATATTCTTAGTTATTCTTATGATTTTTTAGATAATTATGTATATTATATAAAGTATCTTTTTAATTAACGGATTTTTGTTATTTCAAATTAAAAAACTATTAAAAACGAATTAAATTAAAATTTTCATCATATCTATAATAAATACAATATGAAATATAAATTCATATATGAATTACATCAGTTATTGATCAATAATTTAAATATCGTTTTTATTATAACTCAGTTAACTGTTATCCAAATTAAATAAGTCTAAAATTAGTAAATACTTTTAGATTTACACGATTTATGGGATTATTTATGAGATTATTTTTTCTATTAGCAATAATTCAATTCTATTTTATTTCCCTTTATAATTTTTCATCCAAAATTTCCTTAAATTTTACTATAATTGATAATTAAGGAAACAATATTACTCAAAATAAAAATATTATTAACATACTAATTATTTGGGTAGATTTATTTCCTAAGGTCCTTTATGAGATCTCTTTTATTTAATTAAATTGGCTCTTTATATATATCGAGATTTTTAATAATTCTTAATACATAAACTCAATAATTTCTAATTTAATAAGTAAAAGTGAATGTAAAATTAAATAATTTATAAAAATGATGAAAATTAGATGGAAAGTTTTAAAATACTAAATCTATATTGTTGATTGATTCATAATATAAGTGATTATTTGATTATGTTTTGAATATTTCAATTAAAATTTACCAGTATAAAGTAATACAAAATCAAATGATTTAGTAAAGTTAAGACAATAATTATAATTCTTAAGCACAATTTAAAAGGAAGACTAATATCATTATTACAAGTAAGTGTTAAAAAAGAACAAATTATTATATGAAAATAATTGGATCATGACACTTTATTCTTCTTTTACTATAAAAATCTAAATACGGAAAAACCTAGGTTCTCGCTCTAACTTCTAATTCTAACATTCTTAAGATTATTTTTTTTAATACATATTCTTTTAAAGCTTTTTAACATGGAATGTGATTAGCAGCTCTTGGTTTCTCATCAGTTTCTGATTCTTCAAAAATGACATCTTCTGGAGAATAAATAGTCAATTTTTATTAATATATTTTTGGCCCTTTAGGTGGCTCAAGGCTTAAGGGATCGAGTATTTAAGGAGACTCTTTTGGTCTTTGTATTTTTAAAACAAATACTTAATATGTGGTTTAGGAGGTGGTTTATCATATACATCTAAATATTCTTAATAAGTCATGGAGGAATGATATCTCTATCGAATTTCTTAAGTGTAAAGATTATCCATAATTTTTAAATATAAAAATATAAAATCTAAATAAATACTCATTATTTATTTATTCCTTCTGGTTGTATGAATTCTACTTCATCCAAAGCATAATAAAATAAAACACAAGGGTACAAATCATGATCAGATTTTGGTATGTCAAGTTTAAAAGTAGTGTTAGACTGAAATATAAATACATTTAACCTTTTATTTATTGAATATAATAGTTTAGTTATTTGGATCATAAGTGCAAACAATAATATCACCCTTTCCAAATTTGAAACATTTAACAACATTATTTTGATTAGAAGTTGTACTTGACCATGCACCACCATTTGATGAAACCATATATCCACCATGTCCAAGTGATTAAAATGCAAATCCAAATTATTTATTTTACACTATTGATAAATCACATACACCAATTGCTATCCAATTACTTTAATGAACACACTAAAATTTGTAGATTAAATTTATATTACATTTAATTTAAAACCAAATACAGTAGTCTAGTTTTTGTCTAAGGATGGTGTCATAACAGCAAACTTGTATCCATGAGTTGAAGAACTTGCTTTAATTAAATATATAAATATACCTTTTACAATCTTTGGTGATAATATATCAACCTATGGATGTTTATTATTTGGTAAAAATTAAAATTACAATACTTTATTCAAAATTTTTTTCTATGTTTTTGATTACAATAATTCAATTTATTATTGGAAAACCTAATTAAATTGTGTTTCTAATTAATGTAAATGATCTTTTTGATCATTAATGTGAAAATCGAAAATCCTATTGATTTCTTCATAATTTAGATCTTTTTCTGGTATTTCTTCTACTAATGTATCAATTAATTTCTTAACCGAACTACTTAGCATTTCAACATTTGTTTGATTTTATATAATTGTATCAATAACTGAAACTATATATCATTCATTTTAATATTTACATTAATTTCCATTACTGAATTCTCTCATTTTTACATATTTCCTTAAATTTTCAAAAAAATCCTACTCTAAGTTCAAAATTTTGGATAGTTTATTATTTATTTGTGTTTTTAACTCCTGAATGTAAATCAAAGATTTTTCTTCTTATTCATTAATTTTCTTTATTAGGAAATCCTTTTCATATTATTTTAAAGAAATATTTTAATACTCTCTATATGTTGAAAAAGAATATACCTTAATTATTAATCATATTCACACAACAACAATTTTAAAGGTTTTAATTGATGTCCTTTATGAAATTCTTCTTAACATATACAACAACACAAAATTTGCCTTTACAAACAATCCTTTTCAAGACATATTAAACTCATGGTTTCTCCACTATGATCACCTCCAATAGGACACTAAGGATATTAAAGACTTGAAAATTTTTTAATATTCAATTTGTCATCTGACTTATTCATTTGTTTATAAGTCTTAACCATATTTTGTACCAATTATTTCATTTTTATTATTTAAAATAAAACTCATAATGAACAAAATATAGATTTTTATTAATATTATATACAAAAAGAAAAGACTTATCATAAATATTGATTTTTAACTTATGTTATAGTTTGCATAATTAGCCTTATTTAAATTCATTCAATAATTGTAAAAATAATATTTATAATTTTATCATTCAATTAATATTCATGCTAACTCATACTTTATCAATATTTTTATGACTCTAAATCTGAATAATTTATTATTTTATTTATACATTCAATAATATAAAATCATCAAGTTGTTTAAGATATAAAATATTATGTGTGTATTATTATTAGATTAAATTAATCTAGAAAACTAAAGATCATAAATTCTATTATTTGAATTTTATGAAAAGTATTTTTAGACAGTATATAGTTTCTATATATGATTTAGTTAGATTAAGATATATTAAACCAGCAAATTGTTCAGTTAAAATTGGATTATTTAGAAAGTACCTAAAATTGTAAATGCAAATGGAATCTAACTCAGATTTTCAAAATACCTTCTTTCAAATGTTTTGAATAAATTGAATTTGATAATATCCAAATTAGATAAATTATAACGATTATTAAAAATATTCAAAGGCATTTTTTATATCCTCTCCAGATATATAAATAGTATTTGGTTATTATAATTTGAAGAATAATGTCATTAATGTTTTACAAAGAAACATCTAAGTTAATAACAATAACATAAAACTTAAACCTCAAGTGTTAATAAAAATCCACATGGTTGGATAGTTATAAATATAAAAGGCTACAATTTTGATTTGTTTTATTGTTATATAATAGTTCCATTTTTGATACTCAAATGATACAACATTTAGATGATTTTATTAAATGTATATATATTTATTTCTTATGCATTTTTAATTATCTTAAAACATGAGCTTAGACTTAAGAAGTCCTGTAGAAGATGGTGTTGATGATGACATAAGCTCAACAGAATAACTATGTGATGATTCAGTTGAATCGTTAGAAGAATTCCTTCCGAAAATTCATCAAAAATCAAATCCATCTTTCATTATGGAAGAAAAGATAATTCAATATCTCAAACAATTAAATTTGCTATTTAAAACTGATCCAAGAAAAAAAGAATTTGAATATTAGTATTATTTGTTTGTTACACTAGTGAAAAATAAAAAAAAACAATACCTCAGTTTTTAGGTTCTGTTGAGGGCTCACCTGCTATAAAAAGTATCAAATCAAAAACTAAATAAATGATACTATATAAATAACACTGAAAATAAAAGCCTTTTACAAAACACAAATATAAATAAATGATGACTTATATTACGATCAAGTAATTTTATTTGAAGTTTTCAGTTTTTATTTACTGTCTTGATTACTTTTTTTTAATTATAACTCTCTGGTTTCATTTAGAATTGTAATTTTATCAAATCATAATATTCTTTGATTTATTATTTTTCAAAAGAACCTAAAATTTACAAAATAATCTAAATAACTATTATATTTTTTAGATTATGATATCCATAATATTCATTTGATATGAAGTTTCTTTTGATCAATTTTATCTGAGCATTTACTTTATATTATCCCATTTAAATAATCAATTGAATAAAAAGAATATTTGTATTATATTTGATATTAAATATTCTTTATTTAAACCTATAACTTTTGCATTCTTAATTCAATATTATTTCTAATTTAATAAATTTATTCACAATATATATATAAAAATAATATAACCTTATATTTGATGTGAGGACAAAAATCTTAAATTTATAACTGATCATCATCAATAAAAAAACTAAATTTATAAAAGAATCAAATATCACTTTTATTATTCATAATCAATATTTTTCAAAATTTGAAATTATTAAAATAACTATAAATCCATTAATGGTATTTTATTTTTGATATATAAATAATTTGCTCTTTTATTTAATTTTATTTCTTTAATTATATATATTTATATATATAGTTTACAATATCATTATTTATAAATAAATTTATATAATATAATTATCAATTTTTAAAGTAGAATTATATAAGAGTAGAGAATTTAAAAATAAGAATCTAAATTTAATAAGGTATTGTCTATTTTATCTTTAATTTAAATAAAAGGCTTGTAATCTTCAATCAAAAATTTAAGTATTAGCAATTCTTATCAAATAAATATTAGTACTAAATTAAATATAATTCTTACTTTAAATTATTATAACCACTAATAACTCAAAAAGGAAAACCTTTTATTGAAATCAAATTTTAAATATCCATATCCTATTTATAAGAATTAAGAAATTGTAGTAAAATGGATTACACAAAAATTAGTTAGATTAATGATCCTTAATTGGAAACTAAAAAATAATTTAGTATTATAATTTAATAAATCTATAAGCTCGTATGAAATTCATAAAAAATAAAATAAGAGATATACTAAAAAATTTAATGAATGTAATCTATAAAAGGTTTGCTTCACAATCAAAAGGTTAATTTCATTATTAATAATTATTTTTTATTTTTATATTAATAAATTGACTTTATATTAGATTTACAATATAAAATTCATCATCATGATATCCTTTATAAAGAACAACATCTTGTTGAGTCGTTGTATTGTTTCTTTAAATAAATCTCTAATTTTGAACAGTGTTCATAAAAACAATATGAAAGAATTGGAAAGTAATGTTCAAATTCTTCATTCCCTTAAAGTCGTTTTATTATTAAAACACAACAACCAAGATGATCATTAATTGTTGACATTTATTGATTACTCAAAAATAAAATGTTTGACCTTCTTATTATCAACTCATTCAAATTTTATAATAAAGCCTAAGAAAAAGCATATTGTGTATCAATCAATTCAATTTGTTTAAGTAAAAATTCAATAGTAGAATCTCTTTAGTGTTTAATTTCTTATTTAAATTATGTAGTGAATAGCAATTTAGAATGATTGGATTTATCTTTTTCTTAAATTAACAAATTGATTTTTCTTGTATTTGAACAAACTAAACCCATCTTTCTTTATGATTTTTTAATTTTATAAAATAAACAATGAACTTAGTAAAGAAGTTCTAAATGATATATTGTCATTCAATTTAGTTACATTAATTTAACATGACGCATACTCATTTCATAATTATTTTTACTTCTATTTTTATTAATTGATACTAGAATTATATAGGCTTTGAATTTCATTACTCAAAACATATTATATTAAAATATATTTTTCATAAGATTCTAAAAACATTATTTAAAATATTATAGAAAAATTAAATTAAAATAAAATGGATTGTAAAGAACATTGTGCTACATTTTTGAAGTTTAAAATATAAGAATAGAAACCCAATAGAAATATTACAGATCAAAATCAAAGTATTTCATAGATAAAAGTCATCAAATAACATTTTTTAAATTAGTAAAATGAGATTGTAAATATAAATGTCTAATAAAAGAATAATATTGAGCAATTATAAAAAGCAACATCAAATCTATATTATGCTATGTATTAAATAAAGGAAAAAAAAAATATATATATGATACCATTTACTTAATTAAAATTTGATAAATCTGATTGGTTGATTATGGCTATTATAAACCTAATTGAAGAAAAAAATAAAATTATTGATGAACTTGGAGAAACAGAAAAAAATAAATATGAAAATGTTTAAATAAAATTTATATTAATAGGCAATTAAGTGGACCAAGAAAATTATTGATTCTTATGAAGAATTCGACGATTTTTATATATAAATCTTAGAAGTTTCTAAGTAACTTAAAAAACCATAATTAAATGAGTAATTTAGTAATTTGTTAGTTTTGCAGCAAAACTTAAATGTTAATAAATTTTTAAAGACATTTTGCTTTATTCAAAATATTAAATTAGATCTAAACTAATACCCTGAAGTTTCATAATTCTCATAAGAAATAGATGAAAAAATGAATTAAAATTAATACTAATTTGATAATAGTTTAAAAAGAAATTTGTATTTTAATTTCACATCTGATATTGAATAAATAGACATAGACTTTTGGACATTTTATATGTCAGATTATAAAGAAACAAATAAATTAATAATTTTATATCCAATTATTTAAAATAAATAAGAAAAGTAATTAAAAAATAATACAAGAAATGAATTAATAATTCCAATTATTTATAATAATTCAGTGCAAGAATATCAAATGAAATTGATTTATAAGTCACAACTTGAATAATAAATAAAAAATTTCAAACCAGATTACATTTATTTTGAATATTAAATATCTGATTAATTTACATTAGATTTAAATGCTTTAGAATATTTAATAAGATAACTATAAAAAAGTGCAAAATTTATCATTCATTTTAGAATTAGCTAAAATTAAGATTTTTCAGAATATCAGCTATCAACTAATTTGAATGCAATAGTTATGGGACTATAAGGATTGAAATATTCAGAGAAAAAATTTATAAGCGAAAATTAATTTAAAGAAATGGGAATATGGACAACCGAAATGATGAGGTTGAAAGAAAATTCAAATAAAAATATCAATTTATCACTTTAAAGTGAATTACAATTAATTTAAATTTAAATTTAAAATATATAAAACAAGATATTTGGATTCAAATAAGAAAGAAATGAATTTATATGGATATAGGAAGATAATATTAATATTAATACTTAACATTTTGTTTATAAAGATACTATTATTTTATATAATAAACTGAATAGAGATATTTATTATTATTCGCTAAAACCCTCTGTCAAAAATATATAAAATCTTCCATAGAAAATTGAATTGTAAATATTAGATCTATTCAAAGCACTAAGATAAATTTAGGTAACTAACAAAATCCAGTTGAACCAAGTATAATCAAAATATAAAATTATTTAATATTTGCATATGGACATAATAAAAATAATAATAATAATGACTTAGAGTTTTCTGATAAAATATGGCTTTATGATTTGTAAAATAATTAATAGTTACCTATTATAATAAGTAGAGATGAGGAATACGATGAATTTAGACTTCCTTACTATAATAAGGTTAGAAATTCTCAAGATATTGTAAATAGAATTAAATGGAGGAGAGCTCCATAAATTTGTAAAAACATTATGTTTAATGATGATAATTAAAACTTTTTATCTTTTATTCTAATAGGAGGTGAAACACTTAAGTAAAAATAAGTTTAATAATCGAATTCTAATTCAATAATGAATATAATAGAAGTTGTCATATTGAATCTGAAAAATTAAAAATTTTGTTCATTTATTGTGAATAAATCATTATTATCTAGATTATCTTCCTTAAAACCTTGGCCTTATTAAACAGTACTTGATGCTAAATTAGAGAATACATATTTTTATTTAGTTTTAAATGGAAATTAAACTACAAAATAGGATTATTATTCCTTTCCAAAAAACCCTCAATATCTTAAATAAGTTTAGCTTCTAGTTTAATCAGAAAAAACATTTTAACTTTTCATCCTATCTCTTAAACCCTCCTAAGATCCAATATTTTAATTAGATGAACTTGTTGATGATTGCAAACTTTAATATTATGTTGAGTAAAAAAAGGAAAATAATTGTTTTGTTTGGAAACTTATAATTACCAGATTTGTTTTGATTTCAAATTAATTAATAAATCATCGATTATTTAGGCCATTAGAAGATAAATTGAAAAAAATGTAAAAATAGAGTATTCATTTTTGTTAAATATGCTTTTAAGTAAATGTTAAACTGAATTTATAAGTTTAAGAATAATCAACTTAAAGTTATTAAGAATCTTATGTAGAAATAGATTATGAAAAGATTGAACTATTGCAAAATAACATATGACTTTAAATTAATATTTGTTTTGGGTATAAAATTGAAACTTAACATTTATTCTTTAATATTAATTGAATTCTAATGTCTAATTATAATACAATCATTTACTTTTCATTTATGACATATTCATATGGTAAAATAAAATTCTTAATTTAACCGAAACTTAGATATTCTATAATTTGAGTTGAAAATTATTCAATATCTTTCATATTTTAAAGACTCTTTCTTTTTATACTCAAATTTATTTATATTTTTTATTTTTAACAAACATATTAATTTTTAATATTCTCCAATTATTAAATAGAATATTTAATTTGATTTAACAAAACTTATCCATAATTATAACATTCTAAATAAATTAATTACTATCGATATATAAGATTCAAGTTCCTAACTTTTCAAAAATTACTATATTGAGTGATAAATTTTCAATAATTTCTTAAATAAAGAAATTCTACAATTCTATAAGAAATTAAAAAAATAAAACAAAATTTAATCCTTAATCTTAAATACATTTAATTTAATTAATAAAGGGCTATAAGGAAATGAAATATTTCTTGCCAAAATTGTGATAAAAAGTATTATAATTAGAAATCTCTACAATAAAATTGAATCATTAATTAAAGTATAAATTATAATATTGATACTTATTAGATATAAGAATAATATTATCATAAATATATTCAAATAAATAAGGTTGAATTTTTAATAATATTCATGTAAAATATTTAATTCTCTCTTTTTCTTCTTCTGTAATATCATCAACTACTTGTTCTTCTACTTAAACTTATGCTGGCCATGATCTAATCATTATAGGTCTTCCAGTTCTTTTATGAACAACTTATTCTTTTTATTACTCCTTTTATTTTTTCTATTAATCTAATAAATCTTGCTCTTATTTCATTTACTTAACTATATCTTTTCTAGCCTTAATACAATTTTTTTCTTTTTCTAATACAAGCTCAGGAGCTATTTATCTAAACATCTTCAAATCATTTATTCTCTATTCTAATAGTTTTTCAGTCTCTTTAAGCATTTCAATTCCAGTAATATCTTTTCTTGGTTCAAGATTAACATCAGTTCTATATATTTTAGCTATTTAGTTTTCTAAATTTTTTAAGGGTTCAAAAACTTCACTATCACTTCTTATAGCTTTTAATACTTTGATTTAATCATTAACTTAATCAATTTATTTTAAAAATTCATTTTTTGTTTGTAATGCAGTTTTTTATTTTTCTTCTAAAGTTTTAATCTTTTAATAATATTTATTTTTTAAATCTTCTACCATTTATTCTCTTTCTTTAGTATTTCCAATAAGAAATAAATTCTTTTCTTCTAATTACTAGAATATTTCTTCCAATTATTTTGGTTAAGTGAAATATGTCACTTATTCATCATCTGAATCATTCAATAATTATTATAATTCATTATTAATTTAATTATTTTAATTATTTCTTGATAAAGCAACCTATTATTACTATTATTATTATTTTGGTTGTTTTTATTTCATCTAAAATTCTTTTGGAGTAATCTTATCTAAGAACTTTTTGTATTTTAAGAGATCTTCTAAATTATCTATTTTTTATTATATTTTAGTCATTAAATCTGTTCTATGTTCTTATAAAGCTTTTATTTCATTATTTTTTTCTTATTTTAATTTAGTTTCTCTTTCTGCTTCTTTTATAGCCTCCCTTGAACTCATTTTATTCTGCTCTAAAAATTTATTAAATAATTCCACATCTTCTTCTATGAGTTATTCACTTTTTTCTAATCCTAATCTATGTAATTTAGTCAATTTCTCAAATTCATCTATCATACCTCTCTTATGATCAATCAACATCTAAAATAATAACATTTCTCTCTTCTTATCTATGAATTAATACATAGGTTCTTTTTATCTAACTCTATTCTTAACAGCATTATCAGCAGCATCAATAATATTTCTTAAAATCAATTATATCTATACATCTTTGCATTATATTCCTTGTCATTTTTATCTTCTTCTTTTCCAATTTCATTAATTTCCCTAATACTCAATTTTCCTTTAGATTTTATACCTTTTTCATGAACTCTAAGATTTTGAAACTTTATTCTTTCTTCCATTTTTATTTACTTTTCTTTTTCTTTCATTTTAAAGATTTCATATTCATCAGGAACATAAAATGGATTTTCAATGCTTTAATTTAATCTTTCCTATATTTTTGGTAGCTAAGAAGTCATATGTAATTATTTGTTAATAAAAAGAATATATAATAATATATTTTAGAGTGATTTTTGCTATTATAAAAATAAGTATATAATAAATAATTTATTTATATTATGAATATAAAGTATAGGTTAATGTACAATAAAAAATTGTTATTATTTATCCTTAACAAATTTTTTATGATTCTAAAGTCTATTTTAAATAAGCTATTAGTACATATTGTCATAAAGTGTTAAAATTTAGAATCTTTATTTATCATTATTTTTTTGATGATAAAAATTATGTCAAAAAAAGTTATGATATAATATTATTAAAATGATAATAATAATTAATTAATTAATGAGACTTTTTTCTGATATAACATCCACAGTTACTTTAAATGTATAGAGAATCTATATTAGATGATTTAAACCTAGAATGTATGATGATTCTTATATGATATGTTTTAATACAATCTTTAATATTGTTTGTGAATAAATAATTACTCAGCTATATTTTTATAGCCAATAAATATATTAGAATTGTTGTTTACATAAAATATTAAACCTTTTAAATAGTAATATTTTAGAAGAGCAACAATTATGTATTTCTTAATGAAATTAATAATAAATATTAAATAATTAATTTATCTGAAAAAGACTTAAAGTTTCTATATATCTATATTTCAATTCAAGAATAATGAATTATATTTATATTATTTTATTATTATTATTTATATGTCTGCAAAGGATTTATTGATTTAATTATTTGGATTGCCAAAAGGAGAAATCATCTTTTAAGATTATTCTTGCGCTTTAAAAGGCTTAATTTCAAAATATGGAAGAATATTCATAGCTGAAAATCATATTTGCTTTTATGCAAATCTTGCAGGAAGCAAAACAAATTTAGTGATTAAATTAGATGATATTGCTAAATTGGATAGTAAAAATAAGAGTGATATTGATATCACCTTAAAAGATGGCAAAACATTTTGTTTCAATGGTTTTCATGACAAAGATTAAGTATACAATCTAATGAATGCTTTAATATCAGGTTAACCATTATCAAATTAAACAACATTCTAAACTACAACAGATAGTGCTAGAGAAGATGATTCTTAAATAGAAAATGCTGAAGTAGAAATTTAATTTCTTTAATCAGGAGCATCTATGGATTAAGAGATGTGCAAATTCACATTTTCCTTTAATTTAGATAAATTTTTTGAATTCTTTCTTGCAGATGATGCACTTGTTTATTCAATTGCAGATCATAGATAATCAGAAAAGGATACTGATATTTAATTAACTAAATGGACTCCTATAGAAGATAATCCAACAATGTTCTAAAGAGAAATGAAAAATGTTATTAAGTTAACAGGAGTTCCTTTTAAAGATAAAAGTAAAATGCATAAACTTTTTACTTATAAAAGAGAGGCAGATAAATTAATTTATACTTGTACTACTCATACCTTAGATGTTCCTTATGGAAATTGTTTTTAGGCTGAAGAAAAGTGGGAAGTATCATAATTAGAAGATAATAAATGTTTATTGAAAATATTTGCCTCAGTTGTATTTACAAAATCTACAATGATGAAAGGTACAATTATGAGTAAAACAATGTCTGGTTTAAAGGAAGATTATGAAAAATGGATTAATAATGTTAAAATTAGGTTAGAAGCAATGGCAAAATCATAAAAATCATAAGTATCAAACATCAATCATGAATATGAAGAGTAATTATTCTATCTTATATTAGCTCTAAAAAATTAGATGATAATATTTTAAACAAAATAATGTAAACAAATCAATCTTAATAATAAAAGTAAAATATTTCTCAAAGTTAATTTTATTAAGGGAGAAAATCGGAATTACTTTATTTATTATCTATATTTCTTTTAATTATAATTATGCTCATTTAGATAGGAATATTAAATAAATAATCATAAAAACTTGAAAACTTAGAATAATTAGTATTAAAATTATAATAACAATGATATGTATTATTTTTTAATATTTTGATTACATAATCATTCTGTAACTGTTTCTTCTGTAGTTTCAGTTGTTTCTTCTGTAGTTTCAATTGTTTCTTCTGTAGTTTCAGTTGTTTCTTCTGTTGTTTCAGTTGTTCCTTCTGTTGTTTCAGTTGTTCCTTCTGTTGTTTCTTCTGTTGTTTCAGTTGTTTCTTCAGTTGTTTCTTCTGTTGTTTCTTCTCCTTTTTCAGTTGTTTCTTCTGCTGCTTCCTCCTCTGCTTAATTAGTTTATTCAGCTGTTTCAGTATTTTCTTCTGTCACTTCCTCTTCACCTGTTTCTCCAGTTTCAGTAGCTGATGTTTATTCATTTTAGCTTTCTTAACCTTCATGTGATTCTGCTTATGTTTCTGATTCTTAATTACCTGAACCAGCAGCTTAAGTAGTTTCAGAAGTTGTTTTTCCTTTGTGATGATGATGAATAGTAATTTCGTGAGTTTCATCATCTTCAGATGTTACCTTAACACCAGTTTAAGATCCATTACTTGTACATCCTCCTCTAATAATTTCGATATCTTTAATTTATCCTTTGATCTTGATTACTGTAATTGGAGTGCTTCTGCATTATTATCTACAATTGTTAAGACTGTTTATATATTCTCTCAATAATTTACATAATTCCTTTTTGGCAGCTGCTCTATCCTCGTGATCTATAATATTTATTTTATTTATATTTACTTTCAGAATCTAAGGCATGACATTATTCCCTTAAGACTTTTACTTAGTTTAAACCAATTTTGCTTTTTGTAAGTGGTAATTCTAATTTGTGTAATTTCTTTAGCAACTTCTTTCCTGAAACAGAGACTTATGCTTCTAAGAAAGAATGATGTTTTGTTGTTAACATTTTTTCCATTTATTCAAGGATCTTGATATCATGAGAAATGGCTTTTTGATGAATTAATAAATCTTCCCATTGTTTCATTTGTTTTTCTATAAAAGAAAATTGATCTGATCTTGAGCAATCCATTGTTTTAACATTAAAATTTGCTAATTCTTCTAAAGACATCATTTGCTCAGTGAATGCAAAAGCACTCAAAGCCAAAACTAATAAAATCAAAGCTTTCATTAAAAATAATATTCACAAAAACGAATTAACAATATTCCTTCTAAAATATTTTATGTAAAATATAAAAACTAAAAACTAATAATATTTTTTAAGATAATATAGAATAAATTACAAAGAATTCATAAATTATTATATTAGTCTAATGATAAAATATAATAAAGATCATAATTATTTTTAGTATTTCCAAAATGATCACATTTTGAATAAAAAATAATATATATAGATTGATTTTCTAATTTAATTTCTAAATTCTTAAGAAATGAGATCTCTTTAAGTTTATTAACTATAAATAAGGTGTATAAAAAGATAGGGTTTACTTGATTTTGATAAACTTCTTAGAGACATTTTATAAATTTTTTTTAATTAAATAATCAAAATAAGAAGTTTTCTCTACTATCTTATATTCTTATGATACTAAAAGAATAGATATCTAATTAACAGAATAAATGTTCTCTTATTAAAGATTTAAATATTTATTTAAGTTTACTAATATAATAGCTTTAAGAACTGATTTAATTAATGTTTACAAATTCTTATTATAATTAGATGGACAAATTCTAGTGGCAAGCTATAAATCATCAAATTAAAAATTTCAATTTTTTAATCAAAAACTATATTAAAGAAAAAATAATATTAAATTAACAGATTAACAATATGTTTTGCTACTTTTAGTGAACTAGATTGATTAAGATAATTTGATAATATATTTTTAATATTAAATTTTTTTATAAATCTATTCACTTCTCTCCTTTTTCATACCATGAAATTTCTGTTTAAATTGACCAATCATCAGAATTAAAAGGTGATAATTTTTAATAAGGATTGATTTTGCCAGATTCTGAGAAAAAAGTTTCCGATTTGTCAATAAATTTATTTTATTATATTTTTGAATTATCATCATTAGATTAACAATTATAAGTTAATTAGATAGTGAATTCGAAGGTAAAAAATAGTCCTTTCAAAATATTTTTTTCAAAATTGTCTTTATTTAAAAAATTTGTTTATTAATCTTTTTCAATATTGTCTTATTTTTTCTATTTAGTTAAAAATTACAAATTTTTGATTTTCATATAATTAGTATAAATTGCTTTCCATTTCCATTAATTTATATTGGTTTATGATTATGATTCATTTTAATCCTCTATCTCTATCCAATTCACATCTTCATTTATTAACTCTAAAATATTAAAACGATATTCAGAATCATTAGAAACTTTATATTCAATATCGATAAAAATAGTTCTATATTTATCTTTTTACTGTTCTTGAATCCATAAAAAAACTAATTATGCTTTACAAAGATTTTGAGGATTCAACATTGCTTCATAATAATTATTTTTAGTTTGATTCCAAGGTCTTAATATTAAATAAGCACAATTTATTTCCTTATTTTTACCTAATGATTAAATGTTCCTAATGGGTAAAACTAATTAATATGGAGATGGTTTAAGACTCCCTTCATATGGATTTGTTCTTCTTTTTATAAATTTGGAGAAAAAACAATTATTTTTAACATCAATAAATAAGTATTCTATCAAATTCATCGGTTTAAAGGAACTATTTAAAATAGATTAAACAAAATTACTCAATAACTTCACCACCAAACAGATTATAAATTTAATATCCCTAAAAATGTTCTTATAGTAAAGTGTTTGATTGATAACAGACTGTTTAACCAACTATTATTTATTCCCTTAATTATTTGATTAACTGTTCTGTTTTAGTATTATCTTCAAAATACAATGTATCACCAATTTTAGAATTCATTTAATCTCTTTAGATAATTTACCAATTGTTTTCAACTAAACTATAACTTAAAATAATATCTTCATTCCCTTTCAACTTTGAGTATTCATTTTCATTTTTTTCTTGGGTGGTTTAATTATTTATAATTGGATATGCAAATAAAATATATTGTTAATTAATAATTACTATTACATTTATTATTTTGCCTTTTAAAAATTAATTTTCCTTGAATTCAGTGCTAATTGATATTTACAAAGAATTACAAAACAAATTTTTCATCTTCATTTTTTTATAAATCATTAACATTGGTTGATAAATCTTTAAAACAATTATAATAGAACTTTTAATTATTAAAATCTAATAAAATAATTATTTTATTTTAATATGAAATTACAACTCTGTCAAATTGAATTATTTTTTTTTGTTAATCCCGAGCTGTAATTAAAATATTATCCTTTTCCTAGATCAAAAAAAACCTTCTTTTTTTCCTTCTCATTTGAATGATATGATTTTTTTTTCCCTACATACATAATTTTTGCAATTACAAATAATTCACAAGTTGATTTTATTTGAAATTTTCTTTTATAGTTTTATCAATATAAATAATTGAATCGTCTAATTTTTCTAAAATTTATCGATATGATTAGTATTTTCCTACATTATAAATTCTTTATAATCCAAACAAACAAGCATTAAGTGTTCTCGAAAATTCTAATGATGATTTTTCTAAATTTTAAGAGTTCATATCATATTTAATGTGTATTACAACTCTACTAAACTTCCTTAATTTTTTAAGTAATTTTTCCAAAGCAGTTAAATTAATTGAAAATTATTCAGTATTACAAATATCAACATAAATAATTGTTGGTTTCAATTAAATGAGTTTGGTTCTGATATAGAAATTAAAAATAATTTTCATCTCAAATTCTGATATCATATTCTTAGAAGATGGTATTATTATTTATCTATGATTCTGTTTAAAATTTTGACATTTCTAAGAATCATAAATTGAAAAGTATAAACAAAAATTTTAATAATAGTAATTGATGTCTGTCCAAAATTATAAATTATCTAAGGATTCATGTCCTGTTAAATTTATGTAAGCAAATTTTGGAAAATCGATGATTTAGTTTTATTCATATTCTTTATTATTATTAATAGTAATACCTTAACAAAGTATAGATTAAACAACTGATGAAATATGCAATAAAAGATTATGCTTTGGGTGGAAATTTTAATGTAAAAGAACAATATTTTAATATTCTAAATTCAATCCCTAATTTTAATATATATTGTTTAATTACTTCCTTCAAAACCATATAAAGATTAATAACTTAAAATAAAAAATCTTAATTTTCTTCCATCTATAATTAATCCAATAATTCTAACAACATCTAGCTCTATTTTTTATCCTTTATTTAAGCAATTTTTTCCAATTATCTTTATTTATAACTTTAGAATTCATATAATTTATAATTGAATTGATTATCAATTAAGTATTGTTTTGATAATTTTATATTAATATCCTTAGTATTTTCAATTTAATCATTAAATATTTCCTTATCACTATTTTGTTTTCTTTTTCGATACAATGAATAGTAAATTAAACTCTGTTAATCACCTATTCTCTTTTTTATATCATCTTTTTCAGTTTACTATTTATTTGATTTAAATAAAGCCTGCTATATTATGCAGATATCAGTTTAAGTTAGAGAAAATTTAGTAGCTACTAGTTCGATTTTGCTGATTGTTGCTGAATTTTTTCCATTCATCTCTATTTATTTATTACAATTCATTTTTTAGATAAAATAATATTTATATTAATTTATATAACTAGTTATTGGGACAAAATATTGCATTGTTATTTATTCATAATTTAATAGAATAATGAAGCATCTCTATAAATTCCAATTTATAGATTATTTTTTGTTTTTCTATTACGACTCAATATTTTTAATAAGAGTTCCTAATTTTAATAAATTTTCTATACATTATAAACTTAGATAGACATATAATTACTTTATTAATTAAAAAAATTATATATTCAAAATTATTCTATAATGTTTTTAAATGCATCCATATCAGATAATTAATATTTCAATTCTTCTGCAGTGTATTTACATTAAATCTTCTTTATTATATACTTAAAACCCATTTTTTATGATTTGATTTCTTTAATAGATAATAGATTATAATCTTTTAATAAATTGAGATCTTCTTCAAAATCAACACTCAATGGTAAACTCATTTTATATTTTATTTCATTAACCTTGCGTATAAGATCTTATAAATCTATATCAAGTTAAACTGAATCTCTTTTTAATAAGGCAGTAATTCCTAATAGAATTATTTGTTGATGTAAAGTCAATGTTGTGACAACGCTCTTCATTTTGTTATCAATTACACTCATACCTATTTCTTTATTGACAGCATCTGTTGTTATTTCATTATTGTCTCTTAAAGTTCTTTTGATAATGTCTAATATATTTCTCATATCTCCTCCTTTATCATTATAGGCTCTTGTGGTTAACAATTTGATAGCATTTTCATCGTATTTTCTATATATAAAGGGATATATTGTTACAATATTTCCATTTATTTTAGAATATCTAAAACTAATTCTTATAACTATTAAATTGTATAGGGTTTCAGAATTAAATTTTTATATAAAGGAAGCTAAAATTTGTATCTCACAGATTAAGTTTATAAAAATTCTATATCATTACTAATTCCAATAATGATAGCATATTTGGATAATGAGAATAAATCAAAGGCTTCCTTTTCACTTACTTTGAATAAATTGTCAAATTCATCAATTATGATGATACTATTGATTATTATTAATCATACGTATTTAACTCTTTAAGTTTATCCATAATAATTTATCTTGGTTATTATTTGCCAGAAGAGTTCTTAATATTCAATTGTTTTTTACAAATGTTTAAGAACTCTAGATAATTTTTACATTACATAGCATTAATATAGATAGTGATATAATTATTCTGCCATTATTTTATACATTTTGTTAATAACATAGTTTTTCCACATCCAGGTTAACCTGTAATCATTAGAAACTTTTATTCATTATGAGATGATATAAATTATTGAATTTCGTATTCTTCTATTTCTCTAAATTTCATTCTTTTAATAAGTTAAGTCACATTGTTTTAAGTATTATCTTAATCATCATAAGAACTAGGTTATTTCTTATTATTTTATAAATCATGTTAAAAAGATTGTCTTTTCTTTTTCATTAATTTATATATTATTCCGCTTAAATTAGCGTACCATTTATATAAAATATATAAAATATCAAGTTTCCTTTTTCTTTTGACTTTTTTATCTTGCTAATAATCTATCTTGAATAGACTTTTATTAATTTTGTAATTGAGATTCAACCACATTTTATTTATTTTATTGTTCTTCTTAAATTAATAATTTTGGAATAGGTGTTTCATTATTTTCATTTCTGAATTCAATTTTAGGTGATCTCTTTTTAGAAGATGATTCATCCAATTTTTATATTTATTTTGTTTCATTAAATTAAGTTTATGGAGATTCATGATTCTTCATTATAATATCTGGATTCTCTTTATTCTTTTTACCTTCTTCAATAAAATTTTATAATTAAATAACAAGTTTCTTATTATCAATTTATTAATATTAATCTTCATTTTTAGGTGTAGCATATTCTGTTGGTTTATCAATTCTATCATTAAAATCTTCAAAATCCTTAAAATAACTAACATCACTGCTTATAATTTATATAGGTTATTGACTAATTTATTAATATTCATAGATTACATTTTCCTCTCTGAAGATTATAATGATCTAGGTTCTCTTTATGTAAATTTATCAGCCTATTAAATTATATTCCTAATTTTGTCTAAAAAATAATATTTAATAGGATCCATTAGAGTATCATATTATTAAACACATTCTTAATACATTCCTACTAATTAATCCACCATATTAATTTATTTAATTGGAGACAAATTAAATTTATTCTCCATTGTAGACATAGTTAAAAAAAATTGTTTCGTTAAATTCATTTTCTTTTATGTTCCTTATTAAGCTTCTTTGTGGTTCTATTTATAAAGAAACTCTGGAGTCATGAATTATTCCTCTATATAAAAAGATCCTTTTGAACCAGATTTATTCTCGTCTTCTCCTTTCTTACCTTAAATACTCTCAAATGCCTATTTAAATATTCTCATTAAATGTATTAAATATATTATAAATTCATTTCTTTTTGATCTCCACATCCTTAGTGAAAGCATACTCAATCCAACTTCCATCATATAATGAGATATTTTTCAATCCTATTCTTTCTAATGCAATATAAATAATAGCAGCTGTTACTCCTTAATAACATGAACAAATTATATTTCTATTCAAATCAATATTGAGACTATTAAGAATATCTTTAATTTCTTCAGCCTAAAAATAAATCCAATATGATACAGTCTTCAATAATCCTGTTTTTTAATCAATTAATTGAATGAAAGGTAATGAAGTTGAATATGGCATATGACCATTTGGTAATGCAGGATTGAGTTCAGGTACTTCCCCATTAAATGAAGTTGTTGGTCTAGCATCTAAAACATAATCTCCTTTCTATCCTTTATTTTAATTCTCTATATTTTTAAGAATGAAATCAAGTTCTCTTAACATATGAGGTTAAGGAGTAGCCTTGTATTTTGTCTTCTTAATTTAAGGTGGAGCATCAGAAATTGCACAATTTTCTTTAATCCAAGCTGGAAAACCACCATCTAAAACAGATATATCTTTATGTCCAAAGTATTTGAATTGCCAATATACTCTTGCAGATGTAAAGATATTCAATCCATCATAAACTACTATTTGATCATTATTACTAATTCCCATATCAGATACAGACCTAAAATAGATAAATTTATACTTTTCAAAATCTTCTTTTTTTGGAAGCATATGAGGTAAACTAGTCTCTTAGAGACTGTTTGCATCAATATCAAAACGTATTGCACCAGGAATATGTGATTTTTTATATTCTAATTCTGCATTACGATTCATTTAAGGAAGGTACCATGAACAATCTATTTTCAACCTTTATTTTACCTAAAACTTTGACTTTATTGAGATTTTATTTCAAATATTGTACTGATACTAATGGTGAAGGAAAGGATGAAAAAGCATATCTTGCAGATCTTATAAACATTATTTTAATGATAATATGTAATTTTTACAATTCTTATTTGGATTTTTATATTGAAATATTCTATATTCAAATCAAATATGAATAAATGTAATAATCAGAAAAATATTTGATTGTGAGAGTAATTGTGATAATATTGTGCCTTTTGTCAATGATTGGATGTTCTCTAATTTTATGGACATTATTCAAAACACCTAGATTAAGTAAAAACCCAGGGAGTATTATTTAAAGAATGACCATTGCCTAAATTGTATTGAAAAGAATGTTATTAGATTNGATCCTTTTGAACCAGATTTATTCTCGTCTTCTCCTTTCTTACCTTAAATACTCTCAAATGCCTATTTAAATATTCTCATTAAATGTATTAAATATATTATAAATTCATTTCTTTTTGATCTCCACATCCTTAGTGAAAGCATACTCAATCCAACTTCCATCATATAATGAGATATTTTTCAATCCTATTCTTTCTAATGCAATATAAATAATAGCAGCTGTTACTCCTTAATAACATGAACAAATTATATTTCTATTCAAATCAATATTGAGACTATTAAGAATATCTTTAATTTCTTCAGCCTAAAAATAAATCCAATATGATACAGTCTTCAATAATCCTGTTTTTTAATCAATTAATTGAATGAAAGGTAATGAAGTTGAATATGGCATATGACCATTTGGTAATGCAGGATTGAGTTCAGGTACTTCCCCATTAAATGAAGTTGTTGGTCTAGCATCTAAAACATAATCTCCTTTCTATCCTTTATTTTAATTCTCTATATTTTTAAGAATGAAATCAAGTTCTCTTAACATATGAGGTTAAGGAGTAGCCTTGTATTTTGTCTTCTTAATTTAAGGTGGAGCATCAGAAATTGCACAATTTTCTTTAATCCAAGCTGGAAAACCACCATCTAAAACAGATATATCTTTATGTCCAAAGTATTTGAATTGCCAATATACTCTTGCAGATGTAAAGATATTCAATCCATCATAAACTACTATTTGATCATTATTACTAATTCCCATATCAGATACAGACCTAAAATAGATAAATTTATACTTTTCAAAATCTTCTTTTTTTGGAAGCATATGAGGTAAACTAGTCTCTTAGAGACTGTTTGCATCAATATCAAAACGTATTGCACCAGGAATATGTGATTTTTTATATTCTAATTCTGCATTACGATTCATTTAAGGAAGGTACCATGAACAATCTATTTTCAACCTTTATTTTACCTAAAACTTTGACTTTATTGAGATTTTATTTCAAATATTGTACTGATACTAATGGTGAAGGAAAGGATGAAAAAGCATATCTTGCAGATCTTATAAACATTATTTTAATGATAATATGTAATTTTTACAATTCTTATTTGGATTTTTATATTGAAATATTCTATATTCAAATCAAATATGAATAAATGTAATAATCAGAAAAATATTTGATTGTGAGAGTAATTGTGATAATATTGTGCCTTTTGTCAATGATTGGATGTTCTCTAATTTTATGGACATTATTCAAAACACCTAGATTAAGTAAAAACCCAGGGAGTATTATTTAAAGAATGACCATTGCCTAAATTGTATTGAAAAGAATGTTATTAGATTATTACATTTTTGATGCTATTTGCTTAATTTTACATTGATAATGATGATAATAAGATTGGTGCTGCCTTTACAATTTCATCTAAATTTTGCTCATTTCTAGGGTTTATCGAGATATTTTTCTCATCTGAATATATACTCTATAATGTTTATTTTCCAATAAATCTATACTTTTCACTCAAAACACAGAACTTTAATTTTACTAAATATTTTAGATAAATGGAGATGATCTCTTTCATGTTTTCATTTGTATTTACTATGACAATGCTCCTCATACATGATATTAAAATAAAGTATATTTATATTAATATCATTTAGTTTTGTTGGAGTATGTGGTCTATTTTTATAAGAGATATCTACAATTTTTGGTAGTATTTTGGCAGTCATTACAATAAGTGTTTTAGTATTGTTAATTTTCATAGCAACTGAAAAATCATCATTTAAAACTACTCTTTATAATAAAGATTCAGAAAAATTCCATTAAAAATATCAAAAAGAATTCAAAATTGTTAATATACTATACACTACTGTATTTTTAGTTACTTATTTGATTCCAACATGTCTTATATTTTTGAGTTAATCAAATAATTAAAATAACAATCATTACTATTTACTTCCAATTATATATCCTTTCGGAGGTATATTACTTTTCTTGATCAGAATAAATGATCCAATTGTTAAAAAGTACTTATATAATGTATTAACTGGAAAGAAGAATAAAAATTAAAATAATAAATTAAAGGATAAACTTTTACAAAATTAGGATGTATTAATTAAATTTTATAATAGTTTAATGTAATTGAATAGATTAGTATTGATTCTGGACTAGAAATTAGTGTTTGTAATAATAAGAAACTTAGATATACAGTTAAATAAGTACTAAGTGAAAAATAAATATAATCAGATATTACACTTACTTCACATTTTGGAAGTGGATTTTAAACTAAATTAATTAAAAGTAATTAAGAATTATTTATTTTATTACTATCTATTAAAAATGCTATTAATTAATGTATTTAATAGAAGTCATATTCATTTAAAAACTTAAAACCATTTAATTTTAATCATATTACAAAATATTCATTATATTTGTAAGATGATTTTAAAGAAATGGATTAAAAGTACAAAAATTTTAATGTATATTTAATTAAATAATTAGAATCTATGTTTAAAGGATTATGTTAATGAATTATGTTATAAGAGAGTAATTTATTGTTATAGTTATGCTAGCAATACTCTGATTCATCTTTTTAGTTAAATTTTAAATATTGATTTAGATCAATTAAGAACTAGTTTAAAAATTGAATTAAATACTAAAAAAATAGTCAATACTAAATTACCTTAATCATATGGACCCATTTTTTTGACTTATGATAATTATTTTTCTATTGAAATTATTTCAAAATAACATAAACTACTTTTAACAAAAGGAGGAGGGTTGATGAATATTTGTAAACGTTATCAAATTGAATATAGTAAATCAAAAAATGGTAATACATTATTACCTGCTATTTTGGGATTATATACAATATAAATTGAAGAAGATAGATTTATAAATGTTGTATTAAAGTTAAATTAATTAAAAATAAATTATCCCTTATAAATAAATTAAATTAGTATCCCAGAAGAATAAGATCATCTAATTTAATAAGATGTTTTTGGTTGGATATAATTAAGTTTAGAAAAAGGATAATTTAAGTTATTTATAGCAGAAAAGTTATTTGATGATAAATTTTAAATTAGAATTGAAGATAATGATTTTAAGTTATCTAAAAGTGCAGCATAAGATTTATTGACTATTTTAAGTAAAGATATTGAAGAATTCTGTTTTTTTAGAAATCTAACTTTATCTTTGGTTTATTTTAAATTACCAACAAATAGATTAGATTCTATGTGTAAACATGAAAATTCATTTTCTTATCATTATTAATTAATTAAGAATAGTTAATAAATGACTCCATTATAGATGAATGAATATTTTAAAGGTTTAGGATAATTTGAATTAGATAGTAAAATAGGATTCGTTAGAATATATATAGATAACTTTTGGTAAGAATGGGAATATATATAAGAGAATGAGAGATGTTTTTATTTTGATAAACTAACAGAATAGTTATCAGAAATAATTTGATTTCTTTATTTGATAACAAATAATTAAAATTAATACAAATTTATTCAATTTGCTAGTTCCATAGATTATCTTCTTGTAAATATTTCCACTTTCTTATTTTTATTGTCTACTTAATCTTTAAAATCTTTTTTTCTTGATTTCTTCTTCTTATCACTATCAACTATATCTTAATAAATTAATATTTACTTCTCTCTATTTATATTTCTTAAAAGATTTCAAATATTCTTATATAAGGGAATATTTATGTATTATTAGAATAAGAAAATAATCTTAAAAATAGGAAATCATATTGTTCAGTTGTTAAATCTATATCCATATATTCAAATGTTTCAATTATTTATTTTCTCTCTAATAATCCTTCATATTTACTTGGTAATTAATCGAAATATTATTTCAAACTATTTTTGTATTTACTAATAACCTTATAATCTTAATATATATATATACTTAAGTTATTTCCTTTGTTTTTTAAGTTTCAATTTCTACAGTCATGATTTCAAAGTTACCAACCAACTTTTACAAAATACTCCTTACAATTGTTGTAGATTAAGTCAATTAATCATTATAAACAACAAATTCTTAAGAATTATCTTCAGTAAGATATCGTGCAACTAATAAAGCAGAATCTTCATCAATTAATAAAAATGGTTCTCTTTATAATCTTTCTGATATCTCTTTTAATTTTATTTCTCCAGTCTTTTTATTTTTATTGTCAAATAAATATCTTTCAATTGCATCTGGTAATGTAATCTTTTTAGTTCTTAATCTATAATTTAATTCTAATCCTAAATGTTCTACATCATCTTTTTTAATAACCTTAAATTTTTATTACTATTAATTTTTATCTTGATTAATACTATCTGGAGTATTATTTTAATTTAATGGTCTCTAAGTTTTTATATTAAGAGTAGCAGCAGTTGGAGCTAATTTATGTTAAATAGATGGAACTGTTTCTTTTAATCTAGATTAAGCATTAATAAGTAATAAATGTTTATATTTTTCATCTAATTCTTCATAAGCTAACTTAAGTTTTTTTAATTCTTCTTATAATTAATCTTTAATTTTTGCTTCCATTGATGATTTTTCATTTAATTTTTATTTTAATTCAGTTGTTGTTTTATCTAAATATTCTATATCTCTTGTTTTCTATTATAATTCTTTTCTTAATTCCTATTCAATTTTAACTAATCCTATTATTCTTAATTGATTATTATCTAATTTATTTGCTTTTTATATAAGATTCTAATTTGTATCTTTATATGCATCCAATTCTTCTTAAAGTCCATCAATATAAGCTAATTTATCTTTAAGAGTCTATTGTAAATCATCAATCACTTATTTTTATTTATTTAGAACCTTTTAATCTGTATCTATTTAATTTTAAAGTTTAAACTTTTCTTCTTATTCAATTGAGATTTATCCTTAATAAAATGAATTTTCTTATTTAAGAGAATTTATAATTTGCATTTAAATGTAAAATTTCTCTTCAAATTAATTAAAATCATGAGTCATTTAATAAATTTATTCATTTCTTTAAGATTATTCTAATAATGTTCTTAATCTCAAAGTTTCCTCTTAATATACATTAATTTCTTTTTCTAATTCTTATATTTTAGTATATTTAATATCATGTTTCAAATTTTATATTTCTTCATTCTATTATTTAATCATTGTTCTTAACTCTTTTATTTACTTCTTTAATGTTATAGTTAATAAATTCTATATGAATTTTATTTTAAATTAATACTTCACTTATTCCCAATTTAGTCATTAAAGCTAAATCCTATTTATCAGCAACATATTTTTATTATAAATATCCACCCACATTTTAAACTACTGTTTACATTCGCTCAGTATTTTTATTTAAAAACCTCATTTTTGCTTTTAGATCATAATTTTCTTAAGTTAACTTATTTATAATATCTTTCAAATAGACAGTTTCTGCATATAAATCATCCTATTCTTATAAATTTATTTATATACTTTATCTTTAGCCATATTAACTGGTATTTTTTTACTTAAGTCTTAAACAACAGGTGAATTTCTAAATAAATACTTTGAAAAAATTACTTTACAATTTCTGTATGATTAGTTTTACTTTACGTAACTGAACTATCATTAATTAAATTAGTTTTTCTTGTAGATAGTGTTCTAAATTTATTAGGGGATGGTTTCAATACAAATTTATCTAAATCATTCTATTCACCTACTCCAGGAATAAGCATTTTTAACCCATTTGGAGACACCTTTTCAAGTTTTTTAGTATCATATATAATGCCTGATTAAGGACGACTTCTAATATGACTGAAAGTCTTAGACGCAATCCTTTTGTTATTTAATTTCTTTACATTATAAAGGTTTTTGGATGTAATATGTTTTATAAAATAAAATAAAATTCAATACTAAAAAATATTCATTTGACATTCTCTGTTTATTTTTTATATATCCCTAATTAATACTCAAGATGAGTAACTTTGAATAATTTATATTTATTTTATTATATTTAACAACTTAACAATATCCAAATTCTAATGATTTTTAAGATTTAAATCACTCCTATTGTTCTTTTATTAAATTTTGACCTAGTTTTATAATTAATAGAATTAAATAATATAGAAATGTAAAATATCAATAAAATTTGATTTATTCCAATTATAAATATAAATAATGATATTATTTTATGACTAAAATTTAATCCTTATTTTTACTATATTAAAAATATAATTCTTTTTGATTTCAATATGTCAAGATATTGATATTTTTATGTAATACTTATAAAAACTAATTATATTTAAGTTTTGATTTATTTAGTTTAATATATAAAAATAAAGAGTTTATTTGGTATTTTAAATAAAAAAAATAAATAAACAGAAAAAGAATAATCTTAATCAGTACAATGAAGCAATTATGAAAACTTATTTATTAATGCAAAAAAGAATCGTATTGTTGATATTAGATTAATTGATTATATTATAAAAATAAGTAATAAAAGGATTGAGTGCAAATAAAAGATATTTCATTATATTATTAATTTACGGAATGAACTCAAACATCTTTGATAAGGATTAATTCAATAATAATACATGGGATGAGGACTCAAATCAGATATTTTGTGAATCTCCAATCCTTTTTGGTGTTCCATACCATAAAAAAATAGATGATGATGAACTTTCTATAATCCATCTTCAGTATCATTCTGACACAGCAGAAGAATAGTATAGTTAAGAAGATCAAATTCTAATCCCAAATACTTAGAAGAAGATATAAAAAATATCCAGAATATATAAATCAAAAAGTAAAAAAAAATCAAACACTTTCAAGAATATGATTGAAGAATTTGTTTCTTTTGTTAATTTTTCAGGGGAAAATACAAATTAGTAAATACATTATTGTTAAAAGATGAGAAAAATGATTGACAATCTAGAAAGCATATTATTCTCTATGAAATAAGAAATCTTAAGCTAATATTAAAAGAAGAATTCAATTGATAATTGATCTTATTGAACTTTATATTTTTCAATCAAAAAATAATATCTTAATTTTTAAATTATTATGATGTTTTTAATACATATAAGATAATAATTAATAATAATTCGTAAAGATCTTTTACTCATTGTACTAAAATTTAGAAATTAGAAAGATTTTATATTTATTTAATTGGTGAATGCTTAACATTATACAGAATAATATATTATTAATGGGGCTTATTGATCAAAAAAATTAGAGATATTATTTATTAAATTATGTGGTTTTTAGAATTAATGCGCATTAAATTATAGAAATAGTTCAAATTCAAGATTTAATAATTAAATCGAGTCAATCATTACAAGAGCTGAATTTTGTAAATCTTTCAATTGATAAAATTTATTTTTTTAAAATCTAACCATGGATCAGAGTGCATTCTTATACGATAATTTACCTCAACCTTTAGAGAATAATGACCTGATGTCTGAAGAATGTCATCAATACATTTCTAAAATGAATTTAAATAAAACCTTATTTAGAATTCAAAGTCCTGAACCTTCAATTCAAGATGACTTTCTCTAAAATGAAATTGACTAATCATTTGATGTAGATTTCATGTATGTAAATGATGAGAATAAATATCCTTATGATGAAGATGAAGACATTTAATGTTCTAAAAAGATTTAAAAAGCAAAAAAATTAAAAAAGAAGAATAAAGACAAAAGAGGACCTTTGTCTGAAAAGGAATTTATAGAAATAATGAAAAAATTGGAATAGTGCCAGTAAGTTATGAATATGATTGACAATATGACTATGATATTAAATGGATTTAAGCACTAATTATAGAAACAAATGACTCCAAGTCTTAACTGAGATAAGTGGATTATTTTGTTTCAATATTATATATATTTTTTGCTGTTGAACTGACAGTTTATTCACTTATGAAAATTAATGTGATTAATAATTTAAAATTATAAATGATAAAAAACATCTGTCAAATGAGCATGAAAATTAAGGTTATTAAAATGTATGCTAGAATAGACACAATTAAAAAATTGACCGGTGAAGCTAACTTTCTTGGCCATTAAGTTGATGGATAATCATTCTTTTAGAATCCTCTAAGTTTATCTACACCTATGCTTAAATACCACATCAAAACTAATAAATAAGAAAATTCATAATCTCTTAAAGGTGCTTTCCATTAATTAATTTATCTAATTTTATATAATAATATTTACAATTTTGTTCTTGATAATCTTCCAGTACTTTTAGATGGACTTAAATTCTTCATAGGTATTACTTTTATAGTGGATATAGGAATGTTAAATTGTTCACCTAAATATTAAACAATTTTATCATTTTTAATTTTCTTTTGTTGTTGATATTACATTAATTGAATAATAATTTGTTGAATCCATTTATCAATATTCTCTTATTATTTTATCAAAAAATCTTCCTCTTTACTATCTTTAATGTAAATATCACAGAAATTCTTTACTTCACCAAATGCAGGAATTTGATATGGTTAGTTTCTCTAAAATTTTAATAAATCACAAAAGAAGGAATTCTAATCCTAAGAATATATAAAGGTTAGTAAATGCATTATTCCTTAATATTCTGAATCACTAATATAGTTTAAATTATTGATGGATTTAAATATTGTAATTAATAGTTTTGTAAAAAATGGATAATATACTCTTAATAGATTTTTCATATGATTTTTATTTTAATCTAATTCTCTAAGATGAAAATCTATTTAATATTCATGTGAATTAAATTTTGATTCAATACATTATAATAAATTTGAAGGTCTAAATTCTTTAAATAATATTGCTTAAGGACATTATCCAAATTTATTTTAACATAAATAATATATAGGTTACAATTCACTTAAGATAAATCTAGTAATAGGATTGTTGCTTTTGTATTATAAATTTTATTATTTAGTTAGATAATTTAATATAGTATTTTATGATATTAAACAAGACATTAGAGCTTAATCAAATATTAATACCTAATTATATATTTAATTCTCATAGACTGCAAATTATTATCTTAAAAATAATACATATGTAGATAAATGGGAAAGTAAAGAAATTTAATTGCATTATCTTTCATTGTGATATAATTCAAAAGAATTCTATAAAAATTTATATAATCCTTATTAGTATGTGATTTATTGTTTTTATCTTCCACAATCAAAAAAGAATCCTCTATTTTAATAAAAGATTTAACTTTATTTATTAAAGATATCAGTACTTTTTACAAAATGTTTAAATTATGAATATGTAGCTTCTAAATCTTATCCAAATCTATTATTAAAAAATATAGTTAAATATATTAACATCATTTAAGTATCTAATACAACACTACTTGGTTTGATTTTATAAAATAACTTTTATTATTCATTTGTTAGATTTAAATCAATTAATTTTTATACATATAAATGTTCATACATAGAATATTCTTATAATAAAATTATCATCTATTGAAATGTAAAAATAGTAGCTTGTTTATTTTAATTATTTTAAAGAGGATTATTAGGTTTAATTTAGATAACCATATATTCAATAATTCTTCTAATTAAAATTAAATAAGGATTAAAAGTTAATTATTTTAATAAGAAATCCTTTGTATTACATTTCTTTTTGCATTTATTAAATGCACAATCAAGGATTTTTTAACTATTTTCTGTAGCATGTAATGCACTTTCTTTAAAATTAACAGCTCCATTTAATAAATAAATCCAAAACATCATTTTAGCGCTAACACAAAATTTTAGTTGATTTTTTTCAACTAAAATATTGTCTTAAAATATTTCTTAAAAACTTTAAAATTAAGAATTCATATTAACAATAGAAGGATCTTTAAAAAATAATTGTAAATGTGCAGGCAATATATCAATTTGAACTGGATTAAAAGGATATTCAGAAGGTAATGATTGATAAAATGATTGTTCATTTGGTGAGAGGATATTAAGTATTTTGATAAAAAATAATGTATCCTCTATAGATCCAAATCTCATTTAAGTTGTTCTAAAACTACTATTTAATATGCCATCTTATTTGAAAATTAGTTCATATACTAAATGCTAAAATTTTAAAAACTCTTAACCATAAGAATACTCTTTCTATTTAATTAGTTCATAACTGAGATTCTATAACCAATTTAAAAATTCATTTCCATTAGCTTTTTGAGCATATTTCAAATCGTCTTCAAATTTATTCATAATTATTTTATATAATAAAACTCATTTTTTAAATTAATCAAATTTATTTCATAATTAATGAAGGTTCTAAATCTTTAAATTAATTTATATATATATATAATCCAAACTGATATAAGATAAGATACAATTAATTAATCTAAAAAAAAATAGTATAAGAAAAGCATTAATAAATTGCATATAATGATAATTAAAATTTGTTATAAAAATTTAATTAATAAAACATAATAAAACCTTATAATGAAAAGATCTAAATTGTAATCATCTGACATCTTAGAATGGTATAAGAAAAGGTAATTTATGTATTTAAGACAGATTTCCTTCAAATGTAAAGCCAAATTATTTGTATTTACCTGAGGAAATCAAATAATAGGTGAGAGCATAAGTTATATTTGAGAATTTAGATAAAAAGAAAGAAAGTATTGTAAATTAGAAAGTATTAATAGATAAATTAGCAATTGATAAATTATATGATATTTGTGTTAAGAGTGGAATGAGTATAAATAGAAATTAAGTAAGAATGCTTTTTGAAAAGATTGATCAAGATAAAAGCAGTATAAATGTATTATAAAAATAGAATGGATTGATTTAGAGGAGTTTTAAAAATCAGTTCTTGATTAAGAAGTAGGAGAATGTAAATCTATATTAAATATTTAGAATTTACATAAGTTGCAATGAAAGTGAGAAAGAACTTAGATGAAGGATATTTACCAATATATTATAAGAGTCTAATATCACATTTAAGTTTTGTATCTAATAGAGAAGAGTTAATACAATAGATTAATGATTCAAATAAAAGTAAAATAGAGAGGTTTGAGAGGATTAAAGAAATAATGAAATTACCATATGATGATATAGAATAAGATGAAAATAATTAATAAGTTTAATAAGCAAGGAGAAAGTTAAGTGAATTAAAATAAGATTATGAAGGAGTTTAAAAGGTAGATGCAGAAACATAAGAATTTATTACTTAAATGACTTAAAAATTAGAAGATACAAAGAAAAAATGTGATGATGATTCAATATTATTAAAAAAGAGAATGAAAAGAAAATCATTACCACATAATAGTTCCATTATGTCTTTACCTAAAATAGATCAAAATCATATTAAATGGCACAAGAATTTAAGTTTGATTGATAATCAAGTTAGATAAAAAATATTTAATGATGTTTAAAGTAGCAATAATAAAATTAATTAATTACTTTCACCAAGAAGTAAAAAATAAAAGGATTTAGCATAATTAAAAAATCAATAATCAAAATTTATAAAAAAAGCAAAAAAATAATTTGATATTCAATTTGATTTTATTAATGAAAATTAGTAATCAATAGATTATACTGGTGGTAGAAGTTTTGAAGAAGGTATATTAAGTCTATTTTAATAATAATAATAATAATAATAATAAGGAAGCTTGTGTAACTTTACTAATATTTCAACAATAAAAAATGAAAAGAATGATAGAGATGAAATCTTAGATTAATCTGGAGATCATTTACCTAAATCTATTTTGAGAAAACTTTAGTAATATAAAAATGTTACAAGAGACTCTACTTAAATATTGTTAGACAAATCTATTTTATCCAGTTAATAATCAAAGTAATCTGGAAAATTAACACCAATATATTATCAAAGAATGATTCATCAAACTCATACAAACACAGATTCTCTAAATTCTAATGATATGCCTACCTATCCAAAAAGAAGAACATATTCACAATAAGATCTAAAATATTAAACTGTATTATATTCTAATAATAATTAATTAGCCGTATTTTAAACAATCAGAATTCTAACTTCCGTATTTATGAAATTATTTTATTATTATAGATATATTTAATTTTGTTTTGATTGTCAAAAACTTTAATTAGTCAAAAGTTTTCAATTAATATAATATAATTTTTATGGGGCTTTAGTGTTCTAAATGCTAAATTAATAATGAAAATGAATTCATTCTTGCGAACATAGTTACAGAGCATAAAAATTGCATATATATGGAAAATCTTGAGGATAGTTTTGAAAGTGATCCAAGTATTTTAGAATCAGTATACTATTTTTATAGATTATCCACCTTCTTCAACACTAAATAAAACATTAGAAGAAAAAACAATTCAATTTTTAAAGACATAAAAAGAAAGCCAACATACAATACCTTCAGAATCCTACAAATCTGAAGAATTGTAAATGGATGATGACTCCAAATTTTTTGGATAAACAAAAGATGGTTAAGCTAATGGAAATGGAAAATTATGGTTAAAAAATGGAGATTATTATGAAGGTGATTTCTTCAATAATTATATGCATGGTAAAGGAATCTATAACTATAAAAATGGACCTATTTTTGAAGGTCAATTTTTATATAACAAACCAGATGGATACGGTGTTGAATCTTGGCCAGATGGTTCTTTATACGAAGGATACTTTAAAGAAGGCAAAAAATGTGGAAAAGGATGTTACAAGTGGTATTAAGGTTGTGTTTATGTTGGTGAATGGAAAAATAATAAAATTCATGGCAATGGAAGATACGATTGGCCTGATGGAAGGGTATGTTGATAGATAATAATTCCAGTCTTACTCCGGTAGTTGGGTCAATAATTAAATGCACGGGAGAGGAAAGTACATTTGGTCAGATGGCAAATGCTATGATGGTGAATATTAGAATGATCGAAAATAAGGATTTGGAATATTTTATTGGCCAGATTGCAAGCAATACCAAGGTTAATGGAAAGATGGAAAACAACATGGAAAAGGAATAATGTTGTATCCTGATGGAAAAAAAAGAGTAGGACAATGGGAATATGGGAAATTAATTAAATACTCTGAAGACGATAATATTCAAATAATCCCAGATAATTGGTTACAATAATGATAATAATAACTTTTTTTTTTTTAAATATTTATATAAATTTTGTAAATGGATTACTAAAGATTTGAGATATCATTTTATTTAATATATATATGATTATTATTATTCAAGTATGTCAAACATATATATGGTTAATAAATCATTATTAAAGCATTTAACGACCGAATTGAGGTAAATTTTAAGAAATACCAGTTGATATAGGTTATTAGATAATTGTTTATTACACCTCTGAAGGAATAACTTGATGTTTAATTACCACTCCTTTTCTAGCTTCTATGATTTTGCTTTCATATTTTTATTTTAATTCCTTTAAATATTTTCGAAATTATTCTTATTAATTATAATTGAAAGATCTACTATCTTCTACCATATATTATAGTTCATCAATATCAAATTGTAGTTTATCAGAAATTCTTCTTTCTTTAATAATTTCATTCTCTAATTTATTTGCTCTATCTTCCCAAATACCAATTATTCTTTACAATTCTTTATTTTCAATATTCAGCATTTCTATTTCAGCATCATCTCTCACATATCTATCAACAAATCTATCCACAGGAACTTCTACTATTTTTTCAACAGGCACTTCAACTATCTTCTCAACTGGTACTTCAACAATTTTTTCATATGGAACTTCCACAATTCTTTCGTATGGAACCTCCACAATTCTTTCATATGGTACTTCCACTCTCTTTTCTACAGGCACTTCTACATACCTATCTACTGGTCTGTCAATATATCTATCCATATATCTATCCATATATCTATCTCTAGGAACTTCCACAATTCGTTCATAAGGTACTTCTACCACTCTTTCATAAGGATAAGGAACTTCATAAGGGACAGGCACTTCAACAACCCTGTCAACAGGAACTTCAACTATTCTATCAACAGGCACTTCAACTCTCTTCTCTACTATTCTATCCACAGGCACTTCAATATAAACAGGAACTTCCTTTATGACTTCATAGGGCACTTCTTTGATGACTTCTTTAATCACTTCATATGGCACTTCTTTAATCACTTCTCTAATAACTTCATAAGGAACTTCTCTGATCACTTCATAAGGAACATCTCTGTAATAAGGAACTTCATAAGGAACTTCTATTCTTTAAACTACAGGGACCTCAACAGTTTGCACTTTTGGAACTTCAATATATTGAGGAACTTGTTGATAAACATATTCAATTTTTGGTATTTCAACTATCTTTTCAACAATTTTAGGTTCTGATGGTACTTCTTTAATAACTTCTTTAATGATTTCAGTTTGTTTCATCTCTTATACTTGATGAGGTTGATTAACATATACTGTTTTTATTACATCTACTGGTTTCTCTACTATTTTTTCAACAATTCTTTCTTAAATTTCAATTTGTTTCTTCTTCTTCTTCCTTCTCAACCTCTCTACTTCATCTTCTAATTATTTAACATAACCATTTTATCTTTCTAATTATACTGTTAAGTCAAATACTCTAAAATTATTATTAAAAATTACTTTTTATCAGCAACCTTGAGCAAAGATTCTAATTCACCTATTCTATCGAACATTTCTTGATTTTCTCTTTCCAATTATTGCTTAATTATTAAAGCTTCATCTCTTTATCGACCTACTTCATAAAGTTCCTTTTCAAGAGATTTAATCTTTTTACACATTTTCTTCAAACACTTTTTATTGTCCTCTAAATATACTTCTATCTCTGAGTTATTTTATTATTTTGGCTATTATTCCATCTATCTTATGATTCTTTCCATTTCTTAAATTTCTCTTTTTATTGTATCTATTTCTGGATCTTAACCATGTTATTATGGTCTTTATCTTTTTGGAGTCTCAGCAATTGTAGAAACTATTATTTCTTCTTTACTTTCTTTCAATTTTTTATTCTTTTTTTTCAACTTCTTTATTTTATTTTCTAAGTGTCTTTGATCTTTACCTCCTTAAACTACATAAGCCTAAGGGGCACACATCTGTTATTATTAACAACCAAATTATGGTTAACAGGCAGATTAATGCATCGGTTGGCACATAGGTTAATATGGTTAGCATATACTTGGAGTACATGAATGACCTGGACTTCTTGCTACTGTGGCTACTGATTCATTCAATTAATCTGAAACTCTTGAGGATGTAAGTTTTTATGCTTAATTATTAAAAGATGTTCTCAACTCCTGAATAGCTGATGTCACTTTAGATAAATTGCTTGACCCTATACTAGTAGTATTAGTATTTACAGGCTATAAAATTTTGTGACCTTCATTGAATCTCACAGATTTTGAAGACTAATTATTCATTATTTAAATTAATAACCGCTAATGCAAATATTTTATACATAAAAATAATTTTTTTTATAAAATTATAGATACTCCATTTAAAATTATCAATCAATTAATGAAGTTTGCATATCATAGAAATGATGAATGAGTTCAAAGAAAAGTTTCAGATTCAATAAACTTTAGAAAAAAATGAAATAATTTTCTAAAGATTTATGCACAATTTAATATAATTTAAATAAATATTAATAATGTGTATTTATAATTTTTGATACTTATGATATAATATCACAATCCTCTCATTGCTTCTTTTCCTCATCGAAGGTTGGGAAATCAGTGTATCCCTTTTCATCTCCTCCAAAATAGGTCTTGAAGTCAAAATTAGTATTGAGTTAGAAAGCATTTCTTACTCTATATACTAGATCTGGATTGTTTATATATAATTATCCAAAGGAAACTGCATCATACAAGCCATCTTTGATATCCTGATTAGCTCTTTCAGGAGTTATAGAATGGTTTGCAATCAAAATTCCTTTGTAATGTGGTCTTAATGATTTGTAAAGGTTTTGAATTTGCTTATCAGAAGCAGGATAACCAAAGCCTTCAGCATTTTCTTAGCTTTTGTCTTCGACCAAAGTGACATAAGCCAAATTGAGTTTGGATAATTGTTGTAATAGATATGTGTACAATTGAATAGGATTACTATCATTCATGTCTCCAGTATGACCAATAGGTGTTAATTTAATACTAACTCTTCCTGGATAGATAGCATTTAACTTTTGTACAAGTTAAATAACGAATTTGCATCTATTTTCAACACTTCCTCCCCATTAATCAGTTCTTTTATTAGCACTATCTCTAAGAAATTAATCAGGAAGATGTCCATTACCAGCATTGATTTCAACTCCATCAAATCCAGCAGTTTTAGCTCTTTTAGCAGCATCAACAAATTCTTGTAAAGTTAATTGAATTTCAGCTTCTGTCATTTCATGTGGTTTTTCAAATGGTTTATTTTAAGCACTATAACAATTTCCTCTAATTGCAATTGCAGATGGTGCCCATGGTTCTAATCCATTTTACAATGATGAATGAGTTTTTCTTCCTCCATGAAATAATTACAAGAATAATCTACCTCCTTTATCATGTACAGCTTTTGTTACTAATGCCCAACCTTTAGCTTATTCATCATTGTAAATACATGGTGATCCTGGATATGACATAGATCTTTAACTTACAGGAGTAGCTTCACAAACAATTAATCCAGCAGTTGATCTTTAAGCATAATATTTAGCATTTAATTCAGTTGGAATATAGGGAGCTGGAGTTCTAATTCTATCCATAGCAGACATTGTAATTCTATTTGGTAAAAATAAATCATTTAATTTCAATGGATTTAGTAATTCACTTAATACATTAGATGGTATTTGATATTTAGGATAATCAGTATATCCTTTTGAATCTCCAAAGAAAACACTTCCCCAATCTATATTCTTATTTAATTAATAACCATTTCTGGCTCTATCAACAAGATCTGGATTTGAAATAAAAAGTTAACCAAATGCAACAAAATCAAATTTTCCAATTCTGATTCCTTCATCTGCCTCTTCTAATGTGATACCACCATTAGCTACTATAGCTCCAGTGAAATAATTTCTGAATGCCGAAAAGACACAAGGTATTTATTTTTTAGATGCTGGGTATCCAAAATCTTAGAAGTTTTCTGGATCATTTTCATTTTTTAATACAATATAGGCAATTTTCAAATTACTTAAAGCTCTCAATAAAGTTTAATATAATTCTAAAGGATTAGAATCATTCATATCAGCATGATGTGTCACAGGAGTTAATTTGACTCCAACTCTACCTGCTCCAAATACTTCTATTAATGATTAAACAACTTCTAATAAGAATTTGCATCTATTTTAAGCACTTCCTCCATATGCATCAGTTCTTTTGTTAGCGCTATCCCTTAAGAATTAATCTGGTAGATGTCCATGACCTGCATTCAATTCTACTCCATCAAATCCAGCTTTCTTTGCTCTTTCAGCAGCCTCTTTGTATTACTTTACTACTAAATTTATATCTTAAAGTGTCATTTCTTAAGGAACTTCATAGTCTTATTTCACAATTTGATTCTAGCCTCTAATTCTAATGGCTGATGGAGCCAAAGGAGCTTAGCTATTTTATAAACTAGAATGAGTTTATCTACCACAATGAAGCAATTAGATGAAGATATTTCCCTTAACAGAATGTACTTTGTCTACTACTTTTTTCCATCCTTAGGTTTGTGCATCGTTGAATATTCCTGGCGCTCCGCCATAAGCTAAGGACCTATCACTTATAGAGGCTGACTCCGTAACTAAAAATCCACTAGCGGCTCTTTGTGCATAATATTCAACATGTTGATCTGTAGGGACTAAGTCTTGACCACATCTGCCTCTTGTCATGGCTGATAGGGTAATTCTATTCTTGCACTCCAATCCAGGTGACACCACTGTTGTCGAAAAGCATCCTGTTCTTTCGATTAGACCTAATTTGAATGGTTAGAATAAGGCCTAATAAGGTGTATTTGTTTTCTCCATTTTACTTAATTATTTGATTACTTTCGTTTCTAAATTCCTAAAATACCCACAAATACTGCGTACTATTTTTAGAAAATTAAAAAAATTTCTCCAAATAATATTTAAAATTAATTATTATAAAAAAATATTAGGATAATTAAAACAGAATTTGTGATTCAAGTGGTATCAACTTATTCTTTTTTTTGGGATATATTTTTAGCATCATTTATTATAGATCTCTCTAAGTAACGGATAGAGAATCATTACACTTATAGTTTTTGGATTTTTAATTTTAAGTATGCTGTCCTAAGTTGTTTGTATTGTATATTATTCTTTATTAAACTCTTTCTTGATATTGAAACAATATTTTAAGTTTTCTTTGGGATTGTTTGCCAATCAACATGAAAAGTTTTATTCTGTAATAATTTCAATCAAATCCTTATATTTAAGTGTATTCATCGTATAATTAAAGTCTTCATCATTAACTCAACCTATATATGATCTTCTGATAGATACCTAATTAAATATATTATTATCAATCATTCTATTACTACAATTAATTAATTCTACATATACTTTCTTTTTAAATAAAATAGAATGTCTGTTATTGATAAAGCAATTTTTGCATAATTAATTTTGTTTATTTTTCATGACAATCTATGAGACTCTTTTTGAAATATTTATTTTCAACTTATAATATTTAATTTATATAAATGTCATATTAATTTGGAGTCAATCAATTATAGAGCACAACAGTTCCAAATGCAAAGTATAAAACTATCCTTTGTAGACATTATTAAGGTATTAGAATTCAAATAATAAAAAATAGCAACTAAATAATGTGCCATAGGTTCTAAATGTTAATTTGCTCATGGAATTGAAGAATAAAGATAAATGAATGGTAAAAGTTACTACAATAATTCAAAGATCCTATGCCTGCTTCAGCACTATCTTCAATTACTACTACTTCTTAAATAACATCTATAGAACAATAATAAAAAAATTAATAACCTTTGTTTAAAAGTATAAATAATGAAATAAATAAGTACCTTGTAAATATCATTAACTCAATTTTTGTAAGAATGGTTCAGGATGTCAATATGTACATGGTATGTATTAATTATTTTTTATCAAATAGATTCAGACATATAAACATAAACAGCATCATAATTACAGTAATAACAATAATAATAATAATAATAATAAATATAATTATTATAACAATAGCAGTAATAATAATAGTAATAATAACAATAAATACTTTAATAACAATAGCCAGTAGATCCTATGTCCTTAACTTTATCGCATATTTTGATGGAAATGTAATAAATCTTCAATTAAGAAGTAAATTTAAATTAATTTAATATAGGATTTATTATAGAAGATAAGATTTGCGATTGAATAAATTAGATAAGGAAATTTACCATTAGCCTGTGACTAGATTAGATCCATTATAAACTCATCAGATAGAACTGCAGATGAAATTCAATAATATACATTGTTATATAATTAATCAGTAGCATATTACAAATAACTATTATAACAATGATAATTTATATATATGTATTTCTATAAACATTTTATCTATTCATTCTCTTAAACCAGCTTATATTTATTTTTCATAACAATCTCTATAAATCACTTTAATAATTGCATAAGAAAAGAATGCTCCAACAAATGGTAAAATAGAATAAATCCATAAATTCCAAAATCTTCCCCAATGTCCATCTTTACAACATTCAAAGAATACTAAACTAAAGTATTTATTATATATATCATCTACCCAAATGCAATTGCTGGATTTAAACTGCTCTTAGCTACATAACTAAGTGTTCTTCCTACACTGTATAAAGCACTGATTATTATACTATGTTCTAATCTGTCTGATGAAAAATCCATTAATTCATCATATTAAAATATGAATCCAGCACATAGAATAAGAGAACCCAAAATTTCTCATTTTATTTAATTTCTTGATTTACTAAATCACTATAATTTTATTGTTATTATTCTTCCATTTTATGATTATTATTAATAATAGTAATGTTATCAATATTCTTATGTACGTAAGTTTACTATCTTTAATTGTAGTTATTATTTTAGTGAACTCTAACAATGCTATGAATTTAAGCAAGAGAGAAACACAAAAATATTAATAATAAGTGAATCGCATTGAAAAACGATAAATTGGATCTTTGATAATTTCTATGATATAATTAGATTAGCCATAGATAAATTAATTGATTGAATAATCTATAGAAGATTTTGAATCAGAATATTCAACTTTACAAGATTTTCACATTAGCAGATAAACATAAATTTATTAATCTATGTAGCAATTGAAAGCATAGCTCTTAGATCTAAATTTATTATAATCCTCATTTATAGATGGACCATAAGAAAAAGAAAGAGAATTTCATGAATAAAAGATAATAAGACTAAATCAATTGATTAATCAAAATTATAAAACAATTGATTCAAAAGAAGTTCAATTGATAAAAATGTAGAATAGGTAATATACATATTTTTTGATTAGTTTAGTTTAAGTTCTTTAATTGATGAATATGATATAAATATCAATTACATAGATCAAATACTTTAAACTATTGATTCTATTTTATATGATGAAGAGAAAGTTGGCATTAAATTTTTTTAAAAAAGAGGAAGAGTTAATGATATAATTGAAAATTTAGGGAAATCTAGCATAAAAAATATAAAATTAGATTTACCTATGTTAAAACAGATAATATAAATTGGAATTAAAAGTAATTTTGCAGATAAATAAACATATAAATAAGTAAATATATATATAGATTATCATATTTAGATTTAAGAATTATTGATTTCTTTAAGAAATAAAATAGTTGGAGAATTAAATAATCTTAATACAGATAAAATTGATTAACTTGAATTTAGTATTAATGAATTAAAGAATGAAACTCTTAGGTTGAAAAATCAATTACTAGAATCCACTTAGAAATTATAAATAGAAAATAGAGACATTAGTGCTATTACAGAATCTAAGAGGAGAATTGAATAAGAATTAATAATTCTTGATGAGGACTTAAGATTAGAGAATGAATTATTTAATTAAAAGGAAGCATTCTTAATTTAAGAGGTTAATGAATTGATAGAGATTGAATAACTTTTAAAAAATAGAGAATTGATTTAATACATTCAAGAATAATAATGATAATATAAATTAATATAAAATTTGATGGATCATCAAATGTAACAACAAAAGGAGATTTTGAAAAGACTGCATTAGTAGTTGAAGTCTGCTGTGACTCTCTAATCTAAAATTCAAAACTTGAATTATTTGCTGTCTTGCACATCTGATTTTTTAGATACGTATTCTTTTATTATTAAATTGAGGTTTGCATAATCTAATTCAATGAAAATAATTACATAATACTTAAAAGATGCTTTGAAATCCATTCAAATTAATGAAGATTTGATTGATAAAATTTTAGCTTTATTATTGAGGATGAATTTAAGCGAAGAAATACTTAAAGAATCAGAAATTGTTTAGCCTCTATTAAAAATTAAAGATAAAAAGCTTTTTGATAATATAAGATCTAATATGATTGAGCAAATATAATAGAAATGGTCTAGATGTTATATAAAATTCAAACCATTACTTGAAGAATGGAAAAGAAATAATAATTAAAAGGATAAATAAGAAGATCGTAAAAAGAAAGGAAAAAGAAATTAATCATCAAGTTCTAGTGAATCATCTAATAAAAAAAAGAAAAATAGAAAGAAATTTGTCAGGTAATATTAAATTGTATAATATGAATAGATTTTAAAGAGATGATCTTTTACTTAATTTTAAATATTTTAAAAGAGATGATGAACCTAATCAAAGAGGAATGACAATGGAGGAAGTTGTTTAATTCCAGAAACAATATGCTGGTGAATTAAAGAGATTGAATTAAATAAATGGAGCATATAATATTAAACATAGAGAATCATTAATGGAAGGATAAGAACATAAAATGCAATTAGATAATATTTAATAAATGATTGAACAGATACAATTTATTAAACCTGCAAGTTTATCATTATTTTTAATCTTTAGAACTGTTTTTATAATCATAAGTAACCTATGATACTAATTATATTGAAACTGCAATCTAATAAAAAAGAACAGAATCTAAAATGTCTGCATTTTACAATAGAGATGTATATAATTATTAAACAACCTTTAGAGTATACCAGATTAACCTGGATATAATGAGATTTCAAATACTCAATCAGGCTTATAACCTAAAATAATTCATTTAGATCCTCCTAAAAGAGAGGATCTTATGTATATGGTCTAAGTTATTTGCAACAGAGGTCTTAAAGAATTAGAAGAGAAAAATAAAAATGCCAATAAGAAATAAGTAAAGGGAATTCTTAAAAAATAACCTGATGAATAAATTAAATAAAAAGATGTTCTTAATCAAGCTAAACAAGATTTACAACCAAAAATGTAATAATTGGTCTAAATGGTTGAGTAGAAGCATTAACATAGCCAGGAAAGCATTCGTATTAATATTTCATTATTTAAGTAACTTTATTACATGATATTATATAAAAATTAAAGGATATTGGTGAGGAAAAATATATAAAAAATTTTAAATCTATCCTTGAAACAAAACTGAACGACAAGCAAACAATAATGAGTGAAAATGACCGTATAAAAGCTCAATAAGATTAACAGAGACTTCGACTTGAGTAGTTATAAACTATCAATCCTGCTCAAGCCCTACGATTAAGAGCTTACAAAACTAAGCATTGTCACAATTTTCATTCATCTATAGGATGTACAAGAGGAGATAATTGTAATTTCATACATGACTCTCGTTATCCTGGAAGACCAGCTCCAACACTTTAATATCCAAATTTCCTAAATAAAACTCTATATCCCTAATCCAATATGGCTATTCTTGTTCCACCTTTGCTTCAATAACTTAATCCTGCAATTCTGCTAGGAAGAAAGAAAAAGTATGAAAGTCTATGAGTCAAAAATTATTATAAATTATAATATTATAAGAATGTAAGATTAAACAATATCCTTTGAAATCATTTAATATTATATGAACTATCTTCATAAAAAAATTAAAGATCCTTTTTATATTACATTTTTTAATTATACATTAAATAAATTATTATTATTATTGTTGTTCCATACTAGAAATATTTTCTCATATTTTTATCTATTAAAATTGAGAAAATAAAATAAAAGTATTTTTTAACTTATTTTATTTAAGTAAAAATATATACTTTTTTTACTCAAATAATTTAATTAATAGTTCTATTTGTCTTTATTCTATTCATTAATATCAATTTTAAATAAGTTAATGTTTATAAAATTATATTATTATATTTTATAATTTAGATTCAATTATTTTTTGTCTTATCTAAATCAAATTTAGCCAATTAAATAAATGTTGAATATTTATTTTTATCAATTCTAAAATATGAGAATAAATATAAATAAGTAATTAATCAAAATTGAATAATACCATAGATTACTTTGAAAATATTTATCTCAATTATACTTATTTTATAATGGCTTCGATTTTAATGATCTTTATATTAAAAAACTATTCATCTTATTTTTAGCATTTATATTTTTTAAATGAATAAAAAACTATCATCTAATATTTGTTAACTTATTCACAAAATAATAATAATTTTATAATGGGGTATATAATATTCCATTTTTTTAAGAAACTATTTAATATTAAAATTGTTTAAAAATATAGGAGTATTAAAAAATAATATTCAAATTTTAGTTATTTATATGTGTATAATAAGGATCTCAAAATAGCATTTTTACTTTTTATGTATTTTCATTTTTAAAGTGTCTTAGATAAAAAAATTCACACTTCTCTTCTTTAATGCTTTTTAACTTTGCGTATGTTGAGTTATTTTCTAAATTAATATTTATATGGGATGCATTTGTGGAACAATGCCAAGAAAAAATTAAATTATGTCTATGTAGACAAGAAATAGAGATGAAGTGTTTACTTCAACAGAAGATATACAAAAAATATATATTTTTGGTAAAGTTCTTGGAGTTGGCTCTTTTGGAAAAGTGATTGCAGCCAAAATGAAGAGTAATCCTTTGAAAAGATATGCTATAAAAATTATTGAAAAGAGAAAAGTTAAAGGCAGAGAGGATATTTTAGCAAATGAAATTTTCATCTTATAGAAGTTAGATCATCCTAATATTATAAAATTTCATGAAGTGTATTAAAATAAGGTGAACTTTTATATTTGTATGGATTATTGTTAAGGAGGGGAGTTAGTTGATTGGATTCCTAAAAAATACAAGAATTTTCATGAAAGTAATATTTAGGAAATAATGAGAAAAGTATTAATATATTTATAAATAGATCATATCAGCTATAGCTTATATACATGATTAAGGAATAGTACATAGAGATATTAAAGCTGAAAACATTATGATAACCAATAAAAATGAAGATGCTGAGCCTAAATTAATTGATTTTGGATTAGCCAATAAATTTGATAGTACAAAGTTACGACGATTGAAATCATTTGTTGGAACACCAATGTATATGGCACCAGAAGTTATTCAAGGTAAATATGATGAAAAATGTGATATTTGGTCTTTGGGAGTTTTACTTTTTACATTGCTTTCAGGTCATATGCCATTTCATGGAGAAACAAAAGAAGAATTGTATGATAATATTCAAAGATCAAATGTATATATATTAAAAATATATTAGATTGCATTTAATTCAAATTCATGGAAGTTTGTGAGTAGTGAAGCAAAAGACATAATAAGAAAAATGCTTTAAAAAAGTCCTTAATTAAGACCCTCTGCTAAGACATTATTAAAACATGATTGGTTTAAGAAAAAGTTATAAACTAATGAAAAAATAACTTAATAAGATTAGGTTCAATAATTTAAAAATTAGCTTTCATCTTCACCTTCTATTTAAGATAATAGATCTATTTATGAAATGTTATAATAAAATTCTTCAAAGGGAGGAAGTAAATTTAGAAAAGAAGTGATGACTTTACTTGTTAAATAGTTAAATGAATAAGAATTACACAATCTAATAGAAAAATTTAAATAAATTGATACAGATAATTCAGGAACAATCACTATTTTCGAATTACATAAAGCCTTAATAGCAGAAGTAAAAATTGTATATAATATTAAAAGGGTTCATCTGTAAGCCAAGAAGAAATAGAGAAGCTTATACAAAATATTACTCCTAAACATAATTAAATTTAAGAGGCAAAAAAAAAATCAAGACCTTCATTAGAATTAAAATATAGTGAATTTTTAGCGTCTTGTATTGATGAAAGGAAGTTCCTCACAAGAGAAAAAGTAAGATTATTTAATCATTTTAGTTATGGTCTTTATTTAAGTTTTTTGATACAGATAATTCTAATTTTATTACAAAAGATGATATTAAAGAAGCTTTTGCAAGAAATTCTAAGGCTTTCACAGATGAGTAAATTGATGAAATGATTGCTGAAATTGATCCAAATCATGATAATAAAATAAGTTTTGAAGAATTTTGTTAAATGTTTGATAATGCAGGAATTTATTAAAACTTAGCTGATGATGATGAAATAATGGAATGATGTTATATAAAATATAAATATACTAATTAAAATAAAAAGATATCACTTTTCTAATTACAATCTTAATTAAGCAATTTCTTCTTAATATTTTTTGATTATTTTTTATATTTCAGGTTCAAGGCCAAGAACTGTCAATTAACGTATTTCTTAGGTTTTATTTTTTTCCCATTATAACCTTGATGCTTTCTCTTTTTATGCAATTTATTATTTTTCTTACTAAAATTGAATTTATAATTTTTCCATCTCTTAAGAATGAGATTATTTTAATGTCTTGATTTCATTTGTTAAATTGAGTTATTCTTATTATAACTCTTTCTTATCTTAAATTAATTATTCTATTATTGTTAATTATCTTTAAATAGTAATTTCATATTGATCATATGCTTATTTTGATAATGATTATTCTGTCTATTTTATAAAATTGATTTTTTCTGTCATTTTATGTGTTATTTCTTCAATTTATTATTTTAAATGTAAGATCTCTTATTTTAAAGAAATGTTTTCTTCAATAATTTTCTGATACTTATATTTATGTTTTTAGAATAACTCCTCTTATTTAATCTAATCTTACATTTGTTTATAAATAATTTTATTAATCAATATAATCACATCATATAAATTATTGCTCCCATTATACCCATAAATATCAAAAATGCAATAGACATCAAAATCAAATACCAAAAGACAACATATCTTAATAAATTACAAGGTTCATTTTTAAAATATTGAATTATCAAATAAATATTGCTAATTACAAACCCAACAAGTAATATTCCTGATATATAAAGTTTTAATTTTGAATTTGTAGAGGATCTCCATTAAATCATTATACTAATTATAAATACTATTTCAAATACACCCTAATATAATGACATAAACTGTGTATAGACAAAACATAAAATATGCACATTGTCTTAATGCAATGCAATCATCTCCTCCATAGAGTTCTGGTTTAGATGTGAATTAGTAGAATAAAAAGCTAACTAATGAAAGGGAAACAATTGTAAATAAAGAAATTTTATCAAAAGCTTATTGATCCTATTACTCTTAATGCATGGATATGAGTTGTATTTACTTATAAATTATAGTTTATTTATAAATTAATATAACTTAATTTGGAAATACTAAATTTTTAGTATGAGTTTCATGTATACATACTTCCATCTTCAGTAAAGTTTTTATTAACACCTGCATTATCAAACATTTAACAAAATTCTTCAAAACTTATTTTATTATCATGATTTGGATCAATTTCATCTATCATTTCATCAATTTATTTATCTGATATTTATTTTCCATTTCTTGCAAATGCTTCTTTAATATTTTATTTAGTAATAAAATTTGAATTGTCTGTATCAAATATTTTAAATAAATAAGATAACTATTAATAATGATTAACATATACTTTTTCTTTTGTTATAAATTTTCTTTCATCAATACAAGAAGCCAAGAATTCACTATATTTAATGACAAAATCTTTTTTTCTTTTTCCAACTTCCTCACTTGTTTGAGGAGGTGAAACATTATTTATCAATTTCTCTATGTCTTCAAAAGTAGCTGGAGAACCCTAAAGTTATAATGAATTGATACTTCAGCCTTCAAAGCTTCTTTTAATTCTTAAAATGTAATAGTTCCAGAATTATCAACATCTATCTTCTTAAATATTTCTTTTAATGAATTTAATTCTGTCTCATTTAATTAATTGATTAAAAGAGTTTTAACTTCTTTTTTAAATTTAGCCCCTCCTTAATTTTACTTTAATAATGAATAAATAGATCTATTTTCAACTATACTTGAAGTGAGAGAATTGTTTAACACTGAAGAATTTTTTTCATCATTTTTAAACTGTTTTTTGAACCAATTATGTTTGACTAATTCTTTTGATGTAGGTCTTTATCCTGGTTGTTTGGAAAGCATTCTTTTAATAATGTCCTTTGCTTCACTACTTATATGAGACCATATTGCTGAATCAAATGAAATCTGTTTTGTAAATGAATTGATACATTTGCTTTCTATATATTATCATATAATTCCTCTTTGGTATCTCCATGAAAAGGCAAATNATATATAAAGTTTTAATTTTGAATTTGTAGAGGATCTCCATTAAATCATTATACTAATTATAAATACTATTTCAAATACACCCTAATATAATGACATAAACTGTGTATAGACAAAACATAAAATATGCACATTGTCTTAATGCAATGCAATCATCTCCTCCATAGAGTTCTGGTTTAGATGTGAATTAGTAGAATAAAAAGCTAACTAATGAAAGGGAAACAATTGTAAATAAAGAAATTTTATCAAAAGCTTATTGATCCTATTACTCTTAATGCATGGATATGAGTTGTATTTACTTATAAATTATAGTTTATTTATAAATTAATATAACTTAATTTGGAAATACTAAATTTTTAGTATGAGTTTCATGTATACATACTTCCATCTTCAGTAAAGTTTTTATTAACACCTGCATTATCAAACATTTAACAAAATTCTTCAAAACTTATTTTATTATCATGATTTGGATCAATTTCATCTATCATTTCATCAATTTATTTATCTGATATTTATTTTCCATTTCTTGCAAATGCTTCTTTAATATTTTATTTAGTAATAAAATTTGAATTGTCTGTATCAAATATTTTAAATAAATAAGATAACTATTAATAATGATTAACATATACTTTTTCTTTTGTTATAAATTTTCTTTCATCAATACAAGAAGCCAAGAATTCACTATATTTAATGACAAAATCTTTTTTTCTTTTTCCAACTTCCTCACTTGTTTGAGGAGGTGAAACATTATTTATCAATTTCTCTATGTCTTCAAAAGTAGCTGGAGAACCCTAAAGTTATAATGAATTGATACTTCAGCCTTCAAAGCTTCTTTTAATTCTTAAAATGTAATAGTTCCAGAATTATCAACATCTATCTTCTTAAATATTTCTTTTAATGAATTTAATTCTGTCTCATTTAATTAATTGATTAAAAGAGTTTTAACTTCTTTTTTAAATTTAGCCCCTCCTTAATTTTACTTTAATAATGAATAAATAGATCTATTTTCAACTATACTTGAAGTGAGAGAATTGTTTAACACTGAAGAATTTTTTTCATCATTTTTAAACTGTTTTTTGAACCAATTATGTTTGACTAATTCTTTTGATGTAGGTCTTTATCCTGGTTGTTTGGAAAGCATTCTTTTAATAATGTCCTTTGCTTCACTACTTATATGAGACCATATTGCTGAATCAAATGAAATCTGTTTTGTAAATGAATTGATACATTTGCTTTCTATATATTATCATATAATTCCTCTTTGGTATCTCCATGAAAAGGCAAATGACCAGAAAGTAATGTAAAGAGCAAAACACCCAAAGACCAAATGTCACACTTTTCATCATACGATCCTTTAATTACTTCAGGTGCCATATACATAGGAGTTCCTGCAAATGATTTTAGACGTCTTAATTTAATATTAATGATACTTAAGATGTGAAGTATCAAATTTATTTGCTAAACCAAAATCAATTAATTTAGGCTCGCCATCATCTTTTTTTGATGTGATCATAATATTTTCAGCTTTGATATCTCTATGCACTATTCCTTGATCATGAATATAACTCACAGCAGAAACAATCTAAAAATTAAATTAATTATTTGTTATAACCTTTTTCATTATCTCTTAAATATGTTATTCATGAAAGCTTTTGTATTTTTTAGGAATCCATTCAACTAGTTCTCCTCCTTTGCAATAGTCCATACAAATGTAAAAATTTTAATTGTTTTAGTAAACTTCATGAAATTTAATTATATTTGGGTGATCTAATCTTTTAAGCATATAAATTTCATTGGCCATAACTTCTTCACGACCTTTAACTTTTACTCTCTCTATAATTTTTATAGCAAATTGCTTTTCAGGATTTTTAATCATCCTAGCAGTAACGACTTTACCAAATGAACCTACTCCAAGTACTTTACCAAATTAATAAATTTTAGAGATATCCTCTGTGGATGTGAAGACTACATCCTAATTTCTTGTTCTCATTTATACTATAGAATTCTGTTTTATTTCAGCTCCTGAAGCACATCCCATTATTAAATAATTTAATAGGATATAATAAAGAAATTTAATTTGTTTTGATATTAGAAAATAATGAATATTATGTGATAGATTTTAAAGAACATTATTTAATAATAATTAATGACTTAGAACATTGAAAGACAATGAAATTTCAAAGAATGATTAATTTCAAAAAAAATTGAACTAACTATGAATTTTCAAATTTTACATTCATCTTTAATTCTAATGGCTTCCCCTATTTTATCTAGACCCTAATATATATCAAAAATCATCCAAATGAAATTGTGTTATTAAATTATGGATAAATTTCTGTTGTCATACTTCAATATCCTAAATAATTACATTAGTATTTGAAAATATTACTTTACTTTTCTCCTTTATAATACTCTTTATATACTTTTAGATAATGGTTATATCTATATATTTCATTCTATAATCTCTAAAATATATTAGTGTGAGAATTAAATATATCAAAATTAATATGTTATGACTTATTTAAATGATTGAAGTAATAGTTGATTTCATCTCTCAAATTTTGTTTTATCAAAGACTAACATGATATTAGTAAAAATAATATATTTTATTTTAGACAATATTATCTTAAAGGTGCTTTTTACAAAAAACAATTGAGTACAATAATATATTTATTTACAAATATCCATCTTTAAGAATTATTTATAGTAAATATATTAAAATGATAAATTAAATCTATTCTTTTGATTCATGATATTATTAACAAATAAATTGCTTAAATTAAAAAATCTTGATTAAATATTATCAAATTATATTGAGTTATAATAATAACTTCTATTATTATTCTACTAAACTAATTACTTAAGTTATTGACTAATAAATTTTATTTTAAATAAAAAATTACATAATTATATTGAATATCTTCTATTTATTATTATTTATAATTATATATTAAGATGTTCAAGATAAATATATTGTAAATCATGTGTAAATAATAAGGATTATTAAAGAATTTATTAAGTAAGTAATTCTATTTATATATAAAAATTAAGAATTATATCAAAATACATTATCAATATGATAATTTGTTTGAATGAGATTTTATATTATTTAATTTATGTAATCAACTTTATATTTCCATTTCTTTAACTTCATCTCTAATATTCATAGTTTATTCAATGCCAGCAACTCCCATCATTTATAAAAATTCATCAAAACTTATTTTATTATCATGATTAGGATCAATTTCATAAATCATCTAATCAATTTTCTCATCTGACATTTATCTACCATGTCTTGCTAAGGCTTCTTTAATATCTTCTTTTGTTATATAATTAACATTTAAAGTGTCAAAATATTTAAATAGTGACCATAACTAAATAGATAGAAAAAAATACTTTTTCTCTTGTTAATACTTTTCTTTCATCAATACATGCAGCTAAAAAGTCTGTATATTTAATAACAAGAGGAGATGGTTCTTTATCCATTTCTAAGTTGTTATTCTCTTCATCATCTTCCAAAACTATAGTTTATATAATTTATTCAATTTCTTCTAATGAAGCAGGAGATCCCTAATTTAATTAAATTTAAATACTTCTTACTAAAGTGCTTCCCTTAATTCTTCAATAGTTATAGTTCCAGAATTATCAACATCTATTTTTTGGAATACCTATTTAAGATGATGTAATTCTTTCTCATTCATTTAATTAACTAGAACTTTTGTAACTTCTTTTTTAAATTTGGCTCCTCCTCTAAACATTTTAAGCATTTAATAAATAGTTCTATTATCTTCATGAGTCTAAGTTAATAATTATTAACTCTTTTCTCTATGAACTTTTACATTCTAAAATTGCATTTCAAACCAAGAATGTTTAAGACATTCTCTTGCTGATAATCGTTTTTTAGGTGTTTTCATTAACATTTTTTAAATTAGATCTTTAGCTTATTCACTGATGTTTCTCCAATGACGTCTGTCAAATACAAGCTAATAATAATTATAAAAATTACAGCTTATGTTTTGATATTTTCATATAATTATGCTCTGTTTTTACCATAGAAAGGTGGATAACCACATAATAAACTAAATAGCATAACTCCTAAACTCCATACATCACATTTTTCATCATATTCACCATCAATTACTTCAGGTGGTAAATATAAGGGAGTACCAACAAATGTTTTTAATCGTCTTATAATATTCTAGATTCAAATACTTTATGTGAGTAGTATCATACTTATTTGCCAATCCAAAATCAATCAACTTTGGTTCTGAATATATATCCTTTTCACTAAACATGATGTTTTCAGGCTTTATATCACGATGTACCAAACCTAAATCATGAATGTAAACAATTGCTGAACAAATCTATAAATGAAAAACTCAATACTTTTTGTATAATTGTTTATACTTATCCTTCAGATAATGTAGATTATTATTTGGCTATTCTTTCAACAAGTTCACCACCTTAACAATAATCCATACAAATATAGAAATATAGAGGACTCTAATAAACTTCATAAAACTTAATAATGTTAGGATGATCAAGTTATTGTAACACAAAAATTTCATTAGCAAGTAATGCCTCTTTACCTTTAACTCTCCTTTTATCAATTACTTTGATAGCATATTATTTTTCAGAGTTCTGTTTCATTTTTGCTAATAAGACTTTTCCAAATGAGCCAACTCCAAGCACTTTCCCAAAGTTATATAATTGATGAATATCAGCAGTTGAGGTGAATACTTAATCTTTATTCATGGTTTACATAGCCACAATTCTATTTCTTTTTTTTGATTAAAGACAACCCATATATATGAAAATTATTAAGTAATTAAATTAAATATTAATGCATAAAATTTTTATATTTACTTTTTAGAGATTTCATTATTATAAAATTTTATTTCATTAGCATATAAACCTTTTATCAAATATGTTGAAAATCTTATCCATCAAAAATGAACTATATTCACTTTTTTATCCTATACTTTAGACTCTCCGTTATATTATGTCCTTTTCTCATAAATTACAAGTCTACATTAATAATCTATATTATCAAATCAATTAATCATTCTAACATTTTACTATCATAATTTTTTAAATTATTTCTATATCAAAGGTTACTCTACAATAAGTTATGTTATTAATTGTAGTATAATATTATATTATCGTTTATAACTATTTAATGCACTTTATGTCAGTAATCTCTAAATTCCTAAGCAAAAAAATTAATAAATATAATTACACTTAAATTTTGTACATCATGATTAATTAAAAAAAATTCTACTATTTCTATTTGTTTCATCTAAAAAGGAATGATTTTTAATCAAATATTTAAATAGAATATTCTTTGAATATTATTAGTAATTATCATAAAAAATGAATAATATGCAAAAGTATTCTATAAGTTAATCTTTAAACCTCGCTTTTCAAAAACAGTATAGATCTTTATTTCACAAAGACGAAAACCTTTTATTTTTAACTGATTCAAATTTAATGTAAGATTTATCTCATCCTCTTTCAATAATTAAAACTCAAAATTTGTCATCATTAGTTTTAGATGCTATAAGAGAACTTGAAGATAATACTTATCGTTTATTCAGAGAATTATTTTAAAAATAATCCATTAAAACTTTTAATGTTTTTCATTAAAACTCATAAAATTCCAAATTATGCTAAAAAATTTTACAACTATCTTAAAATATCCCTTATTATCAATTATAATAAAATGTTTGTGATATACTCAAGATTCTAGAAGACATCTATAAATTAGTAAATATATTATTTATTTTAAAGTAATTAAATTAATAGATCACAAATGCTATAATTTTTTAATGTTTCCAAAACTAATTTTATAATGAAGTTTTTCAAGCAACTTTATTCTACAGTCTATATTCCAAATAAAGTAATCTCATAAATTAAATTTTTAGTATTGAATAGAGAATAAAAATGTTTATTCTTAAATTTCTCTGGTCTTGACACAATTGAATAAGATTTTACAATTTTTAAAGAGCTTAATTTACTTAAAAAAAACAATATGGATATGTATTATTTATCATTTCACAAACAAGAATTATAAGCAAAATTAAAAATTAAAAATAATTCTAGTTAATTTTTTGAATAATATTTTCTAGAAATTTAATAAGATCATCCCATAACATGGTTTTAACTCAAATCCTTTTTAAAACCTAATTTAAAAAGAAAAATTTAATTATTCAATCCTCAGATTTGTGTATTATAGTTATTAGTATCTTTGGATAAATTAGAGGATAAAGAAAGTTTAAAATTAGATAATGATTGTATTTTGAAAATAGTTCACTTTTTTTAAAAGATCTCTAAAGATAAATTGATAATCAATTTATTAATTAAGAATGAAGAATCAAATGCAAAAGAGTTAATTGAATAATAGTAAAAAGACAATTTCTTAAAAGCAAAAAAAGTATATTTAAAATAAATTATAAATGCAATTGAGTAAGGTATATTTGGGAAAATTAAAGTTGAATTAGTTGATAAAAGAAGTTATGATTAAATTTTAATTGATTTCAAATGTTAAATAAACTAATTTAAAAATTAAAAGTATCAAGAAGAAATATAAAGATCATTTAATAACTTAATTTTTCAATAAGCAATTTAAATTAAATATAGTTCTGAACTAGAAGATTAGGCATATAATTACATACCCTTTATTGATAATAATAGATCTCTGCTATTTTTTGAATTCTATTTTAATTAAAACAAAATTAATATAAATAATTCTACTTAAGTTTTTTTCAAGGAAAAAGAATAAATTGCTATTATTTTTTAAGTGTAATAATTCAAGCTTTATTATTGTAAAATTGATTGCAAATGTGTTAAAAAAGATTGGTAATATTTTGAAAATATTTAATAGTAAATTACTTAATTTATAGCATTATTAAAATTTTGATAATATAAAAAATGATGAATTCATGAAAGCTCCAATAATTGCTGTTATTGAAGACAATATATATTTAAATTATGGATATTTAGGAGATTAAATATGGGAATATAATATAATAAACTAGAGTGTCATTTTTAAGAAAAGAAAAGGATTACAAAATGTTAAATACTTATAAGATGCAGGATAATAATAAAATTATATTTTAGAAAGAGAAGGAGCAAGTGTCTTTTACAATTTAATAGAAAATAAAGATAATAATCATTATTTTATTGCTGGAGGAGAACTTGGTTAGAACAGTCCTATATGTAATATCATAGAAAAAGTATTGCCAGAAAATGAAGGTTTTTCTTCAGGATTTGTAGTTAAAAGTCTATTTAATATAAATTTGAAACCATTTAAACATTCTTTAGTTTTGGAGGGTAATTAGTCTGTAATATTCCTTCCTGGAGATTATAATAAAAAACGTTATAAATATTCTTAAGTAATAAATTATTAACATTACTAATATGCATAAAGATTAAGTGTAATAAGAAATGATTGGTTGATAGAAAATATAAATATTGTTTATGAGAATGAAGAAATTGGTAGAGTTTATCCAATTCATTTAATGCCAAATAATTAATAGATTGTGTATAATGTTGAAAAGGACCATTGGATAGTTTGTTTTTTTGGATAATAATTATAATCAGTTGGATCTACTAATTTATATTCTTAATAGATTTATAAGGATGAGATCAATTAAAATGAATTTAATTATGAAAAATGCAATAAAATAAATGAAGGCAATTTATATTAAGTAATAATTAAAATGGAAATAAAATATTATTAAGATTAACTTCATATTTCTATAATTCCATTTTAATTAGGAAAGAATGGATCTATAATAAAAAACACTGTGAATTTTAAAACGGATTGATTGATTTTCTGAAATTTTAATATAAGTTTATATAATTATTTTTATATTTTAAATGAAGAATAGGAATTCATTTTTAGATGAAGAAAATCTATATTTTTCAAGATCTACTGTTTAATAATTAAAACCTCAGATTGATTAAATATTTGATATTAATTTGAGAGAACCTCCAATATTAAAAAAGTAATCAAAAAGTTAAGGAAAGATATTTAAAATGAATGATTAGGATAAAAAGAAAATAGATTACTTAGTTTCTTTAGGTTTATAAGATAATATTTATGAAATAAAATATCCATATTTCAATTTCATTTATAATGTTAAATTACCAGATTAATTGATAAGGAAATGGAGTATAAGAAGCATTAGTTTTAACAAAGATAAATTAATTGTGGATGTTTTTCAAGGACAATATATGAAAAAATAGAAAGATATTAATACAAAAAATGAATAGTTTTTATATCCTGCAATAATTGGAACTCAAAAGTGATTGCATTATAATTTTAGGTTAGAGCAAGATCAATTATATTTGAATAGTATCATTAATGGATTCATGGTTGAAGGTAGAGTATAAAAACAACTTTAAGTAAATTTAAAATGAATTTTAAGTATCCTCTGAGAGATAAGCATGCCAATTTATATCTTTGGAGTGGCTTATTATTTTTATTGAAGTTTATATATAGATTTTATCAAATAGAATCTAAATGAGCTATTAATAATATATATATATAATTATTTTAAATGGATAATAATTTTTTTGGAGACACTTTCGTTAATAAAAATGGACCATGCAAAATTAAATTGTCAGATATGAAGGTTGTAGTTTTATACTTTTGTGCAAGTAAATTCAATTATTAATTTAAGGTTGGTGTCCTCCTTGTGTAAATTTTACACCTACTCTTGTTGAGTTTTATAATGATGTTAATTTAGAAACTAAATAACTTGAAATTATATGGGTATCTTATGAGGAATCAGAAAGTTAATTTAAAAAGTATTTAGAAGAAGTATTACAATTAAATAATTTAAAGATGCCTTGGCCAGCTATTCCTTATAATGATAAGAGAATCTAGTAACTGGTAGATAAATATGAAATTAAAGGAATTCCTACAGTGACTGTATTAAGGAAAAATGGAGATATAGCAAAGAAGAATGGAAAATAAGATATTTTAAAAGAAGGAGAAGGAGCTTATAATTTGTGGGAATAATTAGTGAATAGTGAGTGAACTCAAATTTTTATTATAATTATTTATAAAATATTAATAAATATATAATGTCTGCTGGAATATTCATTGGCACTATTATATTTATAGGTATTGGAATTGGAGTAACTGTTTGGCTCAAAGGAGTTGTTACTAAGGCAACTAAAAATTTAAGTGATTTGAATGATAATTTATTGTAATACATCAATATTAAAGATAGGCTAATGTATGTTTCAGTTATTTCTGGTACCATTCAATTTTGGCTCCTATGGTTTTGTATGTATATGCATTAACTCAATCCGATAATAACGCCTGTAAGAGGACATGAATGAGTTATTAATAAATCGTATTAAAATTTAATTTATAGATCATTCAATTACATAATTCTTATTATCATAATTACATAGCATTTTTGATACAGGGATACATATATTGAACATTTGTTTTTCTAATGAAAAAATATAGGTTCTTCTATTTTAGAAATAGAAATTTATGAAATATTTAGATAAGAATTAGGATTTTTAAATAATATTTGAGAAATTCTTAAAAACAAAATTTATTTGTTTCTTTGATTAATTTATTAGGTTTAATACTTGATCAATATATTTATCTTTTAATAGTAAAAATTATATTATCTAAATTTACCAACCTATATTATGATTATTAGATTAATTTTTGAAATATAATATTATAATTCTTATCCTTTTAATCCATTAATTTATTTATTTTCGATATTATTTCAACTTAGATTTATATTTAAATGTTTGATAATTATATAGATAATAATAATTTTATATATTTTATTAAAGAGAATAATATATAATGTAATCTTTTTTATCATGCTTATTTTTTTATAATAAACGTTCTACCTTTACTTTAGGCAGTTCTAGGTGGAGCATACATAGTTCTGTTAAAATATAATGAATATTCTCTTGAAACCCAATTAATAAGTTTGTCAGTTTCCTCAAACCTTCTTTTTTAATCTTTTGCTCCTATTAAAACTACTATTATTGATCCTAATACACTCTCATAAGAGACTGCAAGACAAGCACCAGCATTAGGTGTTATTCCTGTTTTAATACCATAATAATTTTCAAAATGCAATAATTAATTTGTATTAAACCATTCATAATTTCTACAAGAATAGGATTTGCTATTGCAAATTTATTTTAAAATAGGAATTTTTAAATAAGCTGAACTCATTTTACACATATCTGATGCTGTTGATTTATTAGCCTATATTTAATATAGTATCTATAATTTACTTTTGAACTAAGACCATGTGGATTTGAAAATTATGAATCTCTCATACCTAATTTTAATGCATTTTCATTCATTTATCTTACAAATCTATTCATATTACTCATTTATGTATCATCATAAAATCCTTATATTGTATCACATGTAATATAACTGACAATCTTTTATTTTCTTTAAGTGTTTAGTATAAATCCAAAATGCAGTGCAATTGATATTGCAGCATCATTTCCAGATGGTAACATTAATGCATATAACAATTCTTCTAAAGATAATATGTCATCTCTTCTTAAAAAAGCAGATGTCCCTCCAATCTATGTGGCAATTCTAGGAATACGAATATATATTTCATTCTAAAATTAGATTAAAAAGCTTGAATTACATAATCAAGATTTAATTCTTCACATAATTATATTGCTGTATAGGCAGTCATAATTTTTGTAAGACTTGCTACTTCTAACTTTAAAGAGGAAGATTTGCTGGCTAGTTCATCTCCCATTAAAGTGACAATACACCAAGATAAAGCTGTTGTTTATGGAGGGTTTACTATTTTTAATAAAATTTTCTATACATAATGATAATGCTGACTATCTTTTGGTATGCAAAGATTTATTATTCTCATTCATTTTAAATAAATAATAAATTAAGAAATTAATTGCTTATTATCAATACTCATTAACATTAATTATATTGCTCTATTATTTTTTATAGTTCAATTCTCTTTTATTCAACCTACTATTTTAAGATCTAATTTTCTTCAATTAATGCCTTCATAAATTATGAATCATCACTAATCATATTACAAGTTAAATTATTTCCTCTTTAAGTAAAATCATCTCTTGAAGTAAATGATACTGTATATGCATTGGGTTTATGTAAGACAGGAGTTATTGATCTTTATTATTGTACTCTAGGAATTTATTATTAAGCAATATATTATGTTTGAACAAATATTGGTTACCTCTAAAATGGCTATGTTATTGATTATTAGTACATAATTATTTTAATTATTAATAAACTTGAAAAGTAGATAAATATATAATCGATTCAAATTAAAGTATTATTAAATATGATTTCTCTTAATTTAATTATTTATTTTATGAATCGAAAACTTGAACTAAAATTATTAAGCCATTTTTAGAGTTTAGAAGGAAAATTATCTTTATTGTTCTTACATATATCAGATAATTCAGCTGGTTTCTAACATGTAGGTAGTTAAAAGGAATAGTTTACAGCCTTTTATAATATATGCATACAAAAGTAAAAGAACATTTTTCATTTTATTAAGAATCACTAAAATAGTATTTCTAAAAAATGGTACATAAAATTAACCTTTTGAATAGTAATGTATATTTTGTTCAAAATTAAAGACTAACTCAAGTTAATAATTAATATTGCATTTACTTTTATTTCATAAAATAAAGTACAGCTATAAATTCACTTACTATTAAAATGAAAAAGTTTTACATATTGCTTATTTTCGATAATAACCTAAGATCTTACCTAATGTATTTAGACATTATAAAGCCATTAATTAAAATTAATTAGATTGCTTTATGTTCTTAACTTTATTTTCTTAATCCAATTCAGAATTTTACTAAAAAAATAGTTATAATTATAAAATTTATTATTAGCTCTTCCATTAGAATAAGATTAACAAATATCTAATTTAATGAGTTAAAAATAATTCTATTGTGGTCCTGCAAAAAATTTTAAACCAGTTTAAAGAATTGAAGAATTTAAAGAATTAGAATCATTAGACTTTGAAGCTTACAAATAAAATGAATTACTTTGTTTAACTAAATCCTCACCAGAATTTAAAGGATCTCCTATTCAATAATTTATGATGCTATATAATACAAGAGTATTAGAAGAAAGACCATAATAATTAAAAGATTTTTTAAAGTAATTTACTAAATTATAGGGTGAATTGGCTATTTGTTTTTAGAATCATTTATTTACATTACTATGTTATAGCATGATAGATTAGTAAACATTTGTAGAATTATCTCTTATGATATAAAAATGAATTTGAGACAATTTAAATTATTAGTATAAACTTTAATTTTAATTATATTATCAATTTCAATTTAATAATATCTTTGTATTTATAATTATTCATTATGATATGATCAATTATTATGTAAGATTTAAATATACATTGTATTAAGATTAATTTAAATAGATAGTTGATGATTATAAAGGAAAGATGAATTAAAATCATATCATCATTATTTTAGTTCACTTATCTATAAGTTGAAATTTTATATTAAAAACTTAATATTTACCAATCATTTATCTTTTCTATTATCCATTTTTAATATTTATCTTCCTCTTTTTTAGAACTATCTGTGAAAAATTAATGATTTTTTATCTTAGACTGTTTACACTAAGGATTAGGTTATAGATTTCATTCTTAATAGTCTAAACTGAAATTAAAGCCTTTCTTCATTTATTATATATATATTTTCAATTTAACAAATTACATATAATTTTATATGAAAAAAACACATAGTTGTTAATTACGGACCTTAGGTTTTGTAAAAAATTATTAATCAGATTCCAATCAAAATAATATCATTAACCACACCCTTTATCATAAATATGCATCATCTCAAAATTACTATTATACAAGAGAAATTAACGAGATTTTAAGTAAGCAACGAACTTCATCTGTAATTTTGTTTTAAGTATCAAAGCGATCTAATAATAGGATTATTTGCATTATGATGATGAAGATGAATATCTTAAAAGATTTTATATTTATGATGTATATCATAATAAGATGAAATTGCTTAAAGAGTTTTATAAATACCATAAGGATCTTCCAAGATTTACATTAACTTAAAAAATACTTTAAACTCTAAATTATTATTATGATAAGCGTAGAAAATTAGATTATTATAGAATCTAGAGATAAATAGAGTTTGAAAATAAATAAAATCCTTAATTACCCCAAAAAGGAATAGTTGGAGACAAACCAATAGAAACTGAAAGTACGCCAAGATCAGCTAGTAGTTCAACATCAAATGTTAATACTAATATTGAAAATATACTTAAAGACATTACTAGATAAGAATCAAAGCAATAAATTGAGATCAGTAAAATAACTTAGATCTAAGAAGAATAGTAAAGTGAGATCATTAAAATAATCAATATGATTAGCACACCGTAAATTAAGAATTATTAGGTTTTTAAGAAATCTAAAACCAATTTCAAGAAATAATTGAAACTTGACGAATTAGGTCTATCATTATCATCAAGAATACAATAGAACCCACAAGAACCTAAAATGCCTTTATCAGCTAGATATCCTTCTTATTCATTAAGTAGAGTTAACCACAAACATTAATCATTATCAAAAGAGAAAACTGCTGATACTCATTTAATAAAAGATAATTTATTATAATTATTTAACAAATATCCAAATAAAAAAAAGATGAAAGTTGAAAATAAAAGTAGTTCAAGAAATATTCAACTTGATTAAAAAAAATTAATTCCTGAAATAAAACAATTAGAATTGAAAATAATTAAATCCCTATAAGAAATAGAGAAAAATAAAAATACTTAAAAAATAGTATCTTTAGATAGCAAAGCATTACACTAAATACTTAGTAAATTTAGTAAGCCTATATTATCTTAAAGACATATTTAATAAGTAGACTCATTTAAAAGCACTTCAAATCAATCTATTAAATTAACTAATAATAGAATTGCTATGCAAAAGGCTTACACTCCAAGATATAAATTCATGAACTCAAAACCTAATGAAACCAATTAATAGCATACTAAAACATCAATAGAAAAATAGTAATAATTAGTTAAAGCTCTTGATCTTAAGAAATTGATGATCTATAAAAATGAGAAATCTGCTAAGACAGAACGAATAAAAAAAAATGTTCCTTTTTTGAATCTAAATGCAATTTAGATTAATAATTAGTCTTCTCTTACATCTAGAAATTAAAGTGGTAATCCAAGCTTCATTTAATTATTAACTCCAAAACCTCAAACTAGTAGATATAAAGTTAATAATCTTATTCATTGGTAAGTAAAGGCTATTTAAGCTGCATAAAAAGATTATAAATTATAGTTAAAAACTTAATAAATGAAAATAGAACAATTAATTTGATATATTATATGAACTAATTTTAAATAGAAATTATATAATTAATAATCATTAAAAAAATTAACTTCAATGTCAATCATAAATTAAGAACTTTTACAAAAAGTCATTTAACTAATAAACAGTTAACCCTCCATTTATTAGTAATTGAATTCAACAGAACTTGATAAGGGAATAGATCTTATTGATATCTATTCTGTTTATGGAGATGTAGATTAAAATATATATGAAGAACCAGGCGAAATTCAGTTTAATATTGAAATGGAATAAGAGTAGCCATAAGAAGAAGTCAAGGAAAGTATTCCTTTATAGAATACTAAAAAATCACAAATCACTTTGGATTAAATTAAAAATTATGATAAATGTGATTAAGTATATAGAACAATAGCAGAAACTTAAGGGGAACTTGAAGTATTTTTAGATAGGAATCAAGATATATACCGTTCTTTTAAAATTTGGAGTGATTAATTAAACTATGGAGAACTTTATTCAAAGGATCCAAAGTATATTGAGAAAATTAAATTTACATTGATACTTGTAATTATAATTATATAATAAATAGTTATCAGAATGGTTAGTGGCTGTGTGTTATAAATAATAAGTAAAAAAAAGAATTTTAATATAAACTTAAACTTAGCCTAGAATTTAATATAAAGCAAATATTTTTTTGGAATATATTTATGAGCCAAAAAAATTAAGTGAAAACAGAAGAACAAATGAAGTAAGAAGATAAACTGTACATGAAATTTTACTGGCTGCAACTCCAGATATGGCATATGTTCTTTCTGAAGGTTTTATCATTTCAAAATTAACTAATTAATTGATTGCTCCTATTTAAGGAGGGTTTTGTAGAATAAAAGATTGGCTCATAGCAGTTAGGGGAGTAACAAACTTAAATATGAAAGAATTTTAAGAATTATTAAAAATTAGTAGAGAATATTTTTCTGAATAAAGAACTATTTGATTATTTATAAGTTTTATTATATTTAATATTTATCTAATTAAGTTTTATTTATTATTATTATGAAAATAATTGAATATAATGTAAATTATAATAGTAGAAATAGTATTATTAAATAGATGGATAAATTAATGTATAAAGTGGATTATATATTTATATTCATTATTGATAAGATTACTTTTTAACGGATAAAAATGCATTACTATTTTTATTTCTAACAGTTGTTGATTATTCTATATTCTCTTTTGAAATTAGTTTTTGATTTTTGATTTTTTATTAATTATTCAATTTTAAAACTTAATTATAAATAGACTCACCAGGATGACTACATAATTCTTTAAGAATTCTATCTTTTAAAGTATCTTCATTTGAAACATGTTAACTAGGTTATGAAATATATTATTAAGAATTAACATTTGCTAATATAAACTATCTTTTACCATCTATGTGATCAAAAGAAGGTTACTTAGCTTGTTTGGAATTAGATCTTTTATTTTGATGATTATCAATTTTTTAATATTATTAATTATTATTTCTAGATTAAGGTTCTTAGTGAAGTGGAGTTAATGATTTTTGATTAGGTAAAGAATCATAATTGATTTTTTAAAATTCTTTTTAACTTTTTTGTTCAAATAAATTGTTGTTCACTTAAGGATATTAGTATTAAGCTTAGATATAATAAAATAGTAATACATCTTTAACTAGCATGATTAGTAAGGAGTTTAAAGGTTTGAGGACCTGCTGCTGTCATGTTTTTTTAATGTTTGGGTGTTAATTATTATTTATCTTCAAAGCTTTTTCTATCTGTATCTTTACTATTTTTTTATATATACAATTAATTTAGATTATTTATTAATGGTTAATTAGATTATTCATTGATTTTATCAAATTCTTAAGAGGTTTTTTATTTTTCATTTTATTACACATAATATTTATCATTCATTTCCAATTATTTATTTAAGCATTTTTATGAATTCAATTATTCACCTACACTAATATTATGTTTGTAACTTTCTCTTTCATTAGGAGTTATTAATGGATTATTTTTTTGAATATAAGTTTTTTAATGCCAACTTTCTGGAGTATTTGCTCTACTTTCTCTTCTTGAGTTTTATATAGTTGAAGTAGGATTAGAATAAGCATTAACTTTTGATTTTTAAATTTATTATTATTATAATTGATGTATTGTAATTGGAGATTAATTATGATCTTTAATTGGATTAGAACAAGTACTTTAATAAATATCTTCTGCTTCTAACATCTCAAATACTTTCATATCTAAAGGAGAATTATTAGTATTTTATCTAATCTTTGGACTATTTTCTAATTTTATTTATACAGAATGACTATCAGATGTTGATGAATCATCACTTTTTAATAATAAAAGATTGTAACACATTTTATTCATATCTGCTAAAATTTAACTTTATTCAAATTTAATTGGTTTAACTTAGAATTCTTAATTACATTCTTATAATTATTCCTTTGTCTAAAGAACTCTCTTTTCATAACGACTCATTATGTCTTCAAAAGGTTTCATATCCATTTTTTTCACTATATTTTCATGATTTTTATCAATATCAATCTAAAATTATTTTAGTTATTCATCTATTTATTTAATTTAATTAGCTTTAGTATGAATAGAATTCAATAAAATATGATGATCATATTAGAATTTTTGTAAATAAGTTTATTTTAATTAATTTGCAGTCTATATAACAGAATCAAAGAATTATTAGCAACTTTCTTAATGTTCCAAAAGTTATTTACTAGATATTTTCTCTATGTTATTAAATTCCTAAGATCTATTTGTGCATTATTCCATTATCTATTTTAATAGTTCTTAAAAACGATGTATCCGTTGTTATCTTTGAATTTCATGTTAATTCTCTTATGTCTCTTCTATTTTTAATCCTTTCAATGCTAAATTTAATGCACATTTAGAACAAAATTATTTGCTTTTATCACATTATACATAATATTTTGCCTTTATTTAATATTATTGCATTTACCTTTTTATTTGGATGCTTAGCACACTTATTATTACTTTATTCTTTTCGTTTGAATATGTTTGAACTCTTTAATATTCTTTCTTATTCAATTAATACAAACGATGTTTCCTCTGAATCTGATGATGAAATTTATCCACTCATTATCGGTTAAAAATTATTAAAAAATAATAAAAGAAATTTCATGAAGCCAACCTCTAATGCTTCTCAACAAGCAAATCAATGGGCAATGAAAAAGAAAGAGTAAATGGAAAAAGCTGCTTAGATGAGAGCAGAACGAAAATTAGCTGCAACTGGAGAAATGGCTTTAGGCACTAAAACAAATTATGGTACTTATATTAAGTATCCAAAGATTATGATAAACCTCCAAGTTAGAATTCTTAAAAATAATATTATTAAGGTGATTTAGGTAATAATAATGTACGATAACAATAATTTGGTCAGTAGTAATTTTAAATGAATGATATTGGTTTTCAAAATGTTTAGCCTAATCGGTAATCTTCCTTAGGAAAATAACAACCCTAACCTTCTTATGACAAATATGGATATAATTAAAACAATTAATTTTCAAATAATAAACCACCTAGTTAGGAAGGGTAAAGAAAAGTTTAATAGGGTATATAATCTAAGCCATAAATGAATTAAGTATAATAGAGTAGATAATAATATGGTAAAATTGAAGATGATTATGATTATTAAAATAAATAATATGGGCAACTTAAACCATAATAATAATAACAATATAATGTTAAATAGCCTACACCTGTTTAAAAACAATAATATAGACCACCTTCAGGAACTTATGATTAATCTAATGGATATAATAAACCTTCTAATTAAACAAATAAGCCACCTGTTCAATCAACTAAATAAACAATTAATAATAAATAATAAGGTAATCTTAGAAATAATTAACAAGCCGTATAATAACCATAATAATAATAATACTACAATCCTATTGATGATATCCCAATTAAAAAAGGAGATAATTAACCTAATATAAATATTCCAAATCCTGAACCATTATATGAATGCTCAAAAGGATGTGGCAGATCTTTTGCAAAACTTGCTTTATAAAAACATGAAAAGATTTGTGTGAAAGTCTTTCAAAAATAAAGAAAATAATTTGATGCCTAAAAACATAGAATTATTAGTAATGAATAAATAAATCACATTAAAAATTAAGATAAAATTGAATAAAAATATGAAAAAGCTTTAGGTTTTTATTTATTAAATTATTTTAGCTAAAAAACAAGATTGGAAAAAACAATCTGAAGCTTTTAGGGCTGCCATAATAGCTGCAAAAGGAGGTAAATTAACAAATGATCAAAAGGTAGAAATTTAATAATAATATAGAATGCAATGTAATAAGCAAGCAAATCAAATTTAACATAATGCAACTATTGTGGAAGAAGTTTTAATCAATAAGCAGCTGAAAGACATATTCCATTTTGTGCTTCAAAAGCAAAGATTCCTCCTAAACAACCTTAAAAAAGGAGATGATCATTAATAATTCAATAAAATTTATATATAAAAATCAACTAATTATATTTATCATTACAGATTTTCTAATAAAGCTATAAATTCGGTCTCCTCAATTTAACCATCTTTATTATGATCACATGATGTTAAGATTTCTTACCAAGCATTATTATCAATTTAAATTCCTCCAAATATTTCCTCTATTTCTGATCTTGAAATTGTACCATTACCATCTAAATCAAATAGCCTAAATGCTGCTTTTAAACTTTATTTCAATATTTATTTCTCTTACAAAACTGAGGCAGTAATAAATTCTGTAAAATCTATTTTACCAGATTCATTTGTATCTATTTGATTCATAATTTCTTTTATCATAATTTAAGATTAAATTTAATTTATATTAACCATGAGCATTCCTTATAATATTTCATCCTCACATAAAACACCATCTCCATTTTTATCAAGTTTTTTAAAAGCTTCTAAACATTTTTCACATTCTTCTTTTTTAAGTGCTTAAACTGTAATAAATTAGTATATAGCCACTCTTAAATTATTATACCCATTAAATTAGGTAATATTTCTAAAAAATGTTTAATCAAAAGGTAAACTTATTTCAGATTAATTTTAAATCCAATTATGACTCATTGCCTCCTTCATTGATACTCTTTAAACTGGATCTTTATTTATCATTAACCTTATCAAATCTATTGCATCTGGACTTATTTTTTACCATATCTTTGCTTTTTAATACTTAATTCAGATAGTACCATTAAAATCAATTTAAGCTTATTACACAAGTTGTAAAGTTTCATATTAATTTTTTCCTCTAAATGGAGCCTTTCCAATCAATAATATATAAAGTATCACTCCACAAGACCATACATCAACTTTTTCATTATATCCATTAGATCTTAATATTTCAGGAGCTATAAAATAAGGAGTACCAATTTTTGTAGTCAGTTTTCTAGATATCATCTTTTCGCTTGCTCCAAAGTCAATAACTTTTAAATTGGAATTGATATCTAAAGTATCAAATAAAATGTTTTCTGGCTTGTAAATAATCAAAATAATAATACTTTAAGATCTCTATGGACTATTTTTCTCTCATGACAATATATCATAGCGGACAAAATTTGTTTCATATAAATTTTTGCTATTTCTTCTGAATAATTTTTAATTTTCCTAACTCTATCTATCAATTCTCCTCCATCTAAACTTTCAGTAATTAAATAGAAATGTTGATTATCGTTGAAAACTTCAAGAATCTTTACAATATTAGGATGATCTAAATTTTTTAGTATTTCTGTTTCTTGTAATAATAATGTTTCATTTTCAACTGATTATCTAGAAATAATCTTTACTGCTCTGATCAAATTGGTTTTTAAATGTCTTACTTAATAAACTTCTCCAAATCCTCCTTAACCTAATTTCTTTATTATTTCATAATGCTATAAAAATTTTTCTCCTTCTTTTTATTTTCTAATAAACAAATCTGGGGAAAGTGATAAGTCTTTTTGATATTTTGTCTTAATATTTGAACTTTAAGAACTAAAAACATTTGGTGTTTAACTATCAATGCTTTCCAAATTGACACCACTAGTTTATTTAAAAATTATTTTTGCTTAAATAGAGGTTTGTTATTCTTAATCATCTGCATTGATTGCTTAATCAATAATTTCATTACCTTATTAAATACTATTCTAAGCTAAATTTATTTTATCTAATTACCTTGGGTGTTAACTTAAAATTTAAAAATACAATTTCCCATTTAGAAATTTCTAAAATCTGTATAAATATAATTTTTATAAAGGATGCTTTGATTATAAAAATAGATGGTTTTTATTTAAAAAGACTTTTATTTTATTTGTTTTGATTAATATAATATATAAAATTTATTTATATTATTAATACGATTTTATTGTATTAAAAAATGTTCATAATTTTTTTTTTAAATATCTATTTATACTATAATTGTCCATTAAATGCATATGTTCTACGTGAATGGAATTATTAATTAAATCTAACATTATTTATTATGCTTCACATTCCTGATGTAGCAATTGGTGTTGAAAGAGCCAATCATAAGCATTTTGATGATATCTAAGAGACTTCAAAACTAGAACATCCAGCAAAAATAAGCATGATCAAGATTTAATATAACAAAGATCATGTTATAGGAATCAAGCTTAAATACAAAGGAGTTGATGGTAAATAAGTAAAGGGAACTTGCTCCATGAAATTCAAACTACTTGGAGGAGTATTTTCTGGAACAAAGAAAGAGAAATTCTCTATTGATGATGGTAATTAACTCATATATACTTTTAGGTGATTTTATTAAGGAAATACATGGATATGTGGGCACAGAAATAAATCAATTTGGATTTACTACTTATAAAGGAATTTCTCATAAATGTGGAGTATCCAAAGGAGTATCATTCTCTCACCATTTTCCTCTTCATACTTTCACCTCAGCCAGAGGATCTTATGATAAATTCTTAGAATTTATCGCCTTTAGAGTAGCACCACTAACTCCTGAATAGATATAAAAATTGGTAATACTTATTTTTATTATTTTAGGGATTGAATTAGCAATAAGGAAATGTCAATATTGTAACAATGCACACTACTTAACCTCCTCCTCCAGCATAACATCAATAAATTCAACCTACTGGATAATATCCCCAACCAGGATAATATCCACCTCCTGGATAATATCCCCCACAAGGATAATATCCACCACCAGGATAATATCCCCCACCTGGATAGTATCCGCCACCAGGATAATACCCACCTCCTGGATAATATCCACCTCCTGGATAATATCCACCTCCTGGATAATATTCCCCACCAGGATAGTATCCCCCACCTGGATAATATCCACCACCAGGATAATATCCCCCACCTGGATAATATCCACCATAACCACAATAGAATACAACTGTTATCATAGAATAGTAAGCCCCACCTCCTGCACAAAAAAGCGGTGTGAGCGGTGGTGTCGTTGCAGGTGCCTTGGTTGGAGGAGCATTGGTTGGAGCTGCTTTAGCAAATAACCACAATAATCATCATCATCATGGTCCAGATGTGGTCGTTGTGAAGAAGAATCATTGATAAGTTATATTCAAAAATAACATAATATATTTTAACCATCTTAAATAATGTGTAAAAATTAAGTTCTAGTTTTATAAAGAAATTTATATAAAAAATATTTGCTCTCTTAAATAATACTAAGATAGTATATTAAATCATAAGTAAAATAGAAAAAAGAGATAAAATAATTGATGGTTGAGCAGTTAAAAATTAATATAGTTGAAATTCAATTTTCAAATTTAAAATCTGATACTAGTATGTTATGCCTCATTTAACATCAACCATTTAATATAGTTTATATTTAGGGGATATTTTATATAAATAAAAGCTACGTAAAAAAATCTTATTTTCTTTTGTATGTTTTTTTCCCTATTGGTGCCTGTGAAAAATAAATTAGCAGAACACAAAAAAAGGTCAAGTATTTAAAAGACTTAAAATTTATTTTTGAAATGTACAAATCTATCATATTTTGAGTCAGTATCTAGAAGACATTACATTTTCTAAGATTTTATTGAGTATCTCCAAAATAATGAGAGTTTTAAATGAAATTAAATTCTAAATTTTCTTATCCATAAATTAAAGAAACTAATAATCTTTTTTGAAAATTTATTTTGCTAATCACAGATCCAATAAATTTTTGGAGGAGATACAATAATAATTCAAAATAAGCCTACGTGATCCTTTTTATTTACAAAAATTTTTTTTCTGAAAACTAATTATTTAATTACCTTCATAAGAAAAGCCATATTAAGATTCCTATTCAAGAAAAAATGATAAAAACATAAAGATTTTTTTTATTTAAAGTTTTTAAAGAAATTTTAGTAGTTTATGTGCAAATTGTTCCATAAATTTTCTATTTTTTTAAATAAATAGTGTGAATAAAATAAATTAATTTTCACTATTTATATCTTTTTGAATCATGGGTTAGTCTTCCTAGATTGTGCCAAAGATTCTGCATCTGCAAAGAATTTCACCACAAGAATTAGTTTTGGTAATATAATAATGCCTAGAGCATTTAATCTTCCTTATATGGTTGGAGAATTAATGAAAAATGCTCATAATAAGATAAAAATAGGTTTATCAGCAAACGAAACCTACCCATAAATTCAATTATAAAACCTTCATTTCATCATATAATTATTTTAAAACTAACAAAATATGAGGAAAAAGTTAACTTATTAAATTTATAAAGGCTAATGATTTTTTTTAATGTGTGTTATTCTCTTAAATGGGTCAAAAAAAAAATAATATTAATTTTTTCTTACATAGTTCATCATTGTGTGATTAAAGATTTTAATTAATATAATTAATAACATACCATGTAGCTATCATAAAAAAAATAATCTTATTATCATATTCATTTTCATCTATGTCTTTATCTGTTATTTTAAAACTAAATTAAAATTTTTCAGTTGCTTATATCAATAGACACTCTATATGATGCTAATATGGAACAACTTCGTTATTATTTTCTTCTATAACATTCGCTAGGCCTATACAATTACTTCTAATACAGATTAGAAGATCTATAAATAAAAGATACAATTTCAGTAAAAACTAAAAGGGATCTATTCTGAAGGATAAACCAAAAATCTTTGCCTTAAAAAAACACTTGAATGAGTTTTAGAAAAATATCTTATTGTAAATGAATGATTTAATATCATTTAAGTCAATAATATCTTAACTGTGAAAAGAAATCTTTGGATCATAAGCACCTTCAATGTCTTTAAATTTTGGTGTATTATTTAATTATGTTAATTTAAAACACTTTATATTTTTATTAAATATTTATTTTTATTTTATTAATAAAAGAAAAATATGATATTTTAAATACAAAATCAAAATAGTACTAAAATGTCTCAAATGTAGAATAACACAATGTATAAAATATTATTTATTTTATAATTATTATTATGAACATGATATTATTCATAGTTATTTCTATGATATTTAAAAATTATAATTGTAAATTCAATCACATATGTCTATTTGGATACAGTGAAGCTTATTTAACAATAATGAAATAAAAAATAGTGTTTTTATATTAAATTGATAAAAATTCATTAATTATTATATGAACTCACCGCCGCCAAATAGCAAATCAACTGAAACTCAATTCAAATTTGGACTACTGAAAGTGTTAAGAAGCAATTATTTTGCAGATGTTGATAGGATGACAGAGGCCCATAATTAGGGATTATTTGTAAAAATCAAAAATAGAAATAGGAATCAATTATTGATGAGAAAGAATGGTTGAATTGTGGTAAACCTATAGTAGATAAAAGACCTGTTCATGAAGCTAAAAGAGCTAATGAAAAAGAAGTTTAAGATGAAGGGGAGGAATAAAGAAAATAAAGATTAGAGAATTTGAATTTGTATTTAATGGATGGTGTATTTAAGGCAGGTGAAGAGATGGGATTATAAGAGTGGAATAAAAGAAGATTGGAAAAATCTTTAATATCAGAATAAAAATTTTATTATTTCGATGATGATGGAAATCTAGTTGCAGATAGAGAATTTTTTGAGGAGAAAATATAAAGATTATTTCTAATTGATTTTGATGAAAATCTGGCATTATAAACACATTAAAGACCTGCTTCAAGATGTGCAAGAGAAAATCAAAATAAATAGTTACCTTTTAGATTAGACATTTTTATTGGAGTATTGCAATTCTCTTATCATCCTTAATTTTCAAGAGAAGATTAGTATGTGGCAGATCTAAAATATCTGATTAAGAAATATCGAAAGAGGGCTGATTTGGCTCTGATTCCTCATTACTAGAAGACATTAAATATTTTAGAGAAAGAAACTACAGAATTGTAAAGTAGACCTGATGATACTAAGATGGAAATGGAAATGATTTAGTTGGAGAAAGAAAGATTAAGAGAGGAATTAAGAAAGGAGATAGAGACTTTATAGAAATTGATGGAATAGATATATGCAAAATGGGATACAATAAAAGAGGAAAGAAAGACAGTTGGGGCAATTTCATCTCCTTATAAATTAGGAGTCAGATTTTACAATTCGACAGATAATACTAAGGAAGTGGATTTTATATTATAATAAATAGAAATTAATAAGGAGAGTAATAAGGATTAGATAATTAGTAAAGCAGAAGAAGGAAGAAGATAAACAATAAAAAGTTTTAGAGTTTAATTAGAAATAGTAATTAATAATTAGGTAGTAGCTTAAACAAGAAAAGTAAATTTAGATTGGCCATCTTTTGAAGCTAGAATAATGGAGAAACTTTAAGTGTATGTATTTACAAAACCAACAAGTGTTAAATTAAGAATATGGAAAGTTCAATTAATTAATAAATTAATTGATGAAATTGAGATAGAATTACCAGGAGAGAAATCTTATGCCATAACTAGTACTGGATTTGTTTTGAAGGAAGCTTATTTTGCATAAGGTAGAAAAACAATAAGAGAATCTCGTTATTCAGACTTGATAAGTTAAAACAATAAAGCTTTAAATTATAAATCAACTGAAGAAGAATTTGAAGGATTTATTTCATTTAGAACAGAATGGCCAGATTTTGGTCCAAAAATGCCTCCAGAAAGTCTTGATATGTAATATCATTAATTGGAAACAAAATATGAAGATGAATTAGGTGATGCAGATGATATTGAAAAAATGATTGTTGATGAGAAATACTTTGATATTAATGATCCTAGAAATGAAGAATTATATGAAAAATTAACAAAAAAATAAGATAAATAGACAGAAGTGATTTCAGGAGAATGTGTTGTTCCATATTCTCATATTAAGAGTAAGAGATAACAATTATTGAAAATGAAATTTGTTTAACCTTAATTGAGTAAATATAAGATACCTTTATTGGAATAATAAATAGAAAGAGATGGAGAATTAATATAATTTTTAGGAGAGGATGATGATTAAATGGATTATGAAAAAGAATTAAGAAATTAAAATAAAGAAGATTAATTTTAGATTTTAGGAGATTATATTAATGATGAGGCAACTAAATAAAGATTATTAACAATTTAAAAAATATTGTAAGCAAGAAAAATAGAAGCTAAATTAAAAAGAGCTAAAAATTAAAGTGGTTTAATCTCTATTGAAAATGTAGTTAATGAATTTCATTTTGAAGCAGCTGCATCACTTTTGGCAGAATGTATCAAATCTATATTTACTAAAAGAAGAAAATTAGGACCTTAAAAAAGAACAAATTTAGATAAGAAAAATCCTACTTAATTATCTGAAGTTTAAATAAGTGCATTAGTTATTTAAGGAAATAATGTTCCTATCAGATCATCTGATGTTAGTAAATTATTAGAAGTAAAATAAAAATTAAATTAATATAATTCTGTAAAAGAAACTATTGAATTATTAGGAAAGATCAAAAAAGTTAGTCCTATTATTTAAGTTACATTAGATATCTAATCAGATAATGTTAGAATTATTAGAAATATTGATGTTCTTAAAAAAAAATAGAAACCTTAATTACCAGGTTAATTATAAGCATTTGGTTAGTAAGAAGATGATGAATATGAAGCTGATATTGAAAGATTAATTATTGGAAAAAAAGATGATTAATTGACTTCAGAAGTTGAAGGAGTTAATCCAGAATGGAATGAATTAATTGATTTTAGAATTGGAAGAGAATTTAAATAATAATAATTTGATCCTGAAGATTTAATTAATTCTAGAAATAAAATTACATTCACTTTATTTGATTAAATTGGTTGGTTCAAATAAAAAGGTATGAACACTTAAGAACATACACTTACAATTACAAGAAGATATATAGGATCAGTGACCATACCATTATTAAATTTATTTTAATAAGAAAAAATGAGTGGAAGATTTAGAATAAATAGACCATTGTTTTTGTTAAATTATAGAACTTTGAATGTTGAAAATTTTTTAATGGATTAAAGAAATTAAACATAATAATAAAATGAATTATAAAGTATATTTAATTAAAATATATTTAGGTTTGCATAATAATTTTGATATTATAGATCCACATATTCCAACAACAATAGAATTAACAATGACATTAGAACCTTCAATAAAAGTAAATGAAGATTTAAGTGCAACTACTTATTTTCCAGGAGCTGAAAGTACTAACCTATTTTTGTACGGAATTAGATAATTGAATAGATACAGAGAATAATTTAAAGATCGTTATATTAAATTTTGGGCTGAAAATTTAAAAGGAGAATCAGTATTTTTACCAAGATTTATAACACCTTTAAAACCACCAGAAATAGATTTTACTGCAAATTCAATAGAAAAAGCAGCTAGATATGTTTCATTAATTCCATTTAGAAATGATACTGAGGTATTTAGAGATTTACCTGATATTTATTGTAATAGCTAAGAATTCATAGATTTAAGAGCAGGAGATTTTGAAGAACATGCTCTTTTATTGTGTAATTTCTTTATGTATATTGATGAGAAAATATTAAAAAGAGATGATATTAAAAATTATGTAGTAATGGGTAGAGGATTACCTGAAGGCAAAACTTAATATGTAATGAGAAGATTTACAAAATCTAATTTTGTGGAATTATGGAATCCATAAACTGGAGAAGTATTTGTCTTTCAAAATTAAGAATATGTTAAAACTTTATTTTGTTTTACAGTATCAAAAGGATATAAAAATTTAAATGATGTTGATGATGATGCATGTCCATTAACAAATATAGGATGTATTTTTGATAATTAGAACATATATATTAATATTCAAAATACAGAAACTCCTAGTGAAATGAATTTTAATATTGAAGATACTCATTTTTGGGAACCACTTTTAAATAATGATTAAATAAAAGCATTTTTCCCAAAAGGTATATTACCAATATCAAATGAACTTGTATTTGATGTTCCAAGTGTTGAAAGATCAATACTTGTTTAAGATGAATTGGATAAATTTTTAAAGAATAAAATTAAAGATTATAGATTTGAAGATCTAGGATAAAAGAAAGCTCACTTTACTACTACTTTCAATAATCAAAAATATGCATAATTAACTGAATTTATAAGAGATAGAGTTTTGTTTGATTTGGAATCATTTAAATTTAGAATTAGAACTACTGGATTAGCAGTAATATTAATTATTATTTTAGAGTGAATATGGAGCCTAAAGAAATAATGAATAATAATAATAATAATAATAAGAACAATAAAATTAAGAAGAATAAGTACCTTTAAATCATGAAAATAGTCAATAATGGACATATTAGAAATCTTTGGATTATTTAAAAAAATTATAGGAATTATTGATTAGACAATAAGTATGATTTATTAAATATTTAAGGAAAAATATGTAAGATCAAGTAAAGAAATGTATGGATTCCCTTTGAATTTCTCATTTGTTGATTATGAAAGAGCATGGGATGAAATCAAAGCTACAGGAATTGCAGATATTATGAGTGATGATATTGAATTTCTTTGCATTACTAGATGTTTTCCTTATCCTCATTATGTATTATCAACATGGGTATTTATTGCAGTACTCTATAAATCAAAACCAGCTGATATGTGATAACATTTTTATCAATTTTATTCATTACCATCTTAATTATTAATTATTTCATTATAATGAATTAGTAATTTTAGGGAATTCCAGAAACTATTGATTAGAAATTAGAATTCTTTAATGAACGTAAACAATAAGAACTCCATAAAAGAGCTAGAATTCTTAAATTTACATAATTAAAAACCAAAGGTTATACTTTTGGTTTGGGTAGATATGTAACTTTAATTCTTGTACATTCTAGCCTTTGGAAAAGTAATTAGAAACACCAGGACCAGGTCATTATTCTACTTAATAACCAGAAATTATAATCAGTTATAGTATGGGTGTTAGACTCAATTAAAAAGGTAATTATGATAACATTTTCTTAAGTTCATAAATTTTAAGCTCCTCCTTTGGGTACTTATGAAATTAAAGGATTAGATAAATATGGTTATTATACTAATTCCAAATTTAAAAATGCTTGTGCAACTCTATTTAGTCCCTTGAAAAACAGTAATGTTAAATAAGTACTGTGAATTCATTAAAAAGCCAATTGTATCTCCTGGTCCTGGTGATTATGAATTGCCAGGTAGTATTAATTCAAAAGGAAAGCATTTCATTTCTAATTTTAAAACGAATTAAGGTTGGGCTCTTGGTAAAAAATCACTTTCTCAAAGAAAACCTTATTATTGAAATAATGATCAATTAAATTTTCTAAAAATTATTATTAAATGTAAAAATACTCTTTAATAACTTATTTGCTATCATATAAATCTGTTTTTTACTTATAAAAATAAAATATATTAATTTAAATACATATATCTATAAAAATAAATATATATGATTAAATCTTCATAAATATATAAATGTCAGAGCAATTAATGAATTGCATTCAAATATTATAAAACAGGTTTATAATACCATCTTTTTGGATTCAAAACTCCTTCAAACCATGATATATGTCCACCAACTTGAGTCATTAAAGATATTAGATTTCCATTCTTTAATATAGCATCTCTTGGATAGACAGCCCTATTATTTATAACTGGATCATCAAATGAACCTAATAAAAATACAGGGATTTTGATAAATTCCATATAGTTAGCACATTAAATAGATAAATAATGGAAATCAACTGAAGGTGCACCAAATATTGGTTTAGTAAAGTAAGTATCAAATTCTAATGATGTCTTGGCTTATTACACCTTATTCATGTCTAAATTGATATGTTTAGGTATCGGTAAGTATTGATCTATCTTTCTTACTATTAAATTCATAAAGATTACTCCCTTGCTATTCTTTATCTATGCTTTCTGATATAAGAATCAGATAAACTATCTTCTAAAAATCGCATACCAAGTTAAAAGTCATAAGGATTTCCAACACTTACAGCAACTTTTATTAATGGATTAGTTCCATTACTTCCACACATTCCCAAATATTTTAAAAGAGTATTTGAACCAAAACTGTGGCCTATAGCATATATGGTGCTTTTATTATGTTTTTTTGCAATATATTCTAAAACCCTTCTAAAATCTTCTACATGATGAAAATTTCCTATCTATGGCAGTATTTATCTTTTTGGATCCAAATAGATCCTATTATTAAATAGTCTATCATTATATAATACAATTCTCCAATCAGATTAATTCTGGCAAAATTTAGAGAAAAAGTTAGTGATGTAAGGTTCAACCCTTGAAGCAGTCAAACCACTTAAAACAACTACTAATGGCTTACCTTCTGTCATTTTAGCTTCTTATTCACTTATTTTTCCTTCATAACTCCCCCAATCTAATGCAAAACAACCAAAATCTTATCCAAAATCTACATATTCTCTAACAAATTTTAGTTTAGGATCTACATCCTATACTTTAGAAGCAATAAAGGCTTATAATAATCCTGCAAATAAATATGGTGTATAGTAAAACATTTTCTATATTAATTAAATGGATAAGGATACCCTTTTTATGAAATTACATCTATTAATAATAGCAATGTTAAGATCATTAGCAACATAATCCAATTAACATCTGCAAGTCAAATAGTAATACAATATCAAAATAAGCAAAATTATGAGAATAATATAATACATATATTAATAAATAATCAGATTATTGTCATAAAAAATAACTTAACTAAATTTGTATCATAATTAAATTCTTTTGCTATACTTAATTTATAAAATCATTAAGATTATATAAATATATGGGATTATATAATTAAAGTGAATTGATTATTTGTAAAATACATAAATATCTATTTAATTTACATATACTTATGATAGTTCTTTAAAATATTTAATGTTAAGATTAACTTTGAAATCAAAGTATTTATTCTTAATTTTATTCTTGATATAATATCAACAGACAAATTAAGTTTTATAATCTATATTGTTTTCAATACTATAGATTATTTTAGATAATTAGAATAATGCTTAATTAATCATTAATGACAACTATTTGATAGATACAATCTTTGAATAAATGCTTTATAAAATTTTAAAAATCATTAAATAAATATAAATATGAAAACCTCTCCATAATCATTTTAAAGGGAAATGGAGGAAACAGTTTGGCATACTAGAAAAATGAGATAGGAGACTGAAAAGGATATTCAATTAATGAAGAATCGTCTTAAATTATTAAAGCGAGGAGATGCTCAGTTATCTAAGAGAATTGATGAAACTAAAAAGAAAACTTAATCTATGATTGATTTAAAAATGAATCATCATTAACAGATTGAATAAGTAATAAAGATTATATATTTTTTATTAGAAAAAGCTTAATCAAAAAAATGGTGAAGCATAATTGAAGGAGAAATAATAATTAAATTATGATCAAAAAAAATAATAAGAGGAATAACTAGAAATGATTAAAAAAGCAATGGAATAAATTAAAATAGAAGAATATAAAAAAATTAAGTAAAAATCTTAAATTATTTAATAGAGAGTTATCAATTAGAAATGCTGAAATGATTAATAAATAAAAATAAGATTTTGTCATTAAGAATAAGGAAAAGAGAGAACATATTAAAGAGATTATGCATAAATCTAAATCTAATATTTCTCTTTATTGGAATGAAAAATTATCTCAAATATAAAAAGAAAATGAAAAGTATTTATATTTAATAATATTAAAATAGAGCAAAATTAGAAAATAAAAAAGCATGTGAACATAATAAGGCTTATTAAGAAAAAATGGAAATGGAAGAATCATATATGATGTAGAAATTAATTAGATCTTAAGAAGTATAAAAGAAATTAGCAATTAAATTGGAAAAAGCAAAAAACTTACCTCATGATGAATTTAATTAAATGATTAAAGAAGAAGAAGATAACTCCAATAATTTAAAAACTAATAAAAGTGCTGAGATTCCAAGATGGTTACCAACTCCAGAGAAAGATGCTGCAATTATCCAAAATTTAGATACTGAACCCAAACAATAATCAGATTAATAGAAAAATGAAGATGATTAATAAAAAAATGAAGATGATTAAGGATAATAAGAATGATATAAATATAATATCTAAATTAGATTAAAAATAAATTTTATTAAAATACACTGATTATGTTTACCATATTAATATATTTAGATTAAAAATATTTAATTTTAAAATCATTCTATTTAAATAAATATAATACTGATTATCAATTTAGATTAAACCTTCATAATTTCTAAATAAATTATTACTTATTTGTGATATATATAATAATAAAATGTGTAAAAACATCATAAATATTTTCAATCAAATATATTAATTATGATTTATACATTAGAAATAAAGATATATAAAGTTCTTATTATTATGGTCTATAACATTTAAATTTTATCAAAGAATAGTGACTACTTTTAATTAGATTTCATTAGATATTAAAATAACATATAAAATTTATGTAAATTAATGGCCGTTTAACTTCAGGTGATAAATACCCTGAAGACAATATAGAAAAAGAGGCGGCTGAAATGGCATCCAGGATTATGGAGAGAGTTCGTTAAAAATCAAATGTCAAATCTGCTTAAAGAATTTTGGTAAAGCCAGAAAATTTTAGATCAAGTGATTATAAATCTAGATAATCAGAAATTAAAATAGGTAGAGAAGGAACCATATCTATTACTGATCGTAATGAACTCAACTTTGAACCAAATTTTAACCAATTCAATCCACTTAAAAATGGTTTTACATCTAAAAACAATTTAATTGAAACTATCAAAATACCTTAAAGATCATAGTTCAAATCTGCTTCTACAGGTATATAAGACATCTTTTAAAAAACAGTTAAAGAAAATAATAACAATTTTTATGTTCCTGAACATTAATCATAATCTACTACTGATAAGCCAGATAGTACTAAATTAATTAAACTAACGTATAAAATATTATTAATTATAATAGCGATAGTGTAAATAGTCTAGTAAATTAGAAATTAGATTTATAAGCAAAACATAGAAGAATAGAAAGTAATACACAATTTAAGTCTATTTTGATTTCGAAACCTTATTAATTACACACTCCTGTTAAGTCCAATAAAGAAGACATAGTTTCATAATTATTAGGAAGTTTGCGAAATCAAAAAAAATACTCAGAATATAAAAACTCAGCTTAAAAATGAACTACTATTTATTAAATTTCATTTACTCTAAATTTAAATAAGTGTCTGAATAATATAATTAAATCTTCATAAACTAATTAAGTATATTCTTACTTCTAAATTATTCTTAATATTTATTTATTTTATTTAACATGATTTTTAGACATATTTGTGTTAATAACAATTTTCAATACCAAATTGATTGATTTAATTAGATAAAATACAATTATTTTACTAAAATAATCTATATTTATTAGTCTAATTATATCTTTAATTTAACACATTCTTTAATATCTTAGGATTCTATTTAGATTTTAATAATCTTACATATTACTCATTCAAATTCTTAAAATATTTAATAAAAATCTGAGTGAGATATATTTTCAATATTCAATAATTAATAATTTATTAGATATACTATTTTTTGTATTAGATTTTTTATGATTGAAATATGTACTAGATTTAATTGTATTATTAACTTTAAACAAACATAATTCTCTATAAATTAAAATTTTGCACCTTCAATCAAAAATATTCATATATTTTTCTTTGACGTTTTGAAAAAATATTTTTGATATAATTTTTAACCATTACTTTAAATAGTCTTATTTTCTTTAAATTTTGAATTTAAGAAAAAAGGTATATAGTTTTATCTAATTGGTTTTTGATTTCATCATAAATATGTTGTCATCAATTTATTTAATTACTTTTTAATTGAAGAATGCAAAATTGAATAACTTTAATTATTGGAATAATCCATATTTAACTTTTTGATAATAATTCATTATATGTTGAGATAATCATATTTGATTATTCTGATTATTAGAATGAAGTGTAAAATGGAAAAATTAAAATAACTATTAATATATTTATACAATCTCAAATAATCTTAAATTTATATAAAGTTAAATTAAATTTAAGCAATTTTTGAGTTTCTTCAATATTAATATAATTCAATATGCCTTTAATTATTTTTAGAAAGGATCAGTTTGTATTACTAATAAAATTTCAAGATTTTAAGAAATATTTAGAATTAAAGTTATCTAATTATGCATCTTTGATAGTGCTATCATATTTTTTGAGATATAAATACTATTAAAGGTAGTATTATTAATTAATGATATCTTTGAGATACCAAAAAGATAAATTATAAAGAAACGACAACTAAGGTTTATTGATTTAAAAAAATATAAAATTAATATTGAAACATAATGATAAAAAAATATAGCTTATAATTTGCATCACAAGAAATAGAGCAAATATATAGACAATCTCTATTGAGTGGAATAAAATATCGAAGAGAATATACATATGGGATATTATGTATCTATTTAGGATTAATAATAATAAAATATAATTTGTAACAGGTCTTGTTACCTCAAATATTTGCAGGTGTTGGAATAATATTAGAATTGGCATTGTTTTTTTTTATGAAGAAATATTGGTAAAATAAGGAAATATTAATAACTCTAAATATGATTTTTATGGCTGCAATCTGTGAAAGTTTAAGATTATTTGGATTTGATGATTATCAATGGTATTATGGTTAACATTCTACCTCACTTAAATTAAGTATGATTATATGATCTTACACTTAGTAATTTATTTGTAGGGAAGCTAGTTTTTAATTTAATCCTTTATTTTCTGTTGTACCTAAGCTGTAAGTATATATAATTTTAGTAAATATGATGTATCAACAATAATTTCTCATTGTCTAATCACTTTAATTTTTGTTATGCTTCGTTATTAATATGAAATTATCAGTAGAAAGAACTTCCTTTCAGGACTCTCCAAAGAACAATATGAAAATGTGATAGAGGATCTTCTCCCATCATGGGTTGTAGTGCTTAAATACAATAAATTAGCTGCTTAATTATAAATAGAAAAAATAAATAAAAATTTAAAAGAGAAATTTAATCTTAAAAATAATGAAGCTTTAAGAGATTTTTTAAGAAAATTAAACTTATATGATCTTGAAGTTAATGGTTAATCATAAAATATAAAAATTGAACATGAAATAATTTAAATATTAAAATCAAAAAGTGAAGATCATCCAGTTTAAAGATATTTTGGAATATTAGAGAAGGATGTAAACTCAAAATTATGTAGATTTAAGATTACTTAAGTTTATTTTAAAGCATTTGAACCTTTGGTAATTCTTTTATTTGAAGAAATTAAAGAAGACAAATATGATTAATATGTTAATTAAATTGAATAAAGAGATAATTAATAATATGTATAATTATAGATTAATTTAGTATAATTCAAAAATAAGTTTATACTTAATTACATAATAAATGTAGCTAATTTAATAAATGCTTAGTTAATTATAAATAGATAATCCCTTTAAGTAAGAATTATTGAATACATTCTAATAGAACTTATAAAAATAAACATAAATAAGTTATTATTTATACAATCTTAATAATAATTTATTGAATTTATTCAAAATATCTCATAGATTAATTAAATATGAATATTAAGAAATTTAGATTGAATAATTCTTTAAAACTCTATGTGATAATCTTCTTATTAATTATAAATCAAGGAAGATGAATCTTAATAATTTTTCAACAAAGAAAGAGACAATAAAAACAGATAAGAATAAATTAATATCAATTATTATGAACATAATGGAATTTATAAAAATTTTATTATCTATAATACATGCAGAAGATGGAATTATTTATTAAATGCATCCAATGAAAAAACCTTTTAGTCTATCTATAAAATAATCTAAAGTTCATAATGATTCAATTTAAATATCTTTAACTCATCCTAATTTAAATATTACAAGTTAAATGATAGCTTTAATTTAAAATATCACACCTGTTTCTATTGATGATAAAAAAAGAAATTGGAATAATAAGAATTACTTTGAAATGATTAAAAATTTAAATTAAACTCTATCTTAAATGATTGATCATTATAAAAATGAGATTTAATCTCTTACATCAATATCTTTAGGATTAAAAAGTAATAGATATCAAAAAACTAATCATTTAAATAATTAAAATAAATAATTTAATACTTTAGGATATATAATGGCTTCATACTTTATTAGTTAATTAGGTCCATCTAATAAAATTATATTTAAATAATCTCTAATAGAAAATGATATGTTGAATCCTTAATATGTTTCATCACTTTATTAAACTAAGATAAAATTTACAATATATAAGGATTTATAAAGTTTTTCAAAAGAAGTTTCAAAAATAGAAAAAAACTCTTTTGATGACAATTAGTATTTTTCACCAAAAAAATATACTAATTAAGAAATTGCTGAAAGATTACTTCAAATTTAAGTGGAAGATTAGATGAAAAGATTATTTTGAATTCTGAAAAGGAAAACTTACACTAAAAATTATCATTATTTATTATCATTATCCTATTTTAAAGATTTAATTCTAGGGTATTCAAATATCTAGTCTTATTTTTAAGATTTGTCTAAAATACTATTTTCAAATATAGTAGATCTTTTGGCAACAATACTCTTTTATAAACTTTATGCTCTTGTTTATTAAGTTAAAATATATTTAGATTTGGTATCTGTATTAGTTATTGAGTTAAATGAAGTGTTTTTTTTATGAGAAGAATCAAATCTTGCTCTTCTGACACTTGCCTATATCTATTATTAATAATCTTAAAGCATTTTAGGTTCAGTTGTTAATATTTTAAGATTATAATTATAGTTTTTCATATCTTAATTTTCATATAATTACTCTTTAAATCTTTAAATAGTTTATTAAAGTTTTTCATTTTTTTTAACTTATTTGATTAATGCCTCTTTTGTAAACATTAATTCCTTAATTATAATTAAATATATACATTTTCTAAAAATTTATTTGTTTTTGTAAGTGTTTAGACATTTAATTTTAAGTGTTTACATTATTCATTTAATGAATGACATTCTTATCTAAAATATACCATCTTATTTTAAGCATTAATAACCTATAATAATATAATTATATTACTTGTGATTCTTATTCATTATATGCAACATATTAATGAAATTTTTCATTTATTTTATCTATGTCTTTTTTCATAGTTTCTAAAACTTATTTAAATGCATTTAGAATATTGTTTTATTATGACTTTAACATTTAATTTACATTTGTATTAGTTTAATCTATTAGACATTCCATTTCTTAACATAGTTCTTACATATTTTTGGCTTAATCAGGATGTATTTTTTCTAGAGTTGGTAATATATGTTTATTTTCAGTTATGAAAAGTGGTTACTCTGTCATAATTTATATATTTTAATTAAATATAAAAATAAAATAATCACAAATTTCTTTAAATGATTTTCAAACATTTTTTTGAGAATCATCTGATAATAAATTATAATATGGATCTGTTATTTATTTAAAAAATGACAATCTAGATTTAGGATAAATTAATAATTCTTGATCTATGTTTTTATTATTCATTGTTATTATAAATCTTTAAATATCGTTTCTTACATCAGTTTTTAATTATTCTAAAATTAATTTAAATTAATACTTGATGAAATTGGAGCTTTTAAACCAAGTTCTTTATAAGATGTTTATAAGAATCCTTCAAATTCATTTCTATTTATTAATTCATCATGAATATATTGACATCTTATTCCATAAGGACAATATCCTTATTAAAAGAATCTTTTGCATGGTTTAGTTTTATATTTGGAATGTAAATGTGTTTTAGGCTATAATTCAGTTATACCATGAGCAAATGAGCACTTTAAATTTAATAAAAGAAATACTTTATCACCATATTTACATTTTCCAGTCATTACAAAATTCTTGCAGAGTTCTGTTTTTTTCTTTTTAGTATACTCTTCTATATATTATTATTTTTCTTGTATGGTTTCGAAGTGCTTTTTTTAAGGTTTAACACTTAGATTTTTTAAACAAATATTTTACTCGATTTCAAAATTGTTATCCTCATTATCAGTAGTATCGGTATCGATTGTTGACAATTCATTATGGTTCCAGTTTTAAGTCCAAGTAGGATAGAATAAGTTCATTTATAAAATTAAGTTATATAAATATTTATAAAGAATATTGTCTAATAATCTTAATAATAATTTAAAACTAATAAGAATTTAAATATGACCAGTATAATCCAAAACAAACTATCACAATAAATAATCATTTTTAATAGAAAAACAATGATTATTAATAACAATATAATGTTATATTCTATTAATATACTTTATTTAAAGTTATTATTATAAAATTATTTCAGATTAGGAATGTAAAAATATAATGTAATTTAAACAAATCTATATAATCTCAATTCAATCAAATTATACAAAAAATTTTTAATTATACAAAATTTAGAAAGAATAAATAAACAATTAACTTCTTAAATAGCTTATTATGTATTATAATTATTATTAACTATTTTTGTTTTATAAATGTTAAATATGCTTGATGTCATTTCAACATTCTCTATTCATTCTTGTTAAAGTAGAAGGTATTATTATAATAAATAAATAATAGAAATAGATAAACAGGAAATCTATCTAAGGGATCCACTGCAAGACAATCAACAAGACCAACTTAAAAATTTCACAAAATATAATTAGATGATTTAGCTTTTAAAACATCTCCAAAAAGTGAACAAAGAGAAATAAAAGGAATATAGGCAACAAATGAATAAAATAGATATAAAGAGAATGAAAATGAAAACAAATTTGAAAGCAACATTTATCCATTAATCATTTTTTAAAAAAGTAATTATTAGTGATTAACAAATAAGTCTCCTACCGTTAGCTTTTGAAAGAAAGTAATTAATTCATAATTTTTAGTTAAGTTCGAAAAAGATATTAAATCTCTTCATCCATCTGATAAAAGAAATTTAGTAATTTACAGAATTATGTGTGAACTTTTTTAAGAACTATAATTTGAAATACAAAATATATTGATATGTCAACATCCAATTTCAAAACTATTTTACATTTATTTTTCTGATACTAATTATTGTCCAATCTCAAAATGTTGTAACTAAAATGTTGTAATAAGAATTGGTGAGGCATTAGGTGGAGAGATTAAATGTTTAAATCCTAAATGCCCTTTAGGTATTTTAACAACTTTTGAAATAGAGGAAAAGATTCTATGGAATTCTAAATTATAATAAAATAGAGCTATTTCAACATTTATATCAAGTGGAAAATATAGAACTAAGAGTTTACTATAATCTGTTCAAGTTCCTGAAAATAATACTGCTTATGCTCCAAAATAATACAAATAAAATTAAAAGTCTTGCAAAAGATCTTCTACTTTTTATTAAAGAGCTAATTAAACTAATTACGAATAATTATATAAATATGAATTATCCAAAAATTTATTACTTAACTCTCAAATATTTAATAAGAATTTTGATGATTAAATTGATGAAAAATATAGATATTAATGTAAATTTTGATGATTCTATTAATACATTATTTTTAATTTATATTATTCACTATAATAATTTAATAATCTCTCAATATTTTAAATAATCATATTGATTAAAAGATAAAAAAGATATTGCCACAATAATAATTTTAATTATCTATTCAACTTTTAAATAATTAACATCATTCAATTATTCATTTAAAAGTATTAATTGTACTTTTAAATTCAGTTAATCACATTTAAATCTATTATATATTATCTGGAATCATTTAAAGAGATTATTAGAATGAATTCTATATACTTGTATCCACTTTACTTAAACCAAGATGAATTTTAGATATCTTTTATTATCTAATTTATATTAAGTTTAATTTAAATTATTTCTTATTTAATTTCTATTATCTTTAGATAGACTTTTTTTAATCATCATAATTATTTCTTTTTAACTTCATTTGTTTACATATTTTCATAATCTTCATTACTTTCTTCTTTTTAAATCATTCTAGCAATATTTTTAAATGTTCTATTTTTTAATAATTTTGAGAACATAATTTAAATCATTTTATGAGCATATATCATTTAAGATATGTATTAATTTCTATCTATTGATTATCTTCTTATTATGACCTACTTAATGTGTATCATTGATTATTTACTTAATAGAATTTTCTTAATACTTGTTTATCAAATGAGAGTTTCTTAACTTTAATTTATTCTAGAAGTTTTCTAAATTTGATATAAACATAACAACAAAATTCAATATTATAATTCTATTTTTTTTACATTCATGATAGAATTAAAATGATTATTGTGAATAATATATCATATTAATATTCTCCCTTTATTCATCAATATCAAATAATACATATAGGTTAAGAGAGAATATCGATGAGGTGTCATTTATTAACTCTGATTATTTTTATTTTCATTTAATATTGAAAATTCTAATATCTTTTCTATTACTCAAGATTATAATCTATATAGTATGACTTATTAATCTCTTTGTATTCCATATAGATAGTGTTTATTCATTATTAATATATATATAAATATATAAAAAAAGAATAACTGTCCGTTTTATATAAATTTACAATCAATATTTTAAACAATAAATTTGCAATACAGATATATTTAGTATTTTTGTTAGAGAAACCAACCAAATATAATTGAGTGTTTTTAATATAAATAATTAAATTTTTTAAATAATTGATGAATAACTTTACTATGTTAACTTTTGATATTGTTTTTACTATAAAACATTATTTATATTTAGTTTTCATCATAATATTTTAATACAAGAGAAGTTAATGTTTTAGCAATTTTTGTTTTATTGCTGAAATTAAAGTATAAATTTGATCAAAATAGTTTTTGAGTTTATAGTCTATATTTAGTATGAAGTATAGATTAGAAACAAGTTTAAAGAAACAATTAATCAATATAAAGAACTAATTATAATTTTGGAACCTATTTTTTTGTTCATTTGTTAATTTTCAATATTCATTATTTAACTATCAATATGGCGCACTAAATCCCGGGGGTGGTAAACCAGTATTTGGGTCAGTATTCTTTGGTCGTCTAAATAACAAGATGTGAGGCTCAGGTCTATGAGTTTCATAATGAACCCATCCTCTAGATTGTTGTACACCTATTGCTCTCCATTCCATTTCATTTAATAATTTTCCTACATTTAACTAGTTTAAATACCTTTTGTAATTTTTTTAAATATGTGTTTGGGCAAGATAACATGTCTATATTCATAATAATCATCAAAATATTTGTCAGAATATTCTATCTCCTCTGGATAATGAGGCATATACTCTACTTCAAATTTTAAATTAAAAATATAATACAATCGTTGAATTAATTTAAAATATATTTATATTTCCCAAAGAAAGTAAAAAGAAAAAAAAAATAAAAATAGATTATCAAACTTGAAATTTATAAAATAAATGCTAAAAGATCTCATATAAATTATAATGTTATATCTATATCATTTTAATATAATTCTTATTATAATATACATTAAACATTATTATTTAAATTAAACATTATTCTTAGTATATTGTTAAGTATATAATTAGTTTCTCTTTTGATTAATTAAGATATTAATTCAGAATGGTTTATTTCTAAAGCTAAATAGTAATAACTTATATTAAGGATAATTATCAAATATTAAAATAATATAAATATAGTAAAATAATTTTAACTGCTCCATCAAGAATATTCTTCTTCAGCTTTATATTTTTATTGATCTAAAATAATACAATTCAAAAAACAAACATATTATTTAAAAATTAAAATAAAATTATAAATGACAAGAATATCATTATATAGTATTCAATTTTTTAATTTACAACAATTCAGTTTGAGAGGATCTTAGAACTTTGTCATTCTTGAGAATAATAAAATTCTTAAAAATTCTAATAATTAAACCATGATTATTCAAGAATTTATTTGATATTTTAATTAATGAAATTCATCCTTTCGTGCTCAATATGCTTATAGAATTTAAAAAATCCAGTCTCTCTGAGTTGTGGACACACTTTTTGTTAAACTTGCATATAAAATTCTTTTGAAACATAAGAATTTTGTGCATGTCCCTTGTGTCGTTAACCCGCATTACTTAGCAACAATAAAACTGATGAATTACTACCTATAGTTCAATAGATTTATGAATAAGAAGGAACTTAAAGTATGATTGATATTTAAATTAGGTTTATTAAATGAATTTCCATCTTTAATTATATGCCTTTGTTGTGGATTAACTCCAGTCAACCCAGTAGTGCTTTCTTGCTAACATATGTTTTGTTAAAAATGTATAGAAGAAAGTTTAAAAGAAGAATTATTATGCCCAGCTTGTTCAGATTATTGTTTTAATATCAAAGTCAATACAAATAAGAAATATAAAGATCTCATAGATTGGTATTTAAAGGAATTCAAAATAGAAGAAGAGTAAGAAATTAATTAAGGTGTTTAAAATGATAATATATATGGTATTCCAATCTTCTTTTACGATTAATCAGTATTCATATATGGATCAACTGAGTTCCAATTTTTAGAATTTAGATATTAAGAAATGATAAAAATGGTTAGTTCTGGTTCAGGAAATTTTATTGTATCTAGTGATATGATAAATGGAGATTTGGTATAAATAAGAAGCATTAAAAAAACAAAGAAAGGATATTAAGTTTAAGTTGATGGTTTATAAAGAATGAAAATAAAATAAATCTATGCTTATATTGATGGAGTTAAAACATAATATTAATAATAGAATAATTCATAATTATGGCTTGCTTAATGTGAATATGTAAAAGATTAAATTTTTAAAGAAAATTGTTTTTAGCATTACAATTATATTGTTGCTACATTACAAAAATTATATTAAAATATTAATTTGGAAGTAAGAGATATATTTTAAAATTTTATGAAAAAAATAACTACTCTATCAAATTCTGAAAGCAGTCTTATTCTATTAACTTCACTAAATAATAATTTTGAATAATAATATTATGAAACAGATATAGAAAAAAGAGTTTAACAAATTTAATAACATTTTGCTATTTTAGAATAAAAAATAAAAGGAATTTATGGTAAAGACGATTAAATTTAACATGCAAAACTAAAACAAGATAACATTGAAATAATATAATACCCAGAATTCGATGTCACTACTTAATATTTTCTAAATCTCTTTAATATTAAAAAAGTTCTATGTTTTTGACTTACTTATTTCATATAAACTCTATTTATTAAAATATTTTCAATATTATTAATATATATAATTAACAAAAATAAGAATTTATATTCAGAAACAAATTAATCAATTGATAATAATTAATTTGTTAAAATAAAAAAATTACAACTCTATTATTACTTATAAATCCATCAATTAATCATTATTTATAAAAAAGAAAAATAAATTAAATAATTTATTTAATATAATTAATTAAGAAGATTAAAATAATTTAAGAATTAATATATCTAATATATCTTATGATTAATCTATTTTATTAAACAGCATTTTATTACAAATTCTGTATTAATTAATTATATTTAGTTTATTCTACAGATACTTACAATGATATAATTTTAACTTAATTATTTACAGCTTTTAATAATAAATATTTAGATTATATTATTTATTACTCTTTCTATTGTTAATTATATTAGGATAAGATAAAATATATTATTAAATACATTTCAGTTTATTTAATGTATGTTTTATATAATTTTATAAAAATCCAATACTTATAAGTTTATTATTTTAATTATTCTGGAAATTAAGAATTTATAAATTAAAATAAATAAAATAATCATATAGTATTCTTTTAGTTTATATTATAACTAGATAATAGTGTTATTATCCAATATTTATATACTTCAATTTGAAGATTTATAAATTAATTAATGGATTTAAAAATAAGTCTTAAAATAATAAATTAAATAAATAAGCTTCAATGATTTTTAATAAATTCACTCTTAATTTTAAATCGAAATCTGTTGAAAATGATTATAGAAAGTTGTAATAAATCTACATAAAGTAGGAATTCACACTATTTTCAATATAGACAATAGTAAAAATAATATTGATTCTAGTTATTTTTTACAGCTTATATATTATACTACTTTTAAGAATATACTTTTAATGGAATTATCGTAGCAAATATTTTAGCCTTTATGTTATCAATAGTATTGCTGAAATTCATAATGAATTCTCATCCATCATGGAATGAGTATATATTGCCACTACTGTAAATTTATATTGCCTACATTTGGAATCTAGACAATTTTTTCCCTACAACAACAGAAGATCCTAACTATGATTATGATGCCAGTTATGAGTATAACTGGTATTATGGATTGCAAGCATTCTACTTTCATTTTGGTAACAAATAATAATATGTATTAAAGCAATTTTGCAACTTGGGTATCAAATATGGCCTTAGGCAATTGTTCTTTTTGCTATATATATTTAATATGTTACATATTATCCTACTGAAACATTAGAATATTTAGCTATGTGTTTGACAATATTTTTAGTTTTTATTGGATTAGTTGTAATGAAATATTCAAATGAAAAAATAAAAAGATTATAATTTAGAGACAGTAGAGAATAAAATAGATGGATTAAAATTATAGATTAAGTTTTAGAGTAATCTATTGTTGTTATTAAGTTTGATCAAAAATAAGATTAATTAATACTTTAATAAATAAATGAAATATCAAAGACAAGATTAAAAATTGAAAATAATAAAGAATTAAGAGAAATGCTTAGAAATGTACCATAATATAATTATTATATTTAGATGATTATAGAAATTAACAATTTAGAGAAAGATCATGTTAAATAAAAGAATTTAGAATAAGAAATAAGAGATCTAATAATTAAAAATGATTAATATAAATTAATTACTCATTAAGTTGATGTTCGATCAAATGTTTTACATTAGGAATATAAAGTAAAGTTGATATAATAAGTATTATCAGATGAATATTGTGTGATTGCAATATTTGAATCAAATTTAAAACATAAAAATAAATAACTCTAAATTGAAGTTAGGTAAAAAGAAAATATCTTTATATATTTATTGAAGTAATTCTTTTAATAAATAAAAACTGCTAATACTAAATTGAAAATACTATATTCAATGATAAATTTTTAATAAATTCGTCTATTACTTTATGATGAGAATCTAAAAAGTAATTAAACTTGGGTATCTACATCAGTCATTATAAATTAAATTAATCTATTATATTCAAAGAAAATTAAAATTACTATAAAAAAAGATTTATAAGGATTTTTGACTAATTAAATATATCTATTTAGTATATTAATGAGTATTACATAAATCTTTGATGAATTTTAACATATGAAAATTAAAGGCAAAACTATTCTAAATATACAGAGAATAAAAATAACTATGATAGGTAAGATGAATGATGCAATTGCTAATTAAAAATTATTAAAATAAAACTTAGATTTAACTCAATCTCTTAAACAAAATTAAAAGATTATTTTAAAGCATATTTAATAATTAATAACTAATAAAAATATATAGACACAATAGAAAAATTAGATAATATCAATCTATTTAAATAAATTTTTGTTATGGGAAGGATTTAGAGAAAAATATTTCAACCTTAAAACAAAAGGAATGTATATTCATATGTCTTTTGAATTTGAAGTTTGATTTAATTCAGTACATATATCTCATTTTCTGATTAATAAAATATATTTAGATTAAAATTAAATATTATAATTTATTTTTAATTTAGACATATTATTATTATTTCTTTATATTCAATATCTATAAACTGTGCTATAAGCTGGTGCAACATAGCTGGTAGTAACTGGAGCAATTGGAGCAGCAACACTGTAAGAGAGAGGTGAGGCATAAGTAATTTGTGGAGCTGTATTGATAGGTGCAACAAATGAGCTTCTTCTTACTTCTCTTTCTAAGTAGTCCACTCTTGGAACAGTTTTTTCAACAGGAACATAATCAACTTATTTTTCATATGTAACTTATGGTATATATTCTTTTTGATATTCTACTGGGTAATAATCTGTCACCCACTTTTGTTTAGGTACCTAAAAATATTAATAAGACACTACTTTCACAACTCTTTATTCCTCCTCTAATTCTACTACAGATTTCTAATATGGCACATATTCAAATCTAGATTCTCCCTTTATTGTTGTTGGAGCTGGTTATGCATAAGTTATTGGTTAAGCATATGAAATTGGTTATGCATAAGAGACTGGTTACACATAAGACACTGAAAAATTTATATAAATTATTACCTGGAGCAGGTCTTACAATCGATGTAGTAATTGGAGAGGCAAATGAAACACCCAAAGGAGCATATGAGTACATTTGATAAATAGAAATAAAATTTATTGAATTTTATTTTGGTTTATTCTAAAATGTTAAATATAAAGTTTTTATCATTTAAAATAAGTTAGTAATCTTTCATAATTTATGATATCTAAAGAATTTGAAACTTCAAAACAAATTAAATTGAATCTCTCTTATTCTCTATGACTAAATTGAATTTCATGGAATTTAAGTGCTTAATCTAAATCACACTATTCACATGTTCCTGGTAATAGATTCTTCTTTTTTGTTAACATCATTTATATAGTTTCTATTAAAGAAGGGTTCAATTTCTATTATAAATATAATAATTAACTTATTAAATAGATTTTAAGATTGATTGTTCTTCTTCACTAGACAATATTTCATACTTTCCAACTATCTTTTTCATAACTGAGTTTATTATGGCTGTTTAAGTTGTTCTATCCTAATCATACATTACATAATCTTCAGCATTATCTTCAACTAAATATCTACTTAACAATTTAATTTATTCATGATCATGAATCTCAAAGGGAGGTCTTATTTGATTAAAATATCTACTTATGTAAAATATTTTTCACTTAATGAATACTTAATTCTTCTGATTCATTAAAATATTTGTCAATATCTTAATATTGTACTCTATTTTTGAAAAGATTCAATCTAACTTTCATACAAATTTCTCTAATATCTGAGAATTGAACTTTAGGCAACTTTTTTTTCATAATCTAAGATTTCATTTCTATCTTCATAATTTAAAATCCATTCTATATAGGAGGTTCGATTTAACCTACTCGAGAGACAGGAGAGTAAACTGAAAATTCAAATTCTCGAATCTTATCTTCTTAATTTTCTATAAGCTTTTCCATTTCTTAAATATGTAAATTCAGTCTTTGAATTTCAGTTTTTAACGATCTAATTTCTTAAATTTTAGTTCTATTTAATTATTTTAATATAGATACTCCATCTCTAATGAATATTTATTCTACAATTATTCTAATTAAGATTGAATCTTAAATAATTCATCAGATGTTGTATTTTATTGACTTTATATCTAAACCTTATTTTAGACTTATAATTAGGATATGAGATCATTGCATTATTTATTATATTCATTCAAATCTTTAATCATTTTTTCATAACTTATGATTTCATTCAATTATTTCTCATTCTATTTTAAACTTTCTTCCAATTAAATCTTTAATTATTCTAATTAAATACTTGTAATTTAGAAGTTATAATATCATTATTTAACTACTTTTAATTTAATTCTTGATTGTCCCTTTATAATATTTTGACTATCTTTTCTAGATGTAGAATTTACTTTTCTAAAGGCTCTGCTGATGATTAAATAGCTATCATTTATTCATTATATTCTAATTTTTATCTTAATCTAATAGTTTCATCTATATAATTTTTTAATTCTATCTAATTTATAATAGAGATATTTACTTCTAATTCTTAATAATTTGTAAATCTCATAGTTCTTTTCAATTCAATTAATTCTTTATTTTTACTCTATAACTCTATAATCAATTATTTCTATTTAGTTTTCATTTTCATAATTAAACCATATTTTTCAATTTATACTTTCTATGATGATGTTTCAGGTTTAATAGAACCTTCAATTAAGTTTTCAAATCTTTGTAACTCCCTCTAATTTAAAAAATGACATCCTTACTTCTAATTGTTATATTTTAGATTTTGCTTAAAGTAATTATTAAGTTTATTCATTCAATTGAGATTTCAATTTTATATTTTCATCATATAAATTTTCTTTCTCTCTGCCCATTTTAGGAGTTGTATGTTATTTTCTAAAGATCAATATTGAAAATACACTAATCTACTCTCTCTGATTGAACTATTATCTAATGGTTTATTGTGATTAGAAGTTGTTTAGGGGCGATTCAACTTTGATCTAATATAATAAGACATAGATAATTATTAATAAAATTAATTGATTATATTTAATTAAACAATTCAAGTGTTTTCCAATTCCATCTTTTTGATACATTATCTAATAAACATTCTAATTTTACGATTATTTTCTACTACTTTCATTGGAATCATGTTTAACATTTACATATTTAAGTTAATCTATTATAAATTATTATTCATTATACTTAAATATTTAATTTCTGTAAAAACAATAACCATATCACTGATACAATTAATTCTAATATCAATATATAGATTATGACTAATATTAATTAAATAGTTAGAGTTGTTGACATTTAATTAGTCATAAAATCTAATTCAAAATCTGTTATTTGAGATACTGCTTATTTTATGTAATAAAATAATGATTAATCAATTTCATAGATTTCTTCATTATAAACAATCTCATCTAGATTTTGATTTCTGAAATATTGTAAATAATATTGTTCAACATTATATATACCTAATTGAAGATTACCTTCAATTATCTTATAACATTTTGTATCATTATTTTTATTAATTATTGAACAAATATCTCCATAATAGGTTTAGAAAAATAGGTTTCTAAGATCTGGTAATCGATTTAATAAATCTTTTGCAAACTAAAATAAATTTAATATTTACATTTTAGAAACTTAATTAATTTCCTGTAAATATTGTTTGATCTTAAACAATCTTAGTCAAAATTGATATATTATTTATTTAAAAATCTGAATTCAAACTTGACAATTTGTATAGATTTATGTAATAACCATAATTTTCAATCTAAATTGAACTTTAATAAAATTAAGGTAATAAGAATTATATTTAAGATTTCTCATTTGCACTACTGATTATATTGTATACTGCAAAAACTAAGGTTAACAAAGCAATTAATAGAAATCTAATATATTATTATCATACTATACAATTATTCCTTAATTGCCTTTTAATTTGCTTTTTCTATATTTTTGTATAATCTTTCTTCTTTTCAATTACAATTAATATTAATTATCTTCCTCAATAGCTTTAGAGTTCATCTTATCTTAACCATCTACATGTTATTATAAATCTATTAATTATTATTCTTCATCTTCATCACTTGATTCATCATAATCAAAATTATTTAATTTCTTTAAATCTTCATTATAAAACTTCAAAAATTTATCAACTTTTCTTGATAAATTTTAAACATCATTTTAAGGAATCTCAAGAAATAAAAATATTACATTTTCTCTATCTATTTTGATTTCCAACATTAAAGTTATAAATTTAATCATACCAATTGTAGTTCCAATAAATAAAACTAATAAAGATATTAATAAATTTAAATCAGGATATTATACTTAAGAGATAACATCCTAATATAAAATTTAAGATATCTTTATTAATGGATCATGTATCTAATTGAAATAATTAAAAAGGATAATTTAAATTGAATTACTTTAAAATACATTATTAGATTGACTTAAAGATAAATTTAAACATACTGATGTAATTAAGAGAATAGAACTTTCTAAAGATAATTATATATCTTCATATTAATTGGATTTTTCATACATTCTCAAATTTATGGTTTCTGAATCAAAGTAAATTCTATAAAATTCCTAATTAAGATCATTATCAAAATTAATAATTAATTATGCTGATTCTTATATTTCAATTTACAATTAAGTAAAATTAAATTACTAATCCATACATAAATCTAATGTTCTTGAAATTAAGAGATTTAAATTGATAATTTCATTATTAATTTAATAAATAGCTTTTATTTCAGAAGTAAAACCTTCAAAATTTAATTAACAAAAATAATATTACATTGCAGTTATCAATACTATAAAATCTATCCAAATATTAGCATAAATACAAAACTTAGTAATTTTACTATGTCTATGATTTTAAGATAATGCATTTCTTATTTTTATTTATGATTACATATTACTTAATAATTTCTAATCATTATCATATTCATCCTAATTATTATTATTTCTGAATATAGAATTCTCCTCTTCTTCTTCTTCCAATTATTTCAAAAATCCTTATTCTTTTTCTTCATCTATATTAAGAATTTAATTATTAATTAATCTTCTTACTCTAATTTCCAAACCATAATCTAATTTGATTTATGTTTATTAATCTTCTTATTAATTTATCATATCTTTATAATCTTCATAACGTTATTCTGTATATAAATCTTATAAAAACTATACTAAATTCTAATCATATTCAAAATTAGTATCAATTCTCATTGCTAATGTATCCAATGATTATACTGTTTGATTGGCTCTATTAGGTATTAATTTTTGAGTAATAGAAATAGACTATCTTTATGTAATCTGTATGGATTATCTACTTTAATTAGGTAATAAGTTTCTAGCATTACTAATAAATGTAGATGCCTTTCTTCCACCTTAGACATCAGGAAAATCTATTTTCTCCAATTTAACTAACCAATATCCTGATTTTACTAACTTCTTTGATGCTTATAATTCTAACAGTAGATTCTCATTAATTATTTAAGTGATCTCTATTTCCTTAACTGAACATTAGAAATAATAAACAGAATCAATATTATTCTGACCAGACTTATGATATTATACTTATTTCCCATTTTAAGTTAAAATATCTGGCAAAATAGTATTCAAATTTACAATCTATTTTATATGTCTAAGTTCTATATCGAAATATTGAATTGATCCAGAAGACATCTCTATAATTGTTGTTTCTTAATCTATAATGAATACAGCTTATCCCTTAAAAGTAGGATCACTCTTGAAACATACTAAATATTATAATGAATCTATATTGAAACTTACTCTATAAATAAATGGTATTATATAACCATTTCTATGTTTAATAAATTATAATTGTTCTTAATCAATATAAGTTCTTGGATAATCTCCATCATTTTACATATTAATTAACATATTATCAAAGAATTCTATTAAATAATTATCATGCTATTCAGCATATACTTTAGGCATTAAAATATTAATTGATTTACCTCTCAATTCCTCTTTTTGATATCCAAAAAATGTTGTAAATAAAGAATTTAGATTAATTATTTTACCTATTTCTGATTTTCTAGCACATACTTAAAGAAATGGTATTGGATGTTTCTCTATATTATTTTCAATTAAATCTTCATCTTCAACTTTCACTTATAATTATTACTTAGCTAACTTATGTTGATTCTTAAGTATTTGACCCATAAATGAATCATTAAATACTTGATAATAAAAGTTTGCTAATGTTTTTAGATCAGCAAATCCTAATGAATTTTTTTTGCTCATTTCTTAATGTTTTTCCATTACTTAATTACTTACTTTTGTAATCATCGCACCTATATGCATGAGTCTAACTAGATTTGGTTAATCTTCTTTAAGTTCATTCCAAAAAGTTTTGTAATATAATGCTGCCATTTTCATTTTAGAATACAATTCACTTTTATTATTTTGATTTGCAATTGCATCCACAACATCATCACTTTTATCTTTAATAATCTTCCTATATTATAATAATTCAGTTACATATATCTATAAGTAATGAATTACTAGAAAAATTTAGGTTTGCTTTTTAGAGATACTAAATTAAATTGAAGATAAGCATCATTCTTATTATTTCTTCTTTCCATCAAAAATAAAGCATAAAATATTCTTAAAGATGCTGATGACCAAAATTTCCTTAATCCCAATCTAAACATTTTATCTAATTCAATAATCAATCCTCTTTTTAAATCATCTAATTATTCTGAATTTTAAGTTTTTCTTCTTTGTTTAAAATAACAATCATTTTATTTACATGTTTCTTTATGTTTTTCTATATATCCAATTAAGAGCATATAAGAATTCCTATCACTATCAGCCTAAGATATCAATTAAAGAACATATCGTATATGAATCCATACATCCTCTCCACTTGAAAACTTATTCTAAGCTCTAACCAATGTGTCTACTTTAGATTTCTTAGTTGTCAACATTATAGATACAATAAATGGAAGACCAATAACCCAAGCAATTAATCCTCCTGAAAATTCAGCACTCTCCTAAACTTTACATATAACCAACATAACATTAGCCCAAAAATAGTATGAACTGATAATAGAGTAAAATCTTCCAACTTCAAAATCATAAATTGGATCAGCAAAATTATATTCTTTAAATAACCAAGCAGATAAAGTGAATGTTGTTAAAACCAAAATCCATGATTCATTTTTACCTAAAAAACAATACAAAACTTAACATGTAACTTTATTTATTATAAATGCTACTTCTCCATTACTATCTTATCTTGCTGTTCTATTACCACTAGTCATTCCAGGTTCAAAAAATGCATAAGCCACAATTGCACATATTAATACAAATATTAACATAAATAATAATGTTATTAGAGCATGAAATATATGCCATCCTTACCAACATTATACATTAATTTCATCATATCCATATATTACATATTCATTAGTTATTGGATCATTATAACATTAAAGTATTGAAGTTAAGGTTTCTGTAATAGGTAAAAAAAACACTGTTACAAAATAAAATGCTACTTATCTTAATACATAGACAGGCCACATAAATTTAAATTTATTCTATGAAAATGAGTATGAAACGTATATGATATTCAAAATTATCAATAAAATTGCACTTAAACAAATATAAACTGAGACTAACAATGCAAAATATGATAAATTTGGTACATATGTTGATATTGAAAACACATTTACAAAATTTAAAATATTGGTTAAAAATGAATCAGCTTTCCAAATATATAGTATTTTATTATTGAATGGAAATGAATGCATCTAAACATAATCCAATGAAGTCAGAATGTAAAAGTAAATCATTTAATCATCAGCCTTTTCTTCTTTTGCCAATACAAATAAAACTTTGAAAATTACTACCTTAACCTTTGTTAAAAAATAATCCAACCCTTTCTATTCAGTCTCAATAAGATTCTCATTTTCTTCTTCATCATCTAATTACCCTTTCATTTATAATATAATTTTAATTAAATTTGTTTATTTTGATCATTTATTAAACACTATAATTATGTTTGATTTAATAATTGAACAATGTAAGTGAATACTAAACGAATTTGCTTAATTAATCTATTTAAATAAAAGTTAATAATTTATGAAGAACCAATAAAAATTATTGATATAGATTTTGAAAATGTTAGGATATTTGATTTATTAAATTAAATTAAAAATAAATAATTTAGGAGTTCATCTTGAATATTTTAATTAGACAAAATAAAAATTACTTTTTCTTTCATTATGATGGAAAAGGTTTTAAAGTTTTAAGTAGTCACAAAAGGAGAGAAAGTAAATACCATACAACCATTGCTACCAACAATTAATTTCAATTTCTCTGAAAAATAAAATAATTACACAGAAATTTTAGATCATTAATATATTGGGAATCGATATTGTGGAACTTATCGTAGTAATAGTTAGAAAAGAAATCAGATAAAATCTATAAGAAGATCAAAAGGTGTAGGTTATTCATAGTTGATTGATAATTATAAAAATACTAGTAGATAATCTTAGGAGAATCCCTTTTAGACAGAATTACTAATAAAATAATTTTAAAATAGTAGAACAAAAGAATAGTCTACAGAGAGATAGAGTACATTGACAGATTGTCCATAACTTAAATTTCATACTATAGAGGCTATGACTAAAAATATAAGATATAAGTCATAACCTAAGAAAACAGAGTATAATGAGACAGACATTAAAATTACTCCTTATGTACATTAGAATAAAAGATATTAATGTATTGATTATTACTACATTGTTTGAATATAATTTTAAATAGGGTTATTTTTATTATAAATTTAAAACTCATTTCTTTCCATATGAGGTTTGATTAGCCATTTCTAAAACTTATTATTTGAATATGTGAATGACTTCATCAATAATAGCATTTTCTTCTATATATTAATATAAAAATTGCAATACCATTTCTTCTATTTAATTCAGTTTCATACAAATCTCTTAATTCTTATAATGTAGCAGTGGCAGCATTGATGGCATTCTAAGAGTCTTTCAAGACACTATTAGCTTTAGCTTAAACTGCAAGTGCAGCTTATTCTTACTTTAAAAAATGAGAGAATAATCATACCACAACCAATTTATCTTATAATTGAGTTTTTCTTTGGATTTCATCATTAAGATGAGCAACTTCAGATTCAGAATCAGCAAGCCAATCAGCTAATTAATAATAAGCAGCAATTTCATTGGCTTCCAAATTAGCCAAAGAAGCTTTTAATTAATCTTCTAAATCAGATAAAGCATTATAAACAAGTTATCCAACATTGTTACCTGGTTATCTATCAGAAGTTGAAGATACATCATTCTCTCCAAGTGCATGTAATTCTGCATTTCCAGATGCTTATTCAACAGCTAATTAAGCAAATTTAGTCATAGCATCTTAATTAAATAATTGACTGTATTATTTTAATTTGTCTGAGACATTTTGGACATTAATTTCAACCATAGATGATGGTTATCCTGTTAAATATCCACTCAAATCATTTTTCAATACTCTTATAACTCCAAGAGCATCATTATGTTATTTAATTGCTCTTACAAATAAACCATTTGAGAAACATCTCAATTCTTATAATTCAACTGATCTTCTATCAATATCAGCTAATCTTTAAGTTGCCCATGCAATATAATCTGTTGCTTCCTATATTAAATAATTTTTTAAGTACTCTATATTCAATTCCAATTTATTCTCTTCTTGCTTTAGCACTAGCCCAAGCTTTTTAATTTAATTCATTAACTTTAGATAATGCAGCAATTCTAGCTTAACCAATTTCTTCATCTGAAATATTCTTTTCATCTGCAACTCCTTGGGCTTCAATATTGCTTGTTTTTAAATCATTCAATAAATCATAAACTGCTTAAACTGCATCATTTGATTCTGAACCTGTCTATATAATTTATCAACTCTAAAGGTACTTAAAGTAATAAAGAGAAATCAATATCAAATGCTGATACACTCATTAAACCTATCATTGCCAAAATTATGATCTTGTTCATTTTCTCTAAACTTTATTATTATATTAAATAAAAACGGTATTGTAAATATTCTTTTTAATAAATATTCAACATAAATTCATAGTCCTATCAAATACAATTTTTCTTTTGATAGTTTATATTAACTTCAAGATATGCAAAACTATCAATTTATCATGTCTCAAAGTTTATAAACTATATTAATATTTTATTTTTTATATATCTAACTGCTAATTATGAGTGACTCATTGAGATCACTGTCAACAAATCAATCGATTGAAGGACAAATCAGCAAAAAGAAAAAAGTTTAATCTACTTCTTCAAAGACTAATCGTCCTTAAAATATTAGTTATAGTGAGCTCATAGATTTATTGCATCCAAATCATTTATTCATTAATATTAGTTTAGAAGATAAGTTCAATGCAATTGAAATGTATAAATATTCATATAAAATAGCATTGATTCCACCTATTTTCCAAATTTCAAATTTGTAGTTGATGAAAACTTAGAAGACACAGAAGTCAAATGGAAGCGTTTACCTTCATTTATTAAATTGACAACCTGAAATAGGTATTATCCTTTTAGTTTTCATATATAATAACATATTATGTCATACTATCTTATTCTCATCATCCTTTCTATTAAAACTTATTTAATTTTTCCATATTAAACCCTCATATTAATTTCATCTAATATATATATATTTAGAATTGAAATTCATATTTAAGATAATAATAAACTTAGAATCATAGAACAATTCCAAACACAAATTGTTTTCAAGATGGATTTTACACATAATGGTTTCATTAAAATATGTATATAAATATTCCAATTATCTATTTATTCCCCATATAATAAACATAAAAGATGGAAGAATCTAAAGAAATAATTATGAATATAATTTTCTTTGGTTATGAATAGAAAATCATATATGTTTAGCCTTAAAATCAGAAGAGGCTTCTTTGATTCCTTCATGTAATTTCTTTAAAGCTTCTTAATATTGAAGTAATGAAACTTTGTTCTAGCCTTATCCACCTGTAGTAGTTTTGCCTGATCCACAAGAGCATTTCTTAACCTCAGATTATGTATCAGATTAATCATTATTTCCTCTCAGTTGTTGAGCTGTCACACTGAGTATCAAAAACACAAGCAATAATACTTTTAATATATTCATTATATTAAATAATAAAAAACGATTACTCTGATCAATATCGAAATTTTAATACTTAAAATGAATCATCATTTATTTATGATTTCTTTGATTTCTTTTACTAAATATGTTAAATAATATATATATTACAAATCTAACTTTAGAAGGTGTAATGAATTCTTCATCATAAGATGATTTCTATTTCTTTAATATATTTTAAGCATCACGAATGAATTTCCAATCATCTTCTTATGAATCATTAATATTTTGAGTATAATATCGAGAAGAGCTAATAGAATCCTTCTTTTTTAGAGCACTCTTTAAAGGTTATTCTTTAATCTTCTTTGGACTTTTTTAATTCATATGCTACTCAAATTACTCTAATATTTATAATCTTTTATGCAAATATTCTATTTAAAATCATACTTTACATACATTCATCTAATTATTCCAATTTCTTAATATAAATATGTCTAATCTCTTTCAATCTTTTATTTAATATGTTTTATTCTTCATTTATTATTTTCTCTTTTTAAACAAAAGAATGAATGCCTTCTGATATTATACATTAAGGATGTTCAAAGGATTAATCTGAATTGTTACCTTATTTTTTATCTTTAACCGAAAAATCAATATTATCTGATAATAGTGAAATGTAACTTTTTTAATTTGTATCAATAGGAGATAATTATAATTGAATTGGTATGTTGGAGTTGCAATAATCACCAAAAATCATAGGAGAAGAATTTTTTATTTTTTAGAATGGATCCAAATCTAATAAATCTTAATATATTAATATTTACAATCATCATTCTTATTTTTGCATTAAATATTTAGTTTCTATATTACAGCATCAAAATCAGTACTCTTTAAGAGTTTTTTCATTTGTAATTTGATTGTTATATTTATATAATTATAATTTAAATTATAAGTAATTAGGTTTATTATTAATATATATTAATGAGTAATAGATTAGTGGCTATAGGATAAAACTCTTTGATTCCAATTAAAGCAACAGGTAAATTAGGTGATGAGTTTTTTGATAAACCAGAATATGAACCAAATTCAATGGAATTACTTAAAAAAAAAGAGAGACATCAAGAATTAAGAGATAAAGGATATTTAATTAAGGATAAATTGATTGAAGATGTTCCTGATGATATACCATTTTATGAAATTTTTGATCCTCCTAATGAAAATTATAGAAAGATCTTTTATCCTTAAGATTTAAAATCAAAAGTAGCTTACAATTATCATTCTCCAAATTTTGAGAATAATGAACAATTTTTAGTAGATTAAGAAGATATAGAGTAAGCAGAATAAGCAATTAAATAGTAATAAGAAGCAAACATGAGAAAAGAATCAAAATTATAAAGATTGAATCAATAATTTAAAAAATAGAAAGAATTAGAAGCAGAAATAGAAAGAAGATAGAGATAAGATCAAGCAATTGAAAATGTAAAGAGAGAAAGAATTTCAAGTAAGCATCCAATATCATCACCATCAAAAAATCAACCTTAAAAGGTCAGTCCTCATTTACCATTTAAAAATTATGGTTTGGCAATTGTTGGACCAAAGGGTAAGATGTCTATGCAAAAAGATAATAAAAATAATAAAGTTCTTTCAAAAAAGCAGTAAAAAATAGAGGATGATGATGAAAATTAAAAGAAAAAAACTGTAACGTTTGCTGAAGAAGATGAAGTGAAATACATACCTAAAAATTGGAAATCTCAATCTGAAGAGCTTAGGGAGATAATCAAATAAAATAAGAAAAATAAGAAGTTTAAATGATTATAGAAGTACTTTTATTTTATATATTATTTTATTGATCTTTTTATAATGTCTGAGAGTGAAAATTTCAAATTGAGAAGAGAAATTATATAACTAAAAAAATAGATTGAATAATTAAGAGAGGATGGTCGTTAAAAGGATTAAAGGATTGCCTTTTTGGAAGCAGAATAAGAGTTTCATTAAGGAAGATATGAAGAATAGAAGGCAAAATATAACGATTGTTATACAAGAATGAGAGAATTAGAAAAGATGGTGAATAGAGATGATGCATATACTAAGGAAACCTTAAAGAATTAATTAGAAAAAGCAAAAGATGATTTAGACAGAGAAAAGGCTGCTGTTTAATAATATATTGATTAATTAGAGAAAGTGAAACTTGAAAATGGTAATCTGATGTGGTAATTAACATAATTGTCATTGAAATACAAGGATGAAAATATAGTAAAGGATGAATTCCATTACAGAGATGAAGTTTAAGATAATAGAGAAAAACTTAAGAATTTAGTGGAAAAAACAAATGCATTGAATTAAGCTATTGAAAGATTGAGTGCTGAAAATAGAGTATTAAGAAAGATGGCAGGAGTTCCAGATGATTATTAATTTGAATTGGATGATGTGATTTAAGAAGGATAGTTATAAGTAGAGAAGTACAGAGCTCAAGTGATTGAATTAGAGAGAGAAGTGGAAGAATTAGAAGAAGAGAGAGCAAGATTAAGAAGAAAATTGAGAGAATAAGTTGCTGGAGGAGAAGTGAATTTAGAAGAATTTGATTCTTAATCTAATAATCAATTGAGAAAGGAAAATTAGGAATTGAGAAGTAAAGTAAAGATGTTGGAGGAAGAAAATGCACATATTCGTTAAAATTAATAAGATTATGGAGGTATGGGAATGGGCACTTAATAAGGATTTATGAAAATTACAAATGATCAGATGTAAGAAATGATGTAGAAACAATAACAGGAATTAAAAGAACAACTTTAGGAAATAGTTAAAACTATGAAAGGGTAAAATTTCTAAGAGACTACATAAATAAAATAATCAATTATATAATAAAAATAAGTTGTTGATACAACTGGATTGGATAAATTAAGTGTTCCTCCTAATCCAATTCCAGGAGCCTTTGGAAATTATAATGATATTAAAGAAGGTTATAGTTAACGGTTTAATGTTAGATTTCCAGTGGATATGTCCTCAGCATATAGTGATTCAGGCATGGATCAAATGTAATTGAAATATGAATTAGCTTCTTTACAATTATAGAATATAGAGACTTTGAGATTATTGTAATAGAAAGAAGCTGAATATACCAATTTATTATAAGAAGTTGTTACTATAAAAGAGGATATTAAAGGAAAGTGTTTGTTAGTTTAAGATCAATTATTTGTGAAATATATTGAAGAAAGAGATAAATTTAAAGCTATGTATGGAGAGATTTAAGAAAAGTATAAGGCTTAATTGGATTTGAATGTAGAAGCCAAAATTAAATTGGCTCATTATGAAGATTTTATGAGAGACAGAGAAAAACCAAAGAAAGAATTGGAAGATAAATTGGGAGAGATGGCTAAGAGAACTGCAATTTTAGATGTCAATTTAATTAAATTATCAAGAAAGTATGATGCATTAACTGAAGAATATAAATAAATGAAGACAAGTTATACAATAGTAGAAAGTGAGAGTATGGCAAAGGAGAAAGAATTGTTAGAAAAAATATATAATTTGATTTCATGGAAGAAATCAGCAGAAGAACATATGAGAGTTATGATAAAAGAGTTAAAGAATTCAGTACCAGCAGATGAATTCAATAATCTTAGATAAAAATTAGAATATACATAGGATAAATTAGCTAATGCTTAATTAAAAGAAGCAGAATTCTAAAAGAGAATAGCAACTCTTGAGAGTCATGAAAGAGAGGCATTTGAAAGAGGAGAGAGAATAAGATAATTGGAAGAGGAATTAGTAGAAATCTAATTGGAAGAAGAAGTAATAAAGAAAAGACTGTAGAGTTTTGATCCAGCATTTGATAAATATGTCAAGATATATCAACATATTGTTGAGTTTATTAAAATTAAAAATATTTCAGTTATTGAAATATTTAAATTATTCGATGAGAATGGAGACAATAAAATTTCAAGAAATGAATTTACTACTGCTATTGGTAATATTGGAGTTCCTGTTACTAATGAAGATATGGAAATTGTATTCATGTTCGTAGATTTAGATGGAACAGGCTAAATTGAATATTAAGAATTTATAAGAAAACTTAAAAGATCAGGAATCAATCTTCGAAAACCAGAAGATTAATTATTATATCAATTATATAATGCAATTAAAGAATCAGGTTATGATTTGAGATCTGCATTTTAAGCATTTGATACTAATTGTGATAATATTATATCTAAGGCAGATATGAAAGAAGCTTTAATTTAAATGAATATTAAACATGATTAAAAGGCTATTGACTATATATTTAGAATGGCAGATACAAGTGGAGATAATTAAATCAATTATGAAGAGTTTTATGTATTATTTGATGAAATTGTCAAAAGTGAGTTAATCAATTAAGGAAAATCAATTTAATTAACATTAGATATTAAATATCAAATTATGTGTAAATTGGATCAATCAATTAAAGATCAAAGATTAACATTATTAGATGTATTTAATATGATAGATAGAGATGGAGATTAAATTATTACATTAATAGAATTTTAAGCTTTATTCAGAGAGTTAGAAGGAGGAATATCACCTGATTTGGTTAGATAATTATTTGATTAAATGGATTTAGATAGAAATGGTCAAATTAGTTATAATGAAATGTTAAATTATTTGAGAACTGCAAAAACAGAAGAAGAAAAATATCAAAAATTACAATTTATTTAATAAAGAACAGAACAATTGAAAAGTTTATAGGAGACAGATCTAACACTATAAAAGGCGAAATTAGAGAATAAAGGATAGACATTAGAAGATAGATTAAAAATGAAAATAAGTATATTGGAAATGAGAGAAAAAAATGCTTAATAAAAATGTGAAGTTTTACTCAATTAATTAACTGGAACTGAATTGAAACTTAAAGATACAACTAAAACTCTATTTGAACTCTAAAATTAAATGGAAAGATCTAATGATACTTTCTATAGGGATAGAGAAGAGAAATTATTGTTGTTGGAAAGATTAAAGGGGGCATTATCAAGAGAAGAAAGTGAAAAATTGACTAAATAAATTGAATAACAAAGATTAACCATTTCTGATTAAAATAGTGCAATTACAACTTATAGATAATTGTATGATACAGCAGTAATGTAAACTAAAAGTATGAAATTGACTATTGAAAAAATAAAAAATGATTCAGATACTATGTAATAAACAATAAAAGAATTATAAGCAATATCAGATTAAAATATGATGATAGGCAAATTATATCATCATCTTATGGTTGCTAGATGGCATGAAGCATAAACTAATTAGAAATATGAAAAAGTATTGGATGAATTAAGAAAATTGAAATTATAATCTGAATCATATGATACTACAATTCTTAAACAATCACAAGAAATTATTTAATAAAATACTATATTTTCAGAACAAATTAGATCATATGAATAGTAAATCACAGAACTTAAATTAAAAATATTACCAACTGTCACTTTATAAAGAGTAGAAGAATAAGCAAAAAGAGTCAAAGAATTATCAGATATGAAATCAGAAGTTGAAAGATAAAATAGAGAATTGAGAGATAGATTCTATGAATTATAACTTAAAGCAGATTATTTTGATAATTATAAAGAGAAATTAGATAATCTAGAAAGAACTTTAAGATAGAATAATCCTGATGAACTCAGTTAATAAATAATAACAGTTAGTTAAAAATTATCAGATGAAAAAATAGAATTACTTAGAGTTAGAAGAGAAATGTAAGTTAGTGCTGAAAAATAAGAATATTATTAAAGATTAAATAAACAATATACAGATACAATTAAAAAGTTAGAATATGAATTAGCACATGCAGATTTGGATTTAAGAAAAAGGGAAGAAGATTGGAGAAAAAGATTTTATGAATAGAGAAAAACTATATTTGCCCAATTAGGACTAATTGAAAAAGATGATATGAAAGAATTTTCTTAGAAAAATACAGATGCAAGTAAAATGTTGATTGATGCAATTTAGAAAAAATAGAAAGAACAAATGGAATAATAAAATTAACCACCTCAATAATAATAAATAGAGGTCTCATAATTAGAGAAAAGAATCTAAGAATTAGAAGCTTAAGTCAAAGCTAAAAATATAGAAATTGAAGGATATATAGAAAGATAAAAGATTGTTGCAGGAGGTTCTGTGGTATTTCAATAATAACAATTAGAAGATTACACTAAGACATTATTAGCTTAAGAAGCTGAAAAGGTTTCTGTTGCTGGTTAATAAATGCTTAAAGCAATGCAAGAAATAATTAAGGATAAAGATAGAGAATTGGAAAGAAAGGAATAATAGATAGAAGCTATGAGATAAGAGACTTTATTACATAAGAAAAAAGATATTTCAGAAATTTAAAGATTAACAGATTTATTACATAAAAGAGATTAAGCATAATAAGAAGCAAGCAAATTAGGTAACAACAATAATTACAATAATTTTTCATATTTATAATAAAATTAGATGTCTGAATTGTAACCAGTTTTAATAGAAAAATATTAATAATAATTATCAGAAAAAGATAGAAAAATTAAAGATTTAGAATTATCATTTGAAGCAGAGAAAAATGCTTTGAAAAAAGTAAAAGAAGAATTAATAAAAACCATTGCTATTAAAGAATAATTAGAAATAGATTTAGAGAATGAAAAGAAATTAAATGAAAGTATGTAATATGTTTAAAAGATTGAGAAATTATAAAATTTAGTAAATGAAAAAAATACTTAATTGGCTTCACTAAAGAAAACTGTTGTTGCTTTAAAAGAAGAATAATTTAAAATAGCTGGAGAATCTATTAATAAAGAGTAGGTTTATAAAACAAAAGAAGCTAAATTAAATAATAATACTACAGAACTTGAAACAAGATTAACTAAAATGGTTAATGATATGAAATTATTAAAAGAGGAAATTAAAGATAAATAGAAAAAGTTAGAATAACTTTAAGAAAAGGAAATTTAAAATAGAGCATAAATGACAGATTTATAAAAGAAAAACTCAGAACTTAAAGCAATTATTTAAGCAGGAGGTGGTAAATTAGAAGAATAAGATCAAACTGTATCTAATATCCAAGCTAAACTTTAATAATTTAATTAAATGTCAATGGAGAAAGTATAATTAGAAAGAGAAATATAATTTTTGAAATAATAAGGAGGAACAAGAGAATTATTTGATAAAGATGCTACATTAAAACCATCTACAGGTTTATATTTTAAAACATTTCCAGATTTATTGGATACTCTAAAATAATATTTAATAACAAAACCAAAATTTGATTTACTTATTGAATTTAAAAAATTAGATAAATAGTTTACTTAAATATTACCAATGGCAAAATTTTTTGAAGTATTATCTAATGCTGGTGTAAAATTGAAAACAAGGTATACTATACTTTAATATTTTTAGGGATTAAAAATTAGTAATTGATACAATTAAAACAAAGGATGAGAATGCAGATTATTATACAAAATTTTATTATGTTTATAAGGGATGGTCTGATAATGTAGTTTAAACTGATTAAGATGACAAATAATAATAATAATAATAATAATAATAAATTTAATAATAATAATCCTAAAAATTCAGTTTAAAAAATAAAAAATGAAAAGATTTTAATTGAAATAAAATAAATAATTATTTACTCAATTCATTTATATAGATAAATTATATTTTTTATATTTACCAGATGATATTCTTGGTTTAGAAGTATTTGTACTTGATCTCCTATTTTATTTTATAAATTTTTTACTGTTTTATATTTTATTAAGGTTTAATTTACATAGTTGGTTGTTGTTTTTATTAGATTTATTATTATTGTTATTATTGTTTTTAATACTTTTTAATTTATTATTTTTTCATTTAATTTAAATATTAGATAGTACTTTATGCTCTTACATCCATTCCAGTGTTACATCTGGATTAGTTTGTAACTGTAGTTTTATTTTTTTAATGATTATTGGATAATCTTGCTTTCATTTCTTCTAAAGGTTCAGTAGAACATCTATTAGAATTTCTCTGATAACTTGATAAAGAGGAGCGATTTAGTAATTATTTTTTCTGTAATATTTATGCCACAGTTAATGCTTATTATTATAAATCCATAGTTTAACTATTTATATTAACATTAAGATTGATATGACTATTATTAACATTAAAGATATTATTGGTCTTGGAAGGATTGCTCTTACTTTTCTATTTTAATAATATGGCTGCGAGAGTGGTTTTACTAAGTGACTTTTTAGATTCTGTTGGAATGGACTTCTTCACAGAGGAGGTTTTGGTATCTATTTCAAAGGGTCTTTGATTTTTTTTACTTATACTTCCGTTGATAATGACTATTATAATGTGTTGTACTATTGGAATTGCTCTTAGCTCTGGAGGCACCTTTTTATTCATATTTTTTCTTAATAAAATCTTTGCAATTTATAGTATGCAACTTGCGTTCTAAATCATTTAAGATGGTTCTATATGTTTATTATGTAACTGCATTTTTGGGCTTTTTAGGTTAAGGAGGCTTTAATTTTTATTAATAAGTTTTTGGCTATAATACAACTGCATCATCTGATATATGCTCAGATGAACTATTAAAATTAAAATTTAGATCTAATTGATCCTCAGATTTTTCATTTCCTTCTGTTTTTAAACGATGTGGAGATTGAATTGTTTAATATTTATCAGGTGTTTCTTCAAAAGGTATTCTAGGAAACACATAATCTTATTTTGATTATCTAAATTTGAATTCAATCTCTTCTATTTATTAACATCTATTTGAAGATAATGGTTGACAAACTTGCATAAAGTAATCATCTGTTCTATTAGAAGAATCGCAATTAAATTTATCAGTCATTTGTGAATATATATCATCCATTTCTTATAATTATATTAATAAAAATAGTATTGAATAATAATTAATATTTTTACAATTAGTTAGCAGCTTCATTTTTTTAGTAATCTATTTCCTTAAACAACTCTCAATTATAATTCTTTTACTCTAGCTGCTCTATTTAAAATTTATTTAATTTTCTAATCATCCCCACAATATAATTCTAATTCACTTACTAATTCTTAATTCACTTTCATTAAAATATCTATATGTGTCTATAATTATTTTAATTTATTCTTATATGAAGTATTATCATTGATTATTGTTTGATTATCCATTTTAGTTTTATTTAATTCTTAATCTGCTTAAGAATATTATTCTTAACGATGAAGATGTGTTTTCTATAATTGTGCTTTCTTCTTATTCAAATCATCTTTTTTCTATTATTCTATCATCAAATATTTCTTTTATTTTGATAAATCTATTTCATTTTATTATAATTCTTGATTCATACGATTTATCTATTATTCTGTAGATTTATTATTTTATTTCTCTTATTGAAATTCAGTTTCTATTTTTTTAATATGTTCATTTGTATATGCTAATTATTATTAATACTATTATATTTATATAAATATATTACTTTATTTATTTCCTATTCTTAATCATTTTATTATAATTATATCAATTAATCTTACAATATTTAACAATCTTATTCAACTTTTCTATTTTTTTATTAAATTTCATTTATTTTTCTGTTTAATTCTTTATTTTTTATTTCTGCATTATAACTTTCCTATTCAAATTACTCAAGTTTATGTTACAAATTTTCTATAATTGATGTTTCTTAAATAACCTAATCCGATAATTTATTCAACTGTTTTCTTGTTTATTAAATTTCAAGTTATCTTTAATCATTAATTTCTTCTAATTCTTTCTATTATAAAATTTATCTCTCCTAATCCAAATGTCTCTCCTTCAATATTTTTGATAATTAGTTAATTTCTTAACTCATCATTTAAATTTAACCAATACATTATTCATGTTTCTATCTATGTTCATGTTCTAAAAGTAACTACATAAATAAGAATATAATTAAACTTTTTCTTCATTAGCCATCTTTATTTTGATTTCCCATTTTCCCATTTCTTATTCAAGCTATTCTAATTCCTCTTATTATTTTTAAGCTTCATAAATATCTGCTTTTAGTTAAGCTATAAGTATGTCTTTTTAATCAGATTCATAATAAGAAGATCTATACATTTATTTTTTTTTGTTAATAAAATTTTATTGTTTAATTAAATGCTTCATATTAATTTAGAAAATTAAGTAATTATTTTACCTTTGAAATTATAATGACTTTATTCATATTTTGATTTCATTAAAGATAATCTCTCAAAAAATTATTTATCAATTATTTATTTAAATTATAATGTAGGTGAATACAAATAGAACTGATAATGGTTTATTATAGGACTGTTATTTTGGTCCTTGTGTTTTAGTTGATTCTACTCATGTGAACAACTATAAAAAGAATTCACCTTCTAAAAATTCAATCTCATCAGACATTAGTTAAAAAGAAATTGAATAATAATCTAATAATATTTCTCAAAATGTTGAAATGTTACCAATAACTCTTTAAGTTTTAAAGGCAAAATAAAACTTTAGAAATAAAGGGAATCCTAACCAATAATCATAAAGTAATTTCATTAAGGGAAGTAAGAGACAACTACTTGAACCTAAAATATAAAAATCTGAACAACCTACATTTATGAAAACCCTTATTAAAAATAACATCATAAATAAATTTAAAAATAACCTATACCAATCGTCCTATGTACTTCCAGATTAAATGAAATACATCTTAGAAAAAGAAAGTTACATCTAGGAATAAAAGGAAAAAACAAAAGTTAATTCAAATAAAATAGGGATGAGGTAATTAAATTATATTTAAAGTCAGTAAAGAAAATGGCCAAACCAGCAAAATTTTGAAATTAAGTGTTTTACTCATGCCTGATAGAAATCTAACAATTTTATGGGATTTCATATCTTTGTTTGTTCTGTTTCTTAGACTGTTTTTTTGCACTATGATTGCATCCTTTGGATAATCAGATAATTTTTTTAAAGGCAGTGAGGTTTTCTTTAATATATATATACTCTTTGAAACTGTTCTAACCATTTTTAGACCAATAATACTTTAAGGAGAAATTGTAAGTGAACTTGAATAAATTTGGATTCTATATTTGAAAAATTAAATGTTAGAAGATTTATCTAGTTTTGTTATTTGGTTTATGATTTATTTTGATTTAAATTAAGTAGTAGTTCTTAATGAAATCTTGGCCATAATCCAATTTATTATAACTGTTAGGTAAATAGCAAGAAAATATAATATTCAAATTGAATAATTGTATTTAAAAGGATTTAATAGTGATTTTCTAGATTTAATTAGTCTATTCATAATTATATGTTTTTTTGCTCATACAATGGCTTGTTTGTGGCATTACATAGGTTATATCACATTAAATTAAGGTTCTTGGTTAACATATTATGAAATAACAAATGAAAATATATGGGTTAAGTATAACTTCTCTTATTATTGGGCGACTATGACTATGGTTACAGTTGGATATGGAGATATTACACCTAAAAATTAGGTTGAAGTAGCATTTGTATCAATAGTGATGATATCATCTAGTTGTATGTTTGCTTATTCAATGAATTCTATAGGAGTGATAGTAAAAACTATTTATGATGAAAAAATTAGATTTAAGTATTGATTCATTAATATAATCAATAGGAGAACATTAATATTAATGAATTAATTCATGTCTAAAAATGAAGTAGACTCATAGATATAAAGTAGAGTGAAGAATTATATAAAATTTAGTATTGAAAATGAAGTCTTAGAGAACAAAGAAGAAACTACTAAAATAATTAATGATTTACCAGTTGGTTTAAGAAAAGAATTAGAATCAGATATATAATAAAAAGCTATTTAAAAAATTAAAGTCATTACAGATTATTTTTCAATATAAACTTAAAATTAAGTTAAAAACAATTTAATTCCAATTAAATTTACTCCTAAAGATATAATATATCATAGAGATGATATTAAAGATAAAAATTTGTATATTAATATAATAATTTAGATATTTCATTTCTGAAGGGGAAGTATAAATATTAGAAGAACAAAGTTAAAAAATAATAAGAAGATTAAAAGCAGGGGATGTTTTTGGAGAATTTTAATTTTTTACTGGATAGAATCCTAAAGAATCCACTATAAGTGTAGGATTTACATAATTATATAGGATAGATAGAGATAAATTTATAAGTATTATTAAATAAACACAAAAAGATTATGAAAAATTTCATAAAATCAAAGATTCTATTTTATATTCTAAAAATTATACAAGTATACTATCTAAATGTTATATTTGTAATAAATATTCACATAAAGATATTGAATGTCCTTATTTAACATATCAACCTTCTAAATATCTAAAAATTTTTAAATTTAATAAATTTGAACATAATGATAGATAAAAACAAAAAAGAAATGATAGAAAACATGTAAAAGCATAAATTGATTAATAATAAATTGAAGCAACTATTCGAGATTATTAAGAATTCTTATCAGAATCAATTTTAGGAGAACTTAATGATTAAGTGTTAACTTATTAAGTATCAGATAGTATGAGTGGTTAAATTGAAACAATTCCTATAGAAGAATTAAGAGAGAAATCTTCAAATTCAATTAATAAAAATATTCAACAAAACGTATTAAATAGAAGAGAATCATAAACACCAATTCTTGATATAGATAAGAGAAAGTCAGTTGTTTTAGTTAAAAAAAAGTTATCTTTAACAGAAGAGGAAAGGAGAAAAACTCAAATTTATAGAGAAACTTTAATTTTTAAATAATTAGATTAATTTTAAGTGAAATAATAATTTTATGTATTAGAAGGATTTGATAAAATGTAGAATTATATAGATTATTTGCCACACAATAATGCTAATTAAGTTATCAGAAATGCAAACAAAGAAAAACCAAAGGCTAAATCTATTAGACCTTAAGTCTTTAAATTTTCAAATAGTTTTAGAGTGATGAAAAATATATGAACTACATAATATTTAAATTTTAAATAATCTTCATTCTTGAGATTATTAATAATATCAATAATATGAATACTTATATCCATAATTTGATTAACAAGAATGATGATGATGATGATTATGATGACTATGAACAGGTTACATTGAAACCCAATGTTATTAAGTAGTATAATGAACTGGCTAGAAACAGACAGATTATGGTTTTATCATATTAGAGTTAGTTGTTTCTACTATCCTTTCAACTTAATATTACTTAAATATAAGATAATAGTAATACTTTTATTGGTTATTCAATGTATTTAGTTTGTTCAATAATAGGAACATATACAGGTATAGTAATTTCTTCATTTTGTTAGTGTATTTAACAAGGCTATATAGTATTATTTATTTATTAAGTTTAATATAATTATTATGAATTTTATTACTAATTTAATTATAAGAGTCTTAATTATTTTTCTAATTCATTGATTGTGTTATGTAATCGTTTTAATTATTCATTTTTTTTTAGTATTTCTGATTCTATCAATTAATCTTACTTGAGTTCAGATTTAAGATACTTAATCTCTTATGATAAAAATTCTTATTCGTTTAAAAATTACTATTGTTTTTATTTTAGATCTTGAATTTCATTTGAATAGTTTTCAACTTAAATTTTGAAATGATCATTTTTAGATTACAATTATAAAACTTCTTTTTTTGTATCTATATATTTATATATATTATTATATATACCCATATTCTGTCTTTATGTTTATTGAAATTAGTTTTTCAATTCTCTATTTTTTCTTTATAAATTATTCAAAATAATGTATTATTCTCTATCTTTTTATGCTATCTACTATTCTAAGTTTCTAATTTTGTCAATCAATGCTTCATCTAATGGATTTATGGTATTTATCATAAAATAATTTAACGTATAATAATTATATATTAAATATGAGTATGCTAATTTTATTTAAATTCATTTAGAAATAAACTATGTACAATTTGATATACTTTATCTTGATTCTCTTGTTGTATTTTACTCAAATATTCTACCAATTTAGATATCAAAATTAGGTAATCTGTTAACAAGAGGAGAAGAATCATGACAATCTTCAGTGTCGTATCTTTACTTATAGAGATCATACAAAATTGAAAATTAATCATAAGCATTCTTTAAATGTATTCTGTCAGAGATTTTCTTTTCTAATAGAGATTTTAAGAGACTCTATAAATAAAAATTCTAATTTACAATAATATCATTTGAGAAAGCATTACATTTATTTAAATCTAAATTTAATTAACATATTCTATTATTATGTATTAGTTATTCTAGTGTATCACCTTTAAATGGTAATTCATGAAATAATCTACAAAATCAAATAAATATTTTACAATTGATAAAGTAAACAACCACTACTAAAAACATCACAACTAAATGAATAATATGTACATTAAGAATTCAACACTTCAGGTGCTGCATATCCAGGTGTACCACATTTATATAATAGATATCTATTAATATTAGTAAAGGTTGCAAATCCAAAATCAATAATTGTGAGAGTGTTGAAATCATCTTCTTCTGCTAATACTAAATTTTAAGGTTTAATATCTCTATGAATGATCTATATTTAGATATTAATTTACTTCCAATTCATATAGTTTGTTTAAGGCTTCAAATAGACGTTTCATTATAGAAAATATTTAAAACAAAGAGAAAGTCTTATTCAATTTTTTATTATTCTCCAGATAATGAGACAATGAATACCCTTCTAGATAATTCATTATTATTAAATATTATTAATCATCTTGATAAACATCTTGGATTTAAACAAAATAATCAAATCCTTTTACTTTATTCATCACAGCTATTTCTTACTCTATGATTGACTTATGTTTAGATGTTTTATTTACATAATTTAATGGCGTTAAATCCTTTTTATTTATATATTTAACAGCTAATTCATTTCCTGTAGATTTACATTGAATTTTCTTTACATTTCCTGAAGACCCTCTACTTATATCACTCTTTACAGTAAATAATTCATCAAAATTTCCAAAACTACATCTACAACTAAGTAAATTCTTTAATCTAATATTCATTTAATGATTAATTATACTTTACTAGTATGTCAGAATCTTTACTAATGAAAGTCTTAGATTTTTTCTTAATTTTTATACTAAACCCAATGAATTTGGGTTAATTGTTTTCAAATTTAATAATCCACTTAATTAGAGTCATTATTCTAATCAAAAGTTGAAATCTAAATATTAAAACTCCTTATTTTAGCTTTTTTAATTAGCATGATCATCATACCTTATACATTAAAATTTTATCTCCAATATATTTTAATTCATAAGGATGATCAAAAAATATATTCTTACTATAAACTTGTAAAGTGAGAATTGTTTAGTTATCCATTTTAATCAATAAATATTTCTTATCTTAATAATTTATATGTATATTTCTAATAAATAGTTTTGTTATTTTAAAACAGTCATTTAGAATTTTGAATCTACATTAGTCATAAAGTATATAATGGCATATTAAAATAAACAAAAATTGGAACTACTTTACTATTTACAACTATTAATCAAAATATTGCTAACTTAAATAAAATATAAAATATATATTATCATTTCTTTTATATTCTATAACTAATATAAAATAACTTTGTAATTTCTTATTTGAATTTTTATTTTAGTTTAATATCTTAATTATTCCTTTTATTTAAATTGTATTTCTATTTTAAATAGAATACTCATACATATATGTATATAAATTAATGTAATTATATTTAATTTTATCATTTGATCTTAGGAACTTACTAATTATTTAATTATTCTTATTCAATTACAATATATTTTATATTAAAAATCTCAAAAATAATATTATAATTTTTGTAACTAAATCTCTTTAATTCTTGAATTAGTATCACTAAGTTCTAATGCATAAATGAAATACAATATTTAAAGAATAACAATTATCAAAATCTATATAAGACATTTTTGATTTAATCGAAAAATAAAATGATTATTTTCTAATAATCTTTATAAGTTATTTATAGTAATAAAATAATAAAGATATCAAATAATCTTTTGTCAAATTAGGAAAAATAACACATAAATAAAAAGAAATCATCAAGTGATGCATATTCATTTAAAATTTAATTTTAGATCGAATCTAACCTTTTTTTTTACTACTTCTTTATTTTAGGTTGAATTTTGATTTTAACAATATCTTAGGTCATGCTTTAATATTGTTTTTTTTGTATTAGTATCATCACAATGAATTGATTCAGCTGATTCTGAGGATGAATCATTAATATTTGGAATACAATCTTATAAGAATTGATGAGACTGCTGTATAGATTCAACTGCATCCACATCACCATTAACTTCCTTTATTTCCTAATTGTCACCTTCGAATTTAAATGGTTCATGGATATATGTAACCGAGGCATCTTCTTTACAATTTTCCTCTTGTTATTGACATTTCTCTTTATTTAATATATTTGAAGATGAGCAGCTTTTCTTTTACGAGATATTTGATGTAGTAAATTAATTAAGATTTGTTAGCTCTTCAGGTTTATCATTATATTGCCTACAACAATTAGCACCCATCAGTATTTTTAATTTATATATAATAAATCAATAATATAGATTAGCATCTTGTATCAGATTCAATAGAAGATGAATATAATCATCAAATTTTATTTTGTTAATTAATCAACACCTTTATAATTGCTAAAATTTTAATCAATCCTTTAGATATATTCTCTTTATTTCATCAATCTCTTCTAACCATATTTCATACTAAGCAGTATTATACTAATTTTAATACCTATTCTACATAATTTAATTTAGTTAATTGAACCTTTTGTTCATATAATATCTGCACATTTTCCTATTTTTCTTTTAATTAGACAACCTAATCATTTTGTAATGCATACATAAATCTTAGAATTTAACAATTAACCACTTATGTTTCTATTCACATCATACTGATTATTCTTGAAAACTCAATAAAAAAATTGTTCAAATAGATTTTTACTACTTTTCATCTTATTGAATAAAAACAAAAGGTATCAATTAAATAACAGTTTTACTATTCTTTTATAGCAACATTATCATAGCTTTTATTATGTACAGCATTATACATAATTAAAATATTTAAAAAATGTGTAATAAATTATGTTTATAATTTTAAGTATTTAATATCTCTTAATAGTAATATTAGTTCTTATTTACTTGTAAATATAATATTCATTATTTTTCAATCTATATATTAAATATAAGTATTTTTAATATTACTATAATTAATAGTATTTCTAAGAATGATATATTATCATTTAATAATAGTATTAATTATATTAAACATTTTAGTCATTATAATGGTAATTATCGAATTTATCTACTCAAATAAATAATCTTAATCCTTTCAACATTTTTATATCTTATGATTTAAAGAAATGACTATTTTTTATTGAATATCAAATAATTATTTATAAGTGTATATTAAATATTTTCCTATTAAATTAATCTATTTTATATTAATTATTCAGTTCAGTCTAATACAATATTAATTATACTAATAAACTTAATATTAATAACAATATTATTTGAAAATTAATTATAATACACCACAGTAATTTTTGATAAAATCAGTTTTTTTATTGTATTTTTAATAGATATTAAGTAATAATTTATCTTATAATGCATTCATAGACAAAAAATTCACTATTATATCAACAATTTGATGGTAATTATTATTAAATTGGCTATTTTTTGTATTTTAAAAAATTAAAAACCATTTTACTTAATTCACAATAGAAATGATTAAATCTAAGGGAATTATGAGTAAAAAATGCAATATGTCACGTATTTCATTGAATTTGTGTAATTTATAGTGAATTGATAAAATTTATATGAATGGAGATAGAATAAAGCAGAGAAGAATAGATTTTTAATGTTTGAAGATGTTTTAATTGATATTTTAAGTGTTAGAAGAGAAATACTTAATTTAATCTCAAATAAACTTTATTAAAATATACTTTATTAAGAAAATAAACCGAAAACTTATTTTTTAAAGCCAAAACATTAAATGATTCAATATTATATTTATAGCAATGTAAAATCCAAATTTCATGCCTATTCTCCTTTACACTTAACCTACAGGATATCCCTAATATTATCCCATGTACTATATGCCAATTATGCCAAATTATATGATACCTCAATATCAAAGCTCTTAAGAACCTGAAATAAATTAGATAATCTCAAAATCTAGTGATTAAAGTTAATTTTCTAATCAAAACTGTAATCTAAACAATCAATTAAACTTTTAATCAATAAAACAAAATAATAATGAAATTGCAGTTGAAAATAATGAAGAAATTTAAACTAATACAGAATCAAATAAACCGAAATAAAAATCTGGAAAAAAGAAGATTAATCTCTTACAAAAATCTACTAATATTTAGAAAAACTATGCAAAAGCAATCATCTCTTATGCTTGCGGACAGAGAGTTCTAATAATAAACACTTTAGGAAAAAAGAAGGGAATTGAATTCTTAAAAATAATTAATCAACTCAAAAATAAGTTAAAAAATATTAATCACATAAAGAACTATACTTAGAAAGAATCATTCTTAAGCATGTTCAGAATATTGGGGTAAATTTTTAATATTAATATTTTTAGTAATAAATTCTTGAAGAATGAAGCCGTTAGTTACATTTATCACTCAAATATCCAATAGAAAAGTTGTCATCTTAAACACTTAAAGATGATTGAGCAAAACTTATTGAAGTGCTGATCGAGTTATATGATTTATAATTATTTATTTATTTAGTAGTAATTAATATCAAATATATAAATCTCATTAAATATTATAAAACAATATAATTAAATTAAACAGA